TTAAATATTTAATTTATTTTTTATTGTAAATTATATTAAATATATATTTATTATTAAATATTATATATAGTATATATTTAACTTATATTTAGTTTAAATATATTCTTATAATATAATAAAAAAAATATTTTTTTTATTTTTTTTATAAGTATAAAATAAAATTAATATATTTAGGATTTTCTTTTTAAAATAAAAAAGCTTTTAAGCTTAAATAATTAATCTTTATTTAAGTTATATAAGAAATTATTTATTATAATAGTTTTTTATATTAAGAGATTATTTTTTTCTTAAATAATTTATAATTAATTAAATATTTATTTCATTTATTTTTTTTAGGCTTTTTTTTCTTATTTTTTAATTTCTTTTTAAGAGTATATTTTTAAGGTATTTTTATATCCTTAGAATTATTTTATAATATTAATTAAGAATTATCCCGATTTTTTATTAATAATTAATTTCTATATTCTTTTATAATATATTTAGTTTATATTTAAATATTATTTTTAATTTTTATAATTAATTTAGTTTAAATTTTTTTATAAACTTAAGTTAATTTTTTATTTCAATATAAATTAATTAAAGATATCTTTATTTTTATTTTAAAATATTATTTTATTATTTTTTATATATTTTAAAGAGTTTTTTTAAATACTTATTTTATATTTAATTTTATTTTATTTTAGTTTTTTTAAATTTTTTTTTAAAATTAGAAAAATATAATAAATATAATATTTATAAATAATTATTAATTTAATAATTTATATATAAATCTTTTTTATTTATTAAATTAATATTCTTTAGGTATTATTTATTATTATTATTAAAATATATTATTATTAATTTATTTTTTAATTAATTATTTTAAAATAAAATCTTTATAAGATTTTTTTTTTATTAAAAACTAAGGAAATATATTTTATTTTTAAATAAAATAATTATATTTTTAGCTTAAATTTTTACTATAATTTAAGTATATTTTTTTTATAAAATAAATAAGCTTATTCTTTTATAAATTAAATATTATTTTAAACTTTTTTATTTAATATTTATATATCTTTTATATAATTTAAAACTAAAGCTAGGTATTTTTTAAGTCTTTCTTAAAAATTAAGATATTTATATTATTTATAAATTTAATTATTATAAATCTTTTTTTTAATATTTATTATATAAAATTATAAATTAAAAAAAAATTAAAGAAAATAATAATCCTTAAAAAACCTTAGATTTTAATTTAAAATTTATTTAAGAGTCTTTTTTTATAAAATATTTTTATTATCTTTTTTATAAAATATAACTTTATTTAAGCTTATATCTAGCCTAAAATCTCTAAGCTTTTTAAATATTTTAATAATTTTTAATAATTTTTAATAATATATTTTATTAAATATTAAGCTTAAATTAAGTTAAAAAAGGCTTATATATTTTAAATATACTTAAGAATATTAGATTATATTAATAATAATTTAGATTATTTCTTTTATAAATTAGCTTTTTTTATTTTTTTTTTATTTATTTAAAAAAATATTCTAAGCTTTAATTATTTTAAAAATAATATATTATATTATTATTTTAAAGACTTTCTTAAGAATACTTAAGAATAGAATTAATTATTATTTATTTAACTTTATTTATTCTTTATTTAGCTTATAAAATATAATAATTATAACTTCTTTAAATATATCTAGGAAATAACTTAGCTAGAGATTAATTATAATTAGCTTATTTAAGAATTATTAAAATAATTCTTTATATATTTTTAATAAACTTATTAATATTTTTTTTAGTATTTTTTATAATTTAAGCTTCTATAATATTATTTTAATATTATTAGTATAATAATTTAAAGCTATTTTTAATTACTTCTTAATTAATTATATATTTTATTTAAGTAATATTTTTTTAATATTTATATTATTAAGAAGAATTTATTAATAAAAGCTTTTATTTTTTAATTATAGGTTTAGATTATATGAATAAAGGTTATAATATTTAATATTTATAATAATTCTAAGGGTAATTTATTTTAGAGTTATATTTATTTTTTAAACTTTTATATAACCCTTTTTTTATTTATTATATTTTATAATATTATTTTTATAATTCTTATTAAGCCTTTATTATAGCTTAATTTTAAGTTTAATATATTTCTTATTAAAGCTTTTCTTATATTTCTTAAGTATAGGTTTTATAATATTATTTTATTTATTTTTTCTTTCTTAAATTATTTTATATATTTCTTAATTATATTATAAAATTAACTTAAAGAAATCTTTTTTTAATATTATTATTTAAATAATCTTTTAAAATATATATATAAGTTAATATATATTATAATTAAGTAATATTATTATAGCGAGATCTAGCTAGAGCTTAAGCTAGAACTCAATTTATACCTTAGCTTTTATTCTTTTTTATATTTAATATTTTTTAGTTTATATTTAAGTTATTAAGCTTAGAATATTAATTAATATACTTTTCTTTTTTAATTTAGATTAATTATAAAATATAATTAGATTTAATATATAAAGCTAGGTTAAGATATTTAATATATATAAATAAGGATATTTAATAATAATTAATTATACTATCTTTATAATTAAAAAAGATCTTTATTAGTTCTTTTTTTAATATAATTAATTATAGGCTTTAATTCTTAGCTTATTTAAAAAAATAAAGGGCTTTATCTAACTTTTTTTTTATATTAGTCTTAAAATAAGTAATAAATATTAAAGTTATTTATTATAATAAGGTTAATAAAAAAGTTTATTTTTTTAAAAAACTAAATTAATTATTATCTCTCGCTTTCTTTATCTTAATAAATATTAAAGATTACTTTTTAGTTAATATTAACTTAGATTTAATCCTCCTTTATTTCTAATATTTATATACTTAGGTTATATCGCTTATAGATATAAGTAATTATTTTCTTATTACCTCCTTATACTATATAATAATTAGGTAATAATTATTTTAATTATTATATAATTATATTAATATATAGCTCTTAGAGCGCGATTAAGTTATATCTAATTTAGTTATTAAATATAATACTTAAATTTAATCTTTATTTATTTATATTTTAATATAAACTATTAAGTTTTAATATAGAAAATATCAGGAATAAGGGTAGGTTCTATAGTAAGGGTTAGTTTAGTTATATTAATATCTAGATTAAGTCTATCCTAATTCTTAATTAGTTTTATAATAGCTTTAGTTTAAAAATAATTATTAAGTTATTATTAAATAAAAAAGCTCTTAAACTAGGCCAAGACTAACCTAATTAAAAGGTATTTATTTAGCTTTTATTTCTTTAAGAATATTATAAAATTAATAGGCTCTTTTATTTTTATTAATTCTTAAGATATATAAAAATTAAAGGCTATCTTTATAATATTCTAGAATTAAATTAATCTTATTTTATAAATAACTTAAGCTTTAGTATATTAAGTAATTATTATTTAATATACACTTAATTATATTTTATATTTCTTTTTATATATAATATAATATAGTATTTTTTTATATTTCACCCCCTTTAAATAAGGGCTAGTTTTATATTAGTTATAGATTATATTATATTTATATACAATTATAATATACCTAAAATAAAAATATTTAAAATATTAATAAGGTTATATACTTTCTTTATATAATTTATAATAATAGATTTTTATATTAATAATTAGCTTAATATTATATAAATAATTAATTATTTCTAGATTATTAATATATAAAATAATTATAGCTTTTATAATAAGTTTTTTTTTAAGTTTATTTAAGTTATTTTTATTAAAATATATATATTTAATTATTTAATTTTATTAGCTAGCTTTTTATAGCCCTTTTTTCCTTAAGTTTATTATTAAAAAATACCCTTAATAATAATATTAAAGAGTTTCTTATATAAGGTAATATTTAGCCTAAAAGTAGCTCAGACTTAGCTTTAATTCTTTATAATTATATTAACTTTTTTTAAAAAAAATATAATATTATTATTTTAAGGTTTTTTTATTTTTCAGTACCTTAAGCTATTATTTTTTATCTTTATTTTTATAATCTTATATATATCTTTCGGGCTATAGTTCTATATCACGGTAGATATAGCTTAAGTATAAGTTATAAGTTTTTAATTAAATTATTAATAAATAAATTTTCTTTTTTTTCAAAGTAAAAAAAAACATTAATATAGTTTGTTTAAGGATTAAATATATCTTAAAAAATACTTATTTATATTATTAAATTCTAGATTTTCTTATTAAATTTTATAAAAAAGTTTTTAAGGATATTAATTATATTTAAAATAAATTTAATTAATCTTTTTTTATTTTTTTTTAGATTTTTTATTTATATTTTATAATTATTTATTATATTATAAACCTTAAGGGCCTTAATATAAGATTATTAATTCTTTCGAATACTATATCTTCGATAATCTTAGTTAGTTTTATTATAGTTTTAGGGTTAATTAAATTATTAAATATACTTATATTATAATTTAAATAATATATATTTTATTTAAGGCTAATATAATTATTATTAATAATTATTAGTTTTTTAAAAATAATATTATTATTTTAATTTTAAATTAATATTATACTTTAAAAAAGTTTAATATTATAAACTTAATTTTAATATTTTTATTAATTTTAAATATAATTTTATAAAATTATAATTAATTTCTAATTATATAAAATTTTTTTAATAAATTAATTATAAATTATAAAAAATATTTATATTAAATATTTTTTATAAAATATTAAATATTATATTAAAAAAAAATAATTATAATATTATAATTATTAAAACTCTTAAATTATTTAAAAAATATTAATTTAATAAATATAATTTAATATAAAATATATTATTAAAATTAATATAATTTTAATAAAATTATAATTATTTTTTAAATATATAAAAAATTCTTTATATATATATATATATATTAAATATAATATATATTTATTTTTAATTATAATTTTTAACCTTTATATATCTAAATAATATTAAAATTAATATATACCTAACCTACCTATAGTACGGGCTACTTCTACTACCTACTACGTATATATTTAACACTCGGCCCTTAGCTATAGCCTTTCCTTTATTTAACGGCTATCCACCTCCCAATCATTCCTTGGTCGCGCGCACACAAGGGGGCATTTCACCTTCGCTCACAACATCGACAAATCTAAACGCCGCTGTCCCCGTGTGCGGAGCAAATGGCTGACTTGGGCGAACATCTGGGCAGCCCAGGCGACCAAACTCATCAGCGGCAAGCGGCCATTTTGAATCGTCATCTACCAGAGGGATTCTCCGCCGGCCCAGATGTAAGCTTGGGAACACAGGAGGCAGCATCCTCAACATCTGCAGCGCCAGCCGTTGGCAATGATGGCGAGGGATACCCATTTCCGTCGGACGGCCCAACACGATCTGATAGTCCTTCGGGCACTGTACCAAATCCCGAGCCTATCGAAGCACGAGATGCGCCGCCGAACGACATCTCTTCAGAGTCACATTCTCCGAGCCCAGTCGTTGCAACACTCGAAACACCCGATTCGATGACTGGACAAGGCGTGGATAATGTAGAGTCATCGTTGAAGCTCCAGGGTGGCGACATACATCGAGATATTTTCAAGATCAAGGCACGCGCAAACTCGCTTCGCCGCGCCAATACCTTCTCCCATCAACCGTCTCCGAGGCTGCAAGCGGCGAATGATCTCACGTATCCCGAACAGCGAGAACCAGGCGGTTTCCGACGTCATTACCTCCGTCGACAGGCACTACAGCGGCGCCAAACCGGTCCTCTGATGATCGCAGGCAGTTTTGTGGATTTTCTCGACCTATACGGAAGCTTCGCTGGTGAAGACTTGGAAGAAAGCGACTCCTCCGAGGATGAATCTGCTGTGGACGACGGCGAGGAAGCTGGCGAAGAGCAACCTTTGCTTTCAAGACCACGGTTGCCTCGGCCTCGCCCGTCACGTCGTCGTAGCTCTCGCCGCGTAGCTAGGGAAGGCGATGCCAGCACCATGAAGACTTTCTTCACTCTGTTGAAAGCTTTCATCGGGACAGGAATCATGTTTCTGCCTAAAGCATTCCGGAATGGTGGCATCTTATTCTCATCTTTGATCCTCGTACTCGTCTCCTTGATAAACTGCCTCTGCTTCCGACTGTTGCTGGATTGCAGGGAGAAGTACGGAGGCGGTTACGGCGAACTTGGCGCCGCTATCGTTGGACCTCGCTTCCGAAGCCTCATTCTCGCCTCAATCGCTCTGTCCCAGCTTGGATTCGTTTGTGCTGGGCTCATTTTCACGGCAGAGAACTTGTGGGCTTTCCTAGATGCCGTCACGGGAGGAAGGCACAACGTAGCATTGGGAGTCACTGGCCTCATTGCTCTGCAGCTGCTGCCGCTGATACCATTGGCTCTGATCAGGCACATCTCCAAATTGGGGCCAGTTGCATTGATAGCGGATGTCTTCATTCTTGTCGGCCTGGTCTACATTTGGTACTATGACATTGCCGCACTTTCAAGCCGCGGCTTGGAACCAACCGTACAGTTATTCAACCCTTCGACGTGGACCTTGACCATTGGATCTGCCATTTTCACATTTGAAGGCATTGGGCTCATACTACCGATCCAGTCGAGTATGAAAAAGCCGAAGGAGTTTGGAAAACTCTTATATCTCGTCATGTTCTTGATCACTATCATATTCACCTCAGTCGGCGCCCTCTGTTATGCCACTTTCGGAGAAGGGACCAAGATTCAAGTCATTTCCAACTTCCCGCAGGATTCGCCAGTCGTAAATGGCGTACAGTTCCTGTACTCTATGGCTGTTCTCGCTGGAGAGCCAGTACAACTTTTCCCCGCGGTACGAATTCTCGAAACTAGTATCTTCTCCGAACGTCTGTCTGGAGCCAAGGATGTGGGTATCAAGTGGAAAAAGAATGCACTGCGGACGGTTGTCATGGTCGTCTGCGTCGGAATCAGCATTTTGGGCGCTACTGATTTAGACAAGTTTGTGTCACTCATTGGAAGCTTCGCTTGTGTGCCATTGGTCTATATCTACCCGGCCTTTTTGCACTACAAGGGGGCTGCTCAGTCGAGGTGGGTTAAGTTGCTTGACATCGTCCTGATGGCCGTTGGGCTCATCGCGATGGTCTATACAACGTTCATGGCGGTCGTGCAATGGGTTGAGGGTTGATGGAACGCCTCTTTTAGTCTTGAAAGGGTGACGCTTGGTTTGCTCCGGATGGTTATACTTGGACTGCTGTTGCCGAGGACCTAGGGACCGGTGGGCCTGTTCACAAAGTTGTGCATGATCATGTATACGTAGTTCCGACTGCGCTGAACCGGGTTCACACTCACAAGTGTGAGATGGATGTACAATGCACACCGACGTGTGCGTTTTTCAATTCAAATAAACGCCACGCCCATGGCCCGCGGACCGGAATCAATCAGTTGCGATGCATGCCTCGGAGGCGAAGCGATGACCTGTGTCCGCATCAGTCTCATTGCAGCGGCCACGTCTATCGTCATGCATCGTTGGAGTGTGAAACGACCGCAAGCTAGTAGATTATGGTACAATTCTGTTCAATGAAAGTTAATCTAGAAGATCTCCTAGGTACTCCTGCTTCATTGAGCGCTCGATTCGTGTGAAACGATGTTCGGACCACCTAATCTTGCTAGAGCTCCAGTCTGCATCCTCAGGCGTTTTTCGACCTGGTTTTGGTTCATGCCACGGTTGAGCATACGCATGGCATCCACAATAGCACGCATGTCAACAAATCGCCGCTCGGCGGTATTTCCTCCACCAAGCAAGACTGCCTGCTCGTCAGCTTCCTGTTGCAGCCGCTGTCGTACGTCCAGTGCGGTCAGTGTCGGGTTTTGTCGGCCATCTGGGCGTGCTTTCTTCAGGGCACTTGAAGACGTGGAATGAGGCGTAGCTGACGATGTGTGTGAGAGAGTCGGATTCGGTTGCACAATGCCCATCTGTTGCAGCCTTTGAGAAAATTCGCCAGTGACTATGTCAGGATCTCCGCCGTCTGGGCGTGTTGCTAATATTGTGAGCATGAAAGCAAGATAATTCTGCATACCACTGACCATTACTATCGGCAGTTGACGCTTGCTTGGATATATTATGCGGGCCAGGCCGGCCTCTTACTCGCGGTGCGGACACAGCTGATGTCGGGTGCTTAGGGTATTGTCGAGCAGCGCCGCGGGACACCTTCGAGGTCGAGGAACCCATTGTGTTTTGATGAAGCGCTATACCAAAGATTGCGACAACGATGGGGGCTTAGGATTCAAAGGAGGCAGCTGTATATAACTAACTGCGCTCACCATCGTGGGTTGTATGTAAGTGGAGATTTGTTACTGGGCGGATGACGACAACATGAAGCCTCCGTTTTACCTACCCTAGCAGGGTTTTCAGCCAGTTCACTGTCGAATTGAGCAAATAGCTCAGTCTATCTACGGGTGTAATAATTTCACGGGGTCAATAGTTGAGGGTCATCTATACTCTAGGCGGGCTAACACACTTGAATATTGGTGTTATTCGAATATCTGGTGTCGGCTCGTAAAGCACATCCGAACTGGGTCACTAGAAAGGGTTACTTCACATCAGACCTACCCTGTAGGTAGGCGAGTCAATATGCCAACCACGCTCACGTGTTGAATCGACAACCAAGAGGACCATCAAAATGGCTTTGAGGCCAATTCACAGACTGCTTGGGGAAGATTTGTGCGCTCGCCGCACGGCAATATCAAATAGAACATGCGATTCCGATGATAAACTCACTGCACCGTGAGGGGCTAGATAATATGTAAGGTACGCTTACTGTCACTAGTGCAAGAGCTTCTTCGGTTGAAGTGCGTCAACCCTGGGCCTGGACCCAATACAGGTGGTGATTATGCGTTCATCATTGACATCTCGAAAGGGGTATCGTTATCATTATAATCGAATGCGCGAAACTAGGTAGTAAGACCTTTCGGCGCCCGTCCTGACCCTCTCGAGGACCGGCCGTCCTCGCTGCCGGAGGTCTCTGACACCCCAATGTCTTGCCCGTCAAGATCGGCGGTGACGACAGACGTGGCTCCAAACGAGTGATGTGTGCCGGCAGCATCAGTATCGCTACCGAACCCTTCAAATTCATCCTCATCGTCAATGCCCTCGGGATGTTTATCCTGCACCTGCTCATAAGGCTTGGCTGCGGCTTGTGCTGTTTCCAGCTGCAGCTGTGCGTCGGCAGACGTATCAGCAACATCGCCATGCTCGGCGAACTTCCGCTTCTTGGGCATCTCTCCTAACCGCCCGCTGCGCCCTTGGACCTGAGCATCGCTGCCCTCGACAACGGGCGCGGGGGTGAACCATGGAATCTTGCCCCTCATGAAATCGTTGAGAACCATCTTTGCAACTCCATCAAGGTCAGGCTCTCCTCCTCGGAGGAGCCGCCCGCCTTTCCTTGCAAGCAGTTCAAGGAATTCCGAAGCATTGGTCCAGCCCGTGAGCTCGTACGTACGCTCCAGGTGATGGTGCTTTACTTTCTTGAGCAACGCTGGTATGTACTGTTCGGGATTCTCAACCTTTTCCACTCGAGCAACCCCACGTAGCACAAGATCTGTAGGCGTATCATGCGTCGACGGGGGGACCACACCGGGACAGTCAATGAGGTAGATGCGTTTCATGAGGCTCACATATTGCCACACCTTTGTCTCTCCAGGTATCGGGGCAACAGTGCAAACCTTCTTCTTCAAAAGAGTATTGATGATGGATGATTTACCAGTGTTGGGCCCGCCGATCAGCCCAACGGAAATCTGTTTTCGTTCCGAATGAAGACTGGAGAATTGGCGCAGCAGTTGAATCAGCGATCCTTTACCGAATGAGTTGGTGATGCTCGCGTGGAACGCTAGGGTTGGGTATTCCTTGGACAAGTGGCGAACCCAAGCAGCCTGCGACGTGGTTAGTCGGAAAGTGACGCGAAACTCGTGGCTTTGAAAGACAGTTTGTTTGTCATGCATATGTCTGTGTCATAACTAAGAAATCTGCAATCGATGCCAGCGTGGGCATAGGCAGATTTCAACTCTATCGACACGAGGCCAATCCCGGGATGGTGACCAAAACGGCACCATCAGCCCAAAGCCGAAGCGATGTGCATTTGGGATCAGCAGTTCATCTCCCAACGATGTAACGGATGCGCCTTCACGGACAATTGACTAAGGCGTCCTGACAAAATCTTTGGGTTGGTGTAGCAAAGTGGAGCGGGAAAACCAGGAACAAGCAAGACGAAGAGAAGAAATGACTTACTGCTACACCAGTCGGCACCAGATCGCACTTGTTGAGTACGAAAATCAAGTGTTTGTGAGGGGCCTCCTCCCTGAGATACTTCTCGATGCTCTTGCACCGGGTTCCTACCGGGTCTCGGGCATCAAGCACATGTATAACGACGTCGGACGAGTCAATGACTTTGTAAAGCTCGTTCCAGATTCGTTTGCTCTGGCCTTTGTCGAACACAGGCTCGATGGCCAGAGTGTACTTTGTGTCGTCCTCAAGTTGCTCTCCGTCTCCCGAAGTGCCGCTCAACAGTTTGGCCTGTTCGAGTCGATCGCGGTAGGTATCCATGCTCTTTTCTGTGTCACCCGCAAGGTCATCAAGACTGCTGACGCCAAGCTTCACGCGCTTGCGCTGTGCTTTCGGGCCAAACACGTCGGCGAAAGGCGAGCTCTCGACTGTCATTTTGGCTTTATGCTCCTTGACGCCATTCTTGTCTTGGCCGTCGCGAATAAGGCTCATTGGCAACTTGTTCGACTTCAACAAGACTTGATATGGGTCATTGGCTTTCTCTGCCATGGCTTCGCGAAACGAGTTCAACGTATCCTGTGAGACAACACGAGTGTTGTTGAACCATTTACGATTCGGCTCAATGCGGGCGTTGGGAATCTCTCGGGACTGGTATGAGGCGGCTTTGGTGATCTCGCCGTCTGCGTTTCGTTGAACCTTGCCGTCTTTGTACATGTTCAAGACCTTGATCTTCTTCGCATCACTGCCGCCGGTCAGAAAAGCAGGGTTCTAGCACGTTGAAGCGACATACCGATAGAAGTTCTCACCCTTGACCTTGACGTTGCCGAGGCCATCGCCAGTCTTGCCCTGGCGCACGCGCCGGGTCGCCTCCTTCTTGCCGCTACCCATGGTGAAAAGCAATTTGAACTTTGACCGAAGAAATCAGGCGGTACAGTTGACCAAGGAGAAGGGGTCCAAATATGCTACCCGGTCGCTGCTGGGCGCGGAGAGTATGTAGAAACAACGAGCAAAATGCTCATGTCTGACAGGAAGTGGTAAAGAAACTCGTGGCGTGGACATTTTTTTTTCTCTGTCGTATTTTTCCCCACCTAAAGAACTCCGAGTTGGCGCCGCTAGGTACCTGGTAGCAGGGGTCGCAGTGTGCACCGCCGTCGGGACGGCAAGACTATCGCCCGCCCTCAGTCGCTCCCGAGTCTAATAACTGTGAATTTTTGAGCAAAGCTACTTCAACCAGGGAGCACTGCTTGAGCTGGGGTACTTGCCTGACAGGCAGGTCGAAATCACAATCACCATGTCATTCCTCTCTTCTCGCCAGTCCTTGCGAACAACGAAAATCCACACTTTGCCGGCTATTCGCTCCTTCTCGACAACCCGCTTCACGTCCCAAACTGTTCCCCCGGACTCGCCAGATTACATCCGCCTACCCTTACCGGCACAGCTCGAGCAGCGACAGCGCGTCCTTGTCCGTGGCTTTCTACCGGTCCCTCGTTCCATCTTTCCTCACAGACGCTCTGAGCGCAAGATCGATGGCGACTACTTGGCTCAAACTGCGGCCAAGCCTCAGTCTCCGCGGACCGGCTCTTCCCAACGGCAATGGAGGGCTGAAGTGGCTGCGAGTCGGCGACAAGGTCTTGAAGAGGGTCTAGGTGAACTCTGGAAACGACACAATCGTGTGAAAACCACTCGAGAAATGCGGTCCCGCGCCAACTTCCAGAAGAACCACGAGCATCGCGTTGCGCCCGAACGAGAAGACGATCAATATACACGCGGCACCACGCTGAAAACGCTCTTGGACACAAAGGTCTACGCGGACCCCAACAAGACCAAGCGGCTCGAGGAGAGTCGCCAGAAGATCATGGAGCATAATCAACATTTGAAAGAAGTGAGGCGCGATGCTCTTATGGAACTGTACGTCAGTGCTTCCAGCTTCATCACCCAAGAAAGCGAGCTGCGCAAGAAGATTGACGAGTTATTCCACGATGATTATTTCGAGGGTCAGATTCAACAGTATAACAAGGAATGGACCATCGCCAACGTCTGGGGCGTGCACGGCTATCCCCCATCAACAGCGAACATGCTTGACTTGACCTCTAGGTCAATGGGGGGTGGCTCGCCGAAGGACCAGTCAAGAACTGGGTACAGACAGAAGCGCATCGCAGAGGAGTTCACCGGAGGAAAGATGGACGTGTAATACCTTGGGGAACACCACCTGTATGTTAACAGTATATTGTATAATGCGCTATGTAAGATCAATCCAATCGAGGAGAACGCCGTCCGTGACAAACACCATACCTTCGCCACGAGGAAGGGGACGTGTCCACCTAGCTGGGCGGAAGACACCGATATATCACTGTACCTCCACTTAGCACAAAACAAAGATCAAGTAATTGCACAGTATTCAAGCTTCGAAATGCCGGGGCGATTATCGCCTATCGTCTTTCCACCAACAACACGTGCATGGCAGTGTACGCCAAAACCAAAAACACTGCTGCAACAATGCCCAAGTTTCTGACATCGGTCCAAAGTGCGTTGTTGTCAAACCCGAAGGAGCTCAGGATGGCGGCTCCCGGTACTGTAATGTCCAGCCCATACTGTTTGTCGATCAATGTCAGATGAAGTACTTCATTGACAATCAAAGATTCGAATCCAAAGTGGAAAATGGACAACGACTGCAACCAGACGGCGCTCTCGGGTATAGCATCGTGGTTCAGCAAGAAACCGGCGAAGAGTAGACTGAACAACATGACCAAGCTGCCGATGAGGTTGGCTACTCCGCCATCCTTGCAAACAATGCCAATGAACAAGCAGATTGTTGCAGCTGCCATGTTGAACAAAACAAGGACGAGCATAAACTTGAAAAAGTGCTCTCCATCGGCAACTAGGCCAGTCATAGGATACACAATGGAGCCCATGAGGATGGGTGGGATGATCCTCAGTGGGACGATGTCGAAGAGCATCTTCGCGGCGAAGTACGTTGCAGGTGAATAATAACCGTTGGCCCGCTCCCTCATGAATAGGAGTCGCTCGGTCGCGAAAACGTTCAGGCTGGTTAGGGTGCTGAAACCAAACAGAGTCAGGAGGAAGATAAACAATCCTAGGCGATTCTGGAAGCCGGCAATATTGTCGGTCAGCCCATAAAAGAGGAAACCACTGAAAACGCCAATTATGATCGCTGTAGCATAGTGGGCGAGCATGAGTAGCGGGTTCCGGTAAAGATTCTTCCACGTTCGTTGGGAGAGAATAACAAATTGCCGCAAGTATCCAATGCGCGCGTAGCCCTTTCCAACGGCACTGAATGTAACAGAGGGTTCACCAAGTGCCCGCGCTTCGGCGTTGCTACCGTTGGCATCACGAGCAGTTTGCGCCACCTGTTGGATTTCTGTCTGAGTCGACGCGGCGATGCTCGAGTCGGCAAAGGCCCTTGTCATCACATCTAGATCTGTGCCTGTTCCTGTGGCAGGAGGAAGATCATGTACGTCGTCTGGCGGTTGTTGGTTAGGGGCGCTTAGATTCTGAGATAACCGGTAGCCCGAGTCCTCCCCTCCGGCATCAGAAGATGCCGTAGTGTCGGCGGTCTTGCGTCGCGTAAACAGCTCACGGTCTTGACGTTGCTTGAGCGAATGTTTCCGCCGGTTGCCAGGTCTTTTGGGTACTGTCGTGTCCACGCCGCTCTCTTCGCCAGTACTGAGACCAGATACACTGGCAACAGACTTGACGGCCGCTGTGCTGCTTGGACCGACGCTTTGGCTGTCATTGATAACGGCTCCGTCATCTACAGACAGGGTGGAGCCGGCGTGCATTGTCAAATCCACCAGGTAATCCGCGATGTTGAATCCCGGCGGGCACTCATATCCGATGTCATCAAAGTAGGACTGACATTGCGCAAATGGTCCGGAGTAAACTGTCTTGCCTCGAGCCAGGAGGATCAGCCTGTCGAATAGCGCCACGATATTGGATCGAGGCTGATGGATAGTGAAGATAACGGTACGGTTGTACATCTTTGCGAGGGTGACAAGGCATTCGATGACGTTGAAAGCATTGAAAGCATCCAGTCCGCTTGTAGGTTCGTCGAGAAAAAGGATGGAGGGACTGGTCACCAGTTCGCATGCGATGCCAACACGGCGTTTCTCTCCACCCGATATGCCCCTGCCTTTGCCCTCCTCAGACCCGATGAGCGAATCGCGGATATGGTGGATGCCAAGCTCTTTCTCAACTTCGAAGACTCGTTGTTCCTTAGCGGCACGGCCCATGTGTCGGGGTAGCCGCAGCAGAGCACTGTTGAGAATGGTCTCGTGCACGGTGAGTGTTGGCAACATGGTATCCTCCTGATCCACAAAGCCCACCACGGACTTGAAGACGGAGTCATCGATTTTCTCCCCGTTAACAAAGAAGTCACCATTGACCTGTCCTCGTTTGTTCTTGCGAGCCAAGATGTCAAGAAAGGTTGTCTTGCCTGCGCCTGAAGCGCCCATGATAGCGGTTACTTCACCTGCTCGGCAGATTCCCGAAATGTTGTGAAGGATCCCTTTCCCAATAAGGTTGTATGAGACATTGTTGAAATGTAAGTCGACTGGCTTGTGGTCCGTCATGAGCTTGATGTTTTCGTCGTCAGATTCCTCAAGGCGGATAGCGCCGTACTTAAGTTTGCGACGTGACAGATACCATGTCAAGACGATAACGGCTACCAGGAACAATCCACACCCGGCAATGACACCCGCGATCAAAGGCGTGTTGATCTTCTTGACAGGTCGCTCGTACCCGGGCATCTCTGTTTCGTAAATGCATTCACCAGAACGACAATCCAAAAGTATGCTTGAGTCGCCTATCAGCGACAAGATCAAGTTGTCCATCTCTGGTTCCCTGAAGGCGCATTGATGCGCGCCATTGTGCTTCTGGGTACACTCGAAGCGACCCGGACCATTGATGGATTGGTCAAGAAAGTCGCTCAGATCAATAGATCCGTCCTTGCCACAGAGCATACGCTCGGAGATACAGCTGCAGCTTATTTGGTTGCACTTGTATGCGGTGGAGTTTTGTGCATCACCGAATTTGGCTTCCGAGTCGCATTCCGATAGGTGGCAGTAGAAAGATTCCACAGCGTCAACCCAGACTACATGAGGAGGTTAGCGTCCTTGTTCAATGTAGATTGCTGGCTGGGATTCTTACACTGGAAGTCGCAAGTTGCATCGTCGGCCTTGCAAGTGAAGGTGACTTCAGGACGCTGTTTACCAAGTAGGTCGGTGATTTTGCGGTTCGTGACATCGCAGATCTGATAATTGTGGTTGATAACTTCGCCGTTCTGATAGCAAACCCCGCCATCGCCTGTCTTCATTAGGGCGTCGCATGCCTTATTCTCAGTGCAGACGTTGCAGTTTATTCCAGTCCAGCCATCGTCGCAATCGCATGACTTGCCAGAGCGCATGGGTCGATCTTTACCGCGGGCCAAAGAACCGCAAACTTGGGCTAGTGTCAGTCTCCAGCATCTACACGTGCCATCGCAACACTAACGAGGTTCCAAGCAGTCGTCGCCGCCAAATCCTTCGGGGCAGTCGCATTTGCCATTGAACTCGTTGCAGCCGGAGTATTGAGCGCAGGTGTGGGCAGGTAGAAGGCAGTTGAAACTGAGGGTCCGTAATATTAGCTCCAGTACAAGTACAAGTTCATTTAGTTGTCGCGACTCACCATGGCGGGCAACCGTCGGGTCGACCACTCAGCAGGGCGAGCTGCGCACTCATCATGTCGGCGTCGGAGTAGCTCGAGTTAACGAAGGCCGTTGCGTGACTGGCAAACAAAGCCGCCAGTCCAGCGAGCGCAACTTTGATCAAACGAGTCATATTGAAGAGAAAAGTAACGAACAGAGAGCGAAAGACTACCCCCCTCGACAACCTTCGCCAGAGTCGCGGGTGTACGGTAGATGGTGATGACTTGTCGATGGGAGTGTGGCTGGTTGTTGGCCAGGTACTCCGTACAGTCCCCAGTCGGCTGTGAATGCGACCCGGACCTGACGTAACCATTGATTGGTGCGGGCCCTCACTGTTCGGCGTTCGCTGCCTGGCACCAACAGCTCCAGGAGTCTACGCCGTTTTAGGCTGGAACTAACGCACTGTCCGTCTGCACTGTGCTGCACTATTATGGTAAGGTAGGTACGTAGCCACCTGCCGAATTGGCGCAACCAGCGACTCCTACTGCGCCAGCTGTGTCTGCCGTACTCCGTACTTGAATACTCGTGTAATAAGTAAGTAAGTAGTTACTAAGTAGTTCATCACGCGCCCGCCCTTGCCCTGGGCTAACAAGTTACTATCTACTTACTACCGTACAGTAGCAAGGGACGTATCCGTACTTATGTAAGGTAACTAGTGATCACTGATGTTGCATCACACGTGGCTCGCGTGAGGTGCGTATACCAATCGTATTTGTGATTAATCTAATGTAAGTATTCACGCGTATCATCTGGAACTGCACCTGTACAGTAGGCTGTTAGCCTGTTCCAAGGACTTTTATCGGTCCCATAACTTCATGTGACCATACCGCACTCAACCTTATTCTCCCAAATGCTTCGTTGCCTGGGCCACACAAGCGAGGCGTCTTCGCTGCTACGAGTGACGACATGCTGGGAATCAGATTGTTCAATGGAAGATTGCCCTGCCGAACGGACACTGGGGAGCCGAGGCTCGTGAACCACATTGCGTCTCATCCTGTTCAAGGTCGCAGCGCGGTGTTGGGAATTCGCAACATGCCAAGGCTTTATGCCAAGCATCTCAGAGGTCTCGCGCTTATGTCGTTGGACTTTCCGCGATCGGCTTTGAGACAATGCGCACGAACGACTGGACCTAGCTTGCCTCAACACCCCGGTGGGGTTTTGGTCAGATCTTGAATCAGTATTCAGTGCACATTAGACTCGAGTACGGCAATGTCCCAGAGTCAACCTACTACTTGTAGGTACGTATTCCGTCCTGGCTCTTGGCCCGGGAAGCTCCACCTAGCCACGTAAGTGAATTTTCCCAATTCGGTAACCACTGACGAATCGTTTCTCAGCTTCTCTCTTCCCCTGTAGTTGATAAACTCGCCCTTTTTGATATTTCCTCTCGCCCATCCTCAGATATCCTGCTGAGGGTGGAAGTCGGCCAGAAGAGCTCTGTCCGAGCCTACAGAGGGAACACCATCTTTCGAGTGCAGTTGGGAGACCTCAGTCATTACCGGAAGTCGCTCTCATTCCCGTCACTGCCTTTCCTTCACCTTCACCCGCATGGATTGTGTGCCTCCCAATCCCAGGACCTGTCGGAGAAACCGGTGAAAGCAGTGGCGACAGTCGATATTCGAGCGTTCCCGGCATCGCTCGTATGGAGTGGCGATGTTACTTGGCCATGTTGGTAGCACTCGTGCTACCAAGGCCGAGTCGATGTCAAGTCGTCCAATGGGACATTTCGAAACGTGTTGTCCATCGAAGCCTTCATGCTCGGGCGGACAATACATTTGAAGAAATCATCACCAACGAGAAAGGGCAGGGAGGGTACTTTGCCACCGTGACCGTCGGTAGCCCCGGGCAAGATCTCGTGATGCAACTGGACACTGCGAGCAGTGATGCTTGGGTGCCATACAGCGGAGCTTCTATCTGCGAGAGCGGGACGAATGGATGTTCAATGGGAACCTGTGAGTGTGAATCACCGGCAGGGGTTGTGTGGCATCTTTTAACTTGGCCTCAGTCGATCCGCACAGCTCTGATACTTTCAAGGAGGTGGCCCGAGACAAGTTCGAGATCTCATATGTTGACTCCAGCTACTCGAACGGCGACTATTTCGCGGATCGTTTCGAAATTGGCGGCGCAGTTGTGCAGAACTTGACCATGGGCCTCGGAATGAAGACCAACATCCCCTATGGATTAGTGGGGGTAGGTTACACTGTGAACGAGGCATCACTCTCGACAATGGGCTGCGAATATCCGAACCTGCCCGTTGCCATGCAGCACGAGGGTCTTATCAACTCGATCGCCTACAGTCTCTGGCTCAACGACTTGGATGCCAACACTGGCAACATCTTATTCGGAGGCGTGGACACGGCAAAATACATTGGCCCTCTGACCAAAATCGACGTCATTCCAGATGATGATTCAGAAAACTACACTCACTTCTCAGTATCACTCACTTCTTTGGAAGCCACAAGCCCAAGCGGCACGGATGTCTTGACCTCACCTGATGGTCCCCTTAATGTCGTACTCGATGCCGGAACGACTCTGTCATACTTGCCACATGACATGGCCTCAAAGGTATGGGAAGAGGTCGGGGCAGAATATCAGGGCGCCTTTGGCATGGCAGTCCTGCCTTGCTCACATGATGCTCACCCAGGCTATTTCTCTTTCGGATTTGCTGGATCCCAAGGGCCTCGGATCAATGTGACTATGGACGAGCTTGTCGTGGATTTGACAAATGGGGAGCCCCCCACGTTCGCATCTGGTCCCTATGAGGGTGAACTTGTGTGCGAATTCGGCATCCAAAACTATTCAACCGGGCCCTACATCCTTGGCGATACGTTTCTCCGCTCAGCATACGTTGTGTATGATCTTGAAAATAACGAAATCGCCATCGCGGCCACCGACTTTAACTCGACGGATACCAAAATCGTTCCTTTCCGGAGCAAAGGTGCCCCAATACCCTCGGCCACGGCAGCAGGAGAGCACATCGAGTCCGCAATGCCACCGTTGCCGACAACAAGTACGCTTATCGCCGCCGAGGGCTTCCAAGACGGAGATGGGCTCGATGACGGCGCAATGACGCTCAGAAAGTTTACACTCACTGGGATTGTGACCGTCGCCATTTCTGTTATGTTGCTGAGCACATAGCACTGCGACGAACGTAGGGTCTGCCAGAGACAGCGACCAAACTGCTCACATTCCATTTTACGAATAACGACGTTGCGTTGGGTCTGGGTTTGGGTGGTCCTACTTTTAGCGAGGAGTTCTGGTGTTAGTATCCGATCTTGGCGGTGATCATGGTTATACATGTTTGGTTTGTCTAGGAGACAGTATTACACTGTGGTTTAATGGGAATAATGTCGGCACCATTATCATGGCAATTATCCCAAAGTTGTTCATCATCTTGTTAACCTGAATGAAGCCCGAGTGCTCACACGAATTAATTAACAGGACGCTGGCTGCTCGATCGAGACTGGAAACTGACTGCGAAAATTAGTCCTGCACGTAATTTGTCATTGAGAGCCACATGGCAGGGGCCGCTACGGAGCCGCCGCCGCCCGCGCGTCAAAACGCGATTCGGTTTGCCCAAAAATTTGAACCAGTCCGCCGCCCCATCATCAACTTGATCTTCTCAATTTGTGATTTGCGATCTTGCCTCAATGTCGGCCACGAGGATGGCGAGAGGTTTCCAGCGGCTTCCAAGCCGCATGTTTGCAACCTCCCAGCGATCCGCGTATCTGGCTCGACCCGCAGTCTCGGTGTATGCCCAGCAATATCAACCTCGACGGCCGTTCAGCTTGTCAACGCTTCGTTTTGCAAGTGCAGCGCAAGAAGCGTAAGTTTCAGAATATCCAACTAAATCGACAGTACTGATGATCCGGTCCATAGCCTTAAAAAAGCTCAAGATGATGCCGCAAGTCTAACACCCGAATACGTGGCTGCCAATATGGCCCCGGAAGAGAAGAAGAGACTGTCGACGGTGCGCAACATCGGCATCGCAGTACGCAACCCTTTGCCCGGACTTCCTGTTCGACGTTTTGCTGACTCGACTTCTGACAGGCGCATATCGATTCCGGCAAGACAACAGTTACGGAACGAGTCTTGTTTTATACGGGACGAATCAAGGCAATCCATGAAGTTCGAGGCAAGGATTCGGTCGGTGCGAAAATGGACTCTATGGACCTGGAAAGAGAAAAAGGCATCACGATTCAATCTGCCGCTACCTTCTGCGACTGGCAAAAGACCGTGGACAACAAGGACGAAACCTATCACATCAACCTGATCGATACTCCTGGCCACATCGACTTCACCATCGAAGTCGAGCGTGCGCTGCGCGTTCTTGATGGCGCTTGCATGATATTATGCGCCGTCAGCGGAGTCCAGTCACAAACGATCACTGTCGACCGTCAAATGAAGCGATACAACGTGCCGCGGATTTCCTTCGTCAACAAGATGGATCGCATGGGCGCCAACCCCTGGAAAGCTGTCGAACAGATCAACACAAAGCTCAAGATTCCGGCAGCGGCAATCCAGATACCCATTGGCGCGGAGGATGAATTCCAAGGCGTGATCGACTTGATCGAGATGCGCGCGTTGTACTTCGAAGGACCTCGCGGCACGAAGATTCGCGTTTCAGATCAAATACCTGCCAACCTCAAGTCAATGGCAGATGAGAAGCGGCAACTTCTGATTGAGAAGCTAGCCGATGTTGACGACGAAATGGCAGAGCTCTTCCTAGACGAGCAAGAACCCAGCAAAGACCAAATCAAGGCCGCTATTCGCCGGGCCACTATAGATCGCAAATTCACCCCAGTTTTGATGGGGTCTGCGCTCGCCGATAAGGGTGTACAGCCCATGCTTGATGCTGTCTGCGACTACTTGCCTTACCCTTCTCAGACAGAAAACATGGCTTTGGACAAATCGAAGGGGGAGAAGGCCGTCAAGTTGGTCCCATACAATTCACTCCCATTTGTTGGCTTGGCCTTCAAGCTTGAGGAGAACAACTACGGACAGCTTACATATATCCGCGTCTACCAGGGCACGCTGACAAAGGGTTCATATCTGTTCAACTCGAGGACAGACAAAAAGGTTCGCATCCCACGTATCGTGCGGATGCATTCGAACGAAATGGAGGATGTTTCCGAGGTCGGCGCGGGAGAGATCTGCGCTGTCTTTGGTGTAGAGTGTGCTTCTGGCGACACTTTCACTGACGGCGGTCTTCCCTACACCATGTCGTCCATGTTCGTTCCCGACGCTGTTATGTCGCTCTCCATCACGCCGAAGCGCAGTGGCGACGCCGACAACTTCAGTAAAGCTATGAATCGCTTTCAGCGCGAAGATCCCACATTCCGCGTTCATGTCGACCCTGAGAGTGAGGAGACAATAATTTCAGGCATGGGTGAGCTGCATCTTGAAGTCTACATTGAGCGCCTTCGTCGCGAATACAAGACAGAAGTCGTTACAGGGCAGCCTCGTGTGGCTTACCGGGAGACCATCCAGCGCCGCGCTGACTTTGACTTTCTGCTCCGCAGGCAGACTGGCGGACCTGGCGACTTTGCTCGTGTTGCCGGGTGGATTGAGCCCAACGACCAGCCCGACACAAATCATTACGAGAGTCAGATCATTGGTGGTACCATTCCCGACAAGTACTTGAGTGCCTGTGCCAAGGGCTTCGACATCGCCACCGACAAAGGGCCTCTCCTGGGACATCGAGTCATCGGTTCGAAGATGGTGATCAACGATGGTGCCACCCACGTCACGGACTCATCTGACTACGCCTTTAATCTCGCCACACAGATGGCCTTCCGCAAGGCTTTTACTGAAGCAGGAGGCGCCGTTCTCGAACCCCTTATGAAGACGGTTATCACTGCACCCAATGAGTTTCAAGGCAACATCTTGATGCTCATGAACAAGCGTAATGCTACTATTCATGACACTGAGATTGGCTCCGAGGACTTTACTTTGACTTGCGACTGCAGTCTGAACGCAATGTTCGGGTTCAGTTCTCAGCTTCGCGCTGCCACCCAGGGCAAAGGAGAGTTCAGCATGGAATTCAGCCATTATGCTGCTGCACCACCCCACCTCCAGTATGTCTTGGACCTCTATGATCCCGCGAATAATACTGACATGTACAACAGAAAGGAATTGGTCGCCAAGCATGAGGCTGAGCTCGAGGCCAAACGTACAAAATAGAAATGAGCACGGATGGAGGACACGTAGCATTGGGCAACAATGTATACTGCTGTATATTGTGTAAAACATGTAGAACAACGGGTATATACATAGACTTGGATTGCCAGCATGGTCCTTACAAATGGGCCGAGGAATAGAACAACAATACTACCGGGCATCTTATGCTTGTTGCGACGAGGAGGAAGGTGAAACAGCGACTGGAGATCGCATCGACATCAGCAACAGCGCTACCAACATCGTCCTAAGCACATTTTGGGACACTCGCTGTTCCTCTGTTGCCAGGCAGGGTTCCTACGCGAATTACTAGCCCATAAACCCTGTTCCGAGTTCACCAAGTATTCTTGTACGTATCAGGAAGCCAAGGTTTTTCGCTGAATCACTGCAGTCTGCAGGAGTGAAACAGTGACTATGCTCTCACAGCTTGGCATGTGGGTCATTATTAGCGAAGCATTGATTTTGTCAACCTGTGAACCCCTGAATTTCAGACGGTCGCGCCAACGGTGCCACCCGCGTCTCCGCGTCTCCACGCGCCGATGATCTTGTTCGACCTCTCCCGTTGTTTGCACGCACTTGTCCAGATACCCCTTGCTACCTTACAGCTGGATGTGATTCGACCCTTTCTCGTCCTTGGCTATTCGGAAGCCTCGTTGAGCGAATGTCACAGGTCGACCAACAAATAGACGACCGATAGCAATCCACGTCCTCCTTCGCGAAATCTGGAATCCGGCCGCGAAACATCGACATACCAACCAGGCAGCAGTAACAATCACGACGTGTGAAGGTGGAAGCCCGTTGCCAAAATGAGCCAGGTCAAGAACCTGAGGGCCATGTTTGAAAACAAAGGCGATGACCCAAATCCCCCAGATAGGGGCAGATCTCCTGCAGGCTTCAGCTCACATAGAGGTACGTTGTTACCTTTGTAGAGCACAACGCCCAAGGCATTCCACCAGCTCGGCTTTATGGCCGATATTATAGCACAGGAACCCCATAGCATATGCTAGTCTGCGGCTGAGCCAGTCGCCCAGGACTTGTGTGTGCACCAGGCATCACAGAAAGACACATTGCAACTACAACCGAGTATCGATTGTACTGACCGGCTGTGACACAGGTTCAAACGCCTCTGAGTCTCCCAGGCCGCTCTCCACTGTCCGCACCAACTTCGTAGCCATCGAGAAGCACGGTCGCATTGGGCTGCGACGTGACCACAGCTTTGAAACCAGTCCATCAGGGAGAGCTGCTAGCAACGAGGCGGACAATGAGTCTGCCACATCTGCTCCCACCGAAGACGTTGGACGAGCGAACCGAAAATTGTTTTTGAAGGAAGCTATACCCGAATCACCACAAAGTTTGAGCATAGATGCCAAAGTCATGGTTCTGGACAAGAAGGATGGTGATGCGGTCGCCAGCCAGGCCACATCTGGCACAAGAAAGGCCGCAAATTGGGTCTCTTCAACACCAGTCGACTCTGGGGATGAAGCAACAACCAGTCAAAGGCACGGCCAGTCTGCAAAGGAGAGCGCGTTGACGTCGGGGGAGGCTCCGCCCTCAGAAGAACGACCCGTAGCGCAGGAGCAGACACAGCCAGCACGGACAGCCGACAAGACCCAGAAGGGCCCGAAAGTTGCAGCCAACTCGGGTGCCAAACCTCCTCCCAGAGCCAGCAGGCCAGCGGCTGAAAAGCAACCCGTCACTGCCCCGGGACGCGCACAATCTCGAACGTCTGTTGCTGCCCCCAGTCACGCGAAGACTGCCTCTTCTTCAGGGGCAAAGGCGGTCTCCTCTTCGGGAACGCAGAAACCGGCACCGATCAGGATCAATAAAGTATCGGAATCCGGGTTCGTCAAGCCGAAGCCGAAGTCACCAACGAAGCCCCTCAACTTGCCGTCATCTCTAATGGCACCTACAGCGTCCTCTGTATCAAAAGGCGCGGCTGCATCTAGTAAACGGTCTGGCGGTCTCGATCCTGGGACAACTTCAGGCCGGCCTGCCAGTAGAGTGAGCGCGAATGGGCCTGGAGGAGGCCGGACGATAAGGAAGCAACCCTCTTCTATCCACGGATTACGCCCCAGCGTGGGGCCTCCGCCAAAACAGCCTTCGTCGAATGCGGCCACAGCCCATCGGGAGAAGCAAGTGGATGAGGGTTTCCTCGCACGGATGATGCGGCCTACCCAGTCGTCTTCGTCCAAGACGAACGAGAAAGCACCCCCGACGCCCCCAAGGCGGTCTGGGCAACGCCAAGTACAGTCGAGTACCACGAACAGCCCACGAAGATCCAATGGCATCAAAAAGACTAGTGTCACGACTGCCACTGCACGCTCCCCCTCTCTATCGTCGTCGAAAAGGCCATCTCTAGACCCAGCGGTGGAAGCCGAATCCTCTAGCGTTGAAGTCCTGCCTGGTGCTTCTGAGGTGACCAGCGGTATGAAAGACAATGACAGCAGCAGCCAAGCTGGTTTGGAAGAGCGGGCGCCTTCGGAAAACGAGGCTTCGGGTTCAGAGCAGCAGATCCCTGCCCTAAAATCCGATGAACAGCTGGATGCGGTGGAAAGTTCTGCTGGGCCCCAGAAAGCGGACGAAAAAGTTCGCACGCCTTCGCCCGAGGCGCCTCTTACTGAAGGCGTTCTTCCAGACCAGTCCGAACAGGTACGCTACGCAGATGCTGATGATACCGCAGTGTCGGTGCAGCCGGATGGTTCGGCCGCGAGCGTACGGCTACCCCAACAGCAGGAAGATACTGCATCCTCAGATGAAACAGAGGTGTCTATCCAGGCACTTGAAGAGGGAGAAGTCTCGAACATTCCTTCTGCAATTCGTCCCGAGTCCCAAGCAGGAGACGGCGCCAATGAGTCAGCAACTCCTTCTTTTTTGCCGACTGCTGATCAGCCAAGCTCCCAGACCATGGCAGAGAACCATCCCGTACTCGAGGAATAATTTTGTACTATTAGACACCCTTATCCTGGGAAACTTCATCGGTGAACACACCGCAAGTTGGATCCACGCAACACCATTTTTAGCGTTGACTCTTAAGCATAGCATGATTACACTATTATTGGCAGACTTGTTTTATCAAATACATTACTGAAGCGTGAAACTTCCTTGCTGTTACGTCGTACATCACTAGTGATACACTATCAAAGTGAACATATATACACACAAGAGCATATCTCTTGAAACACCATGCGGCACTCAATTAGTGCGGCATAGGAGTAAACCACCCAATTTCCGAGCCAGCGCCTCCCGAGACTCCAGTACTCCTTGCGAAGTAGCGACATAGAGACACTCTCCCAAATTGAGGCCCGGAACAACCCCCCCTTTCAAATGCGCGGAGAGCCCACGCGTGAGCTTGCCGAGCTCCGCGATATTGACTGTCATAAGTCTTGACGGCTTGCTGATTGGGGTGGCCTGTGACAGAACCGGCTTCCCATCCCAGTACTTCATGCCCAGCCAAAGCCGCATTTGTGCCACGTTGGCCGTTGTGACCTTTTCCGGCTCCTGAGTAATCATTTGTTCTAGTGTCGGAGGTTTTGGCCCAGCTCGGTATACGTGAGACAAGAATCCCGACCGATGTAGGGCAAGGGCAAGATTGAGATTGAATTTGTTGTTCGGTACGGATGTGATCGCCAGACGTGCTTTCGATACGTTCTGCAGATGCGAACACATGTTCGAAATGGTCTGAACGGAGGGCATGCTGGGCAAGTAAAGCCCCAAATTGGGCTAACCAGAGTTCGTGCGGGCTGGTGGGTTTCTCCAAAGTCTTTCGCTCGGCTCGCTGTGACGTTGTCGTTCAAATAGGTGTTTGTCGATAATCTGAAGATGGCTCAGTACCAGGCCAGATGGATGAAGGTCGCGGCGTTGTTCTCACCGTTGGTAGCCAGGGGCTCGGCCTCGGGAAGCGTTAGATAGACCGTGCAAGCCAGCCCGCGCATGCGTTGCTCTTGGGTGTTGGAAACCGGTGGGTGAGTGTGCAATATAGTCAAGAAGCGCTGGCACAAAAAGTTCGAGACGTGAACACGACCAGCGCCGCGAAAGACTGGAGCCCCACATTTCCATTCGAGCGCTGGCGCGCCCAAGATGTCCGCGTCTTTTGCTGACCCTGCGCCACTGAACCCCTAATAAGCAACCTCTTTGCGAAATCGCCAGCTTTACTTGAGATACTCACAGCAGTTGGACGACATGAGCTCAAGGCCATTGCAATGTCCGATGGGTTCCTCTGGGATCTACATGATTGAGCACCTACAGCCTGTCAACATCATTGTCGCGGCAGCCTCCACCAATTCTCACGCGGCGGGCATTTTGTCACATCTGCGGGATGACTGTGAGCTGGCAATTAGAGCGAGAGCACGTCGTAATAATGGCACGCTCAACTGCCGTCCATGATCTATAAGTATGTACACGAGCCAAGATAATAATACATGAGTACGCCAGGTGACATGAAGCGGCAAGCATGCCTCCTAGGCAAGCATAGTCCGCAAAGACTCCCTGAGATACCGCCTGTAGCGATATACCACAGCAGCACCCCCAAGTACCACCGGGCTAACAGCGAGCGCGAGAAAAGCCCTCAATAGGACCTTTCCCTGATACTCGCTCCTTCGGATCACCTCTCGATAGCCCTCATTGCTAAAGCTCACCCTAGCATACTTCGTCTGCCACCCCCAGCTAGGTAGATTCACACTCATGAATTCCTCCAAGTACTTGCGTAGTCTGTATCGATAGGACAATACGGAGGACCGCATTTCCACATAATTCTGCAGCGCAAGGTCATTAATGGCATGAGCGTCCGGGGCCCTGACTTTTGAATATTCAGCCAGAGCCCGCAATCTTTGGGATGCTGGGTCCACGGCTGCAGGTGACTCTTGCGTGGGGTCATTGGTCTCGTCCAGGATCGCATGTTTGTCCATTATGGAAAACAAGACCCGTACATCTTCCATTCCCGCGTTCATGCCCTGGCCATAGAAAGGAACCATTGCATGTGCTGCGTCCCCAATCACAACACCGGAAGCGGCATAGTGATATGGGCGACACTTGATGCTGATCAAGGGCAGATGGGGATTCGTTTCAAAGGACTTGATCAGGTCCGCCGCGGGTATAAGATCGGTGACACCTGGGAAATGCTGGTCAAAGAAGGAGGGTAGTGCAGCAGTATCCCTTTCGAGCATCGCGAATTGTCCACTTGGCAGAAACAGGGTGCATGTGAAAGATCCATCCTTATTCAAAATCAGCAACAATATCATTTTCTCGCGTCATTCGTTGAGCTTACCTCGCTCGGGATGGCGATGAACATGAAATCCTGACCCGGCCAGATATGAAGATGGTTGGGTGAAATGCAAAATGCATTTTCACGATCCTCGCCTTCAGATAGCTTCCTCGGCGGCAGATAGAACTCGCACCATAGGGTGTCAATGTATTCTTGTTGGTAATCCATGCGAGAAAACTTCATCATGTGATAACGGACGGCGGAGTGAGCACCATCGGCGCCAATCATCAAGTCGAAACTGATCTCAATCTCTTGCGGCCTGCCATTGTCCGGCGATATGCGATCTTTCCTCTCGAACCATGCCTTTTGCGTGCGAAAGTCGGCACCTGTGAGCTTGTGGTTGAACAGTAGTTTGACATTTGGCATGGCATCGAGGATGTCCAACAGGCGCTCATTCAGACCAGCACGATCAATGGCATAAATGGCCTGCTCATCATTAGCTGTCTGTACCTTTGCTCAATGTGAGGCAGCTTGCGCATGGCTCCACTTACCCTTCCCTTCGCGTCGTAGTCCTGAGAATGTTCGTACAAGTCTCCCAATGGTCCTCGGCCATGTATCATCCGCCCTCTCATTGGTACTGTCGCTCTCATAACATGTTTCAATAGATCCGAGTTGCCGGAGTCTCGCATCGCTTTGATCCCACGTTCAGATACTGCAAGGTTGATAGAACGTGTGAAATTCAGAGGTATGATGCCGGGATTCCTCAAATCTGCGTTCCAAGATTAGCCCTGGAGAGCCCAAGGTACAGTGTAATTGGGAAAAGGCATATTCAGTAAGTCTGGCCACATGGCTGCTACAACAGAGCGGCAGCTGCTGTTTGCGATGCGGTCGCGACAACGGGGGATGAAAACTCGGTCCGCACGAGCGCCCTACTCACCTGGTCTCAACTCGTACAGCTCTACCTCAAAACCTCTTTGCGCAGCATAAAGAGCGGCCAAAGACCCGACAGGTCCGGCGCCGACAATGGCAATCTTTGGAGGCGACTTCATGTTTGAGTGCCTTGGTTGCAAGGTCAGAGTAGAAAAATCTCGCAAGGGAATCGTTCCTCATGTTCTCGAACCTAAATAGTACACGGACAAGTAAACCCCGTTGCGTTACCCTAGATCCGACGAAGTCTGCTCAGTCGACATAACAAAAATCAGTAAGCGAAGCGATTGAGATAGCGTGACGTTGACTAATAATAAGTCAATGAGCACACGACTCATCGGGGCGTCCATTCTTCGGTTAATTGCCTTACCAACACTCCGTACAGGCAGACTAACTTATATTAGTGCCCGGAAGACCGCTGAAACGGTACGTGATTGAGCTTCAGTACTACGTACGCTAATTTGTATGGAGTTAGCAACTTAGTTATCATCCCTTCGTGGCCATCCCAATTAATTCCAGTCACCTGTCTCGTACGAGCCATAAGCAACATCTTAATGATGAACAATACCTACTTGAGAGCTGCGGCTAGTCCCAAGAACCATTAGCAACATTGACCCTAGTATCTGAGGGACAAAGTCCACAAAAGGGACGTCACGGTCCTCATGTGGTTCCCCACATTGTAACTTGTTCAGTTTATGTAGTATGTAAGTACCTAGCACCTCGACGGGCAAATCTGCAACTTTGGCTGGCGTTTGGGGTGAGGGGCACTTTTTTTTCCTCGGCCGAAGACTCCTTGAACGCACGAACTACCGAACGGCCTTCAACATTGTCAAAGCCTACGAGCATCTCACCGCATTTGGCACAGTAAGCCTCTAAAACTTACTAAAGAGCTGAAAAGCACTTCACGCTCGCCCATCATGGCCGATGAACAGTCTGCGACGAAGAAGAAGTGCATGGGATCGGATTGCGACAATGATGCTGGCTCATTGCAATGTCCTACTTGCCTGAAGCTCGGGATCAAAGATAGCTTTTTCTGCTCCCAAGATTGCTTCAAGAAGAACTGGGTAACCTGCCCTCGTCGGAAAGCAGGGGAAACACGAACTAACTGCCTGACCAGGCCACACACAAGCTTATGCACAAGTCCCAAAGTAAGTTCGATATGTTCGCTTATGCCCCAGGACAGCTGACTGACAATCTTCAGGCAGTGAAACATACAATCCTTTCCCTACCTTTCCCTACACTGGGCCACTCCGACCGGTGTATCCTCTGTCCGAGCATCGAACGTTGCCGAAATCGATTCCCCATCCCGTTTGGTGGCAAGATGGAAACCCGAAATACAGCAGGTCCCTGATCAACCGCAACAAGATCGAAATACTCGATGCCGCAGGCCAACAAGCCATGCGCAAGAGTTGCAAACTGGCTCGTGAGATTCTGGACATCGCTGCGGCCGCGGCCAAGCCTGGTGTCACAACAGATGAGATCGACAGGATTGTACATGAAGCATGTATAGAGCGCAAGGTGAGAGCAGCGCCGTGGAGAAGGTCGATGCAGAGTTCTGACGCCCACTTCAGTCGTATCCTTCGCCGCTCAACTACAATCACTTTCCAAAGTCTTGTTGCACATCACCGAACGAAGTAATTTGCCACGGTATTCCCGATAAGCGACCACTGGTTGACGGCGATATCCTGAACATTGATATCTCAATATATCACGAAGGGTATCATGCGGATCTCAACGAAACATACTACATTGGCGACAAAGCTAGCGCAGACCCCGAGAACGTACGCGTCGTCGAGGCAGCGCGAGAGTGTCTCGAAGAATCGATCAAAGCAGTGAAACCAGGTGTACTTTTCAGAGAATTTGGCAACATCATCGAGAAGCATGCGAAGAAGAAGAATTGCAGCGTCATCAGGACCTACTGCGGCCATGGAATCAACAAGCTGTTCCATTGCCCACCCAACGTGCCTCATTACGCAAAGAACAAGGCCGTTGGAGAGTGCAAGCCTGGAATGACCTTCACGATCGAGCCCATGATAGCTCTGGGCAAGTACCGCGATGTGACGTGGCCGGACAACTGGACGAGCACCACTATAGATGGCAAACGGACGGCCCAATTCGGTAAGACAGCGCTCTTGATTAAGAAAACTGACTTAGTCGTGCTAAATAATTTCACGCAGAACATACCCTTCTGGTCACGGAAACTGGCGTCGAGATCTTGACCGCCCGTACCGCGAACTCTCCCGGAGGACCAGTATCCTTGCCCACAGTCGAAAACGGCGCTTCCGCTTAGGCAGTGCGCTATGCGAGCTAGCGAAGGATAGACCCCCGGTCGTCTGTCGAGCACGATCAGGCTACCTTACCCTAGCTTCTTTCCCCGAGTCAATGTACTTGTATCTAATACATTTTACGCGTAACGGTAGAAGAAGCATACAGTAGGTGTAGAGTAGAGGCATGTAGAGAAGTTTTGATAGCAATGAATTGGTATCAAAGACGCTTGATCGAGCACTGGGTTGCCCGATTCTCTGTGTAGTATGTCTCACCAAGAATCTGCTTGCGGGAATCACTCCTGCAATGGCTCAGTGAACTGCGAGGCTCCATGTTGTTCAAATATCCCCACTTGAACCGTTGCCGTTGGGCGCCAGAGCGCCGTTGAGTCTGGAAGTGGTCCAGCCTGGCCCGCCGACCGTACGTACAAGTACGGCCAGAAAAACTCTCCACAACATCGGCGGGCTACCGCAGCTCCTGCCCTCCTCTTCCACCAGATCCCCCACCCAAGATCCCAGACCACCTCAGCTTATCTTCCTTCTTGCAATCAGTCTGCAACGCCGAAGTCCCCATCGCACAAGTCATCCTGAACTCGCGAGCTCCTTTGTTGCCTAACTTTGGGTTCCCGTGCACACTCCAGCTGCAGGCTCTCCGAATTCGCAAATCCGGATTTTTCGGTGTCGAGTGACGTACAGTACGCCATAAGCGAAAGCTTGCGATACTACTCCACCGTTCCAGCCCTTTGCGCCGTGATTCTACGCTACAGCGAGCTCGAAGTACGCAGCAGTGACTATTGCAGAAGCTCGAATCGCAATCTACCACCTCCGGCTCCCGAGAACCACCGACAAGATGATGTCTGGCGAAGCATGGCTTTTCCTGCTGGCCGTGTTGATCAACGCGGTCAACCTGTTCCTCCAGGTTTTCTTCACCATCATGTATAGCGATCTGGAATGGTGAGTAATGGCGCACCCCGAAACAGCAAGACCGAGCACATCTAGGCACGCTGTTGCCCAACTCTTCCTCCTCTTTCCCCCCACACGCTAGACAACATGATGCGTACTGACATGCCGAATCAGCGACTATATCAACCCTATCGAGCTTTGCAACCGTCTCAACACGTACATTATTCCCGAAGCTGCTGTCCACGGTTTCCTCACTTTCTTGTTCCTCATCAATGGTTATTGGCTGCCGTTGATCCTGAATCTGCCGCTTCTGGGCTGGAACATCAAGAAGATCGTCGACAACACCCACCTACTGGACGCGACTGAGATTTTCCGCAAGCTGAATGTTCACAAGAAGGTGCGCATTGTCCAATTGCTTTTCACTAAACCCACTAACGATATGTAGGAGTCATTCGTCAAGCTTGGCTTCCATCTGGTCATGTTCTTCTTCTACCTCTACAGCATGATCGTTGCGCTCATCCGCGACGAGTCCTCGTAAATCCGGCGACGCTTAGTCAACGCGCTCTATCCTGTCCTGTGATGCGGAAACAGGACATCAACTATTACGATCGATGACGAAAAGATGGGCTATATAGGTCGCTTTGTTGGAAATGAGCACTGGGAGTCGATAAGGGGACCGCATGGGTTGCAATTGGTGAATAGGTTCAGCGCAACTCGGTTTAGGAGAGACGCGGCTCTGTGCCACATGTGGGCACTGCCGTAGTACACGGCGCGTTTTTGGCGTTGGGGCTTCATGTAGCGCATGACTGCGAAGTGGCACCTGCTTCACTGTAGGGCAATGTGTCTTCCCAGCTGGAGCTTTTGATTTGAGAGGACAGATTGATGAATTGCCAATTTGTGCCTCGTGGTTAGGTGGATTCTCGGACCGTAATGGCCATGCTAGTTGGGACAGCCTGGATGTTACTCTTGCGAGGCCATAATACTTATTGACACATTCACCCTCCAAATATCAACAGTTCATGTCTGATATCTACATCTCATCACCAAGCAAGGTAATATTATGCTTTGTCCTACTGAGGTACGGTACAGCCAAGGTGATTGCGCTTCGCGCCATATCACGTGACCAAGCATACGGCTCCAAATCGTCGCGCTCCCCCATATCATATTCTTCTTCTGCATCCGGCGCAATCGCTGCTACACTACACGACAACATGGCTGGCTTTGGTGAATATCCGCCCAATATGGCGCCGCAGGACGCGCTTATCGTGCGTCAGCAAGCTGAACCCGACCACGCTGTAGTGCCATATTCGGCGGAGGACCTATCAAGACCCAAAGCTGGTCCCGCCAACCCGTTCAAGGATGGATCTGATGCACTTGGAAAACGCAAGAATGTACTCACAGGACACGCGGAAGAAGTCTTTTTAAGCGAGCATACGTTTCGAAGCAAACACCGAGCGGTAGAGCGTAGTGGGAGGCCGGAATGGGAGGGTTCGAGCGACGCGTATTCGAAGGTCGAAGCCGCTAGGATACGAGCAACTAGGGAAAGCAAGGGAGATGCGACAATAGCAGAAGGTGCCGGTGCCTATGTCGGACCATGGGCGCGATACGACCGGACGCAATACGAGAGAGTCGAAGATGACGCAGAATTGGCGAGCGACGAAGAGTATGAGATTGTGGAAGACGACGACGATGTTGTGGACAGCGGCACGGTCGTCCAGGCACCCGCAGAAGCTCTCGTGCGTCGGAAAGAGGCGGAAGAACAAGGAGATGAGTCGACAACTTTCCATGGCTCCGAGGAGTTCGATTACCAGGGGCGCACATACATGCACGTCCCGCAAGATCTCGACATTGATCTGCGCAAAGAGCCCGGCAGCACGACCAATTACATCCCGAAGAAGCAAATACATGCCTGGAAAAACCACACGAAAGCGGTCACTGCACTTCGATTTTTCCCCAGATCAGGTCACCTGCTCTTGTCCGCAAGTGCAGATACTACCATCAAGATTTGGGATACGTTCCACGAGAGAGAGCTCCTGCGCACGTATTCCGGCCATTCCAAAGCGGTGTCTGATATATCCTTCAACGCATCTGGGACACAATTTTTGTCTGCATCGTATGATCGCATGATGAAGTTGTGGGACACCGAAAAGGGCGTTTGCATCAGCAAATTTACTACAGGGAAAACCCCCCATGTTGTCAAATTCAACCCGGATCCAGAGCACTCGCACGAGTTTCTTGCTGGCATGTCGGACAAGAAAATTGTTCAATTCGATACACGTTCGCCGAAAGAGACTGTACAGGAGTATGATCACCACCTGGCCGCAATCAACACGATTACATTCGTCGATGATAACCGTCGGTTCATGACAACCTCGGATGACAAGTCATTGCGCGCCTGGGATTACAATATCCCCGTGCCCATCAAATACATCGCGGAACCTGACATGTATCCCATGACGCGAGCGGCCCCTCACCCGAGCGGCAAATATGTCGCATACCAAAGCTCCGACAACCAAATCCTTGTTTATGGTGCGACTGACAAATTCCGCCAGAACAGAAAGAAGAGCTATCGCGGGCACAACAATGCCGGAATGGCCATCGATCTTGACTGCAGCCCTGACGGGCAATTTCTCGCCTCGGGTGATTCTGGAGGTTTCGTCTGCTTCTGGGACTGGAAGACGTGCAAAATGTACCACAAGATGAAGGCCAGTGCACAGGCGGTCACTTGTGCTCAGTGGCACCCACAGGAGACCAGTAAAGTGGCGACTGCAGGCATGGATGGCGAAATCAGATACTGGGATTGAATGTTGAGTGGGCAGCTCAATTGAGTATTGAGTGAGCAGCTCGAGCAGGATCTTTGTACAATGGAAGAGCGCGCAGTCTGGGATCAATAGTTGAGCGCCTGAAGCGTATCCTCAACTCGGTCTTCGCGCTGTGCTGAGGTACTCGGCCAAGCTGGCAGGCGTCAGAACCATCAAGTCGATAAGACTATGCACGATTTCGGCGGCCGCAAGGGCGGTAGTCTCTCCGTGGTTGTCGAATGGTGGAGAAACCTCAACAACGTCTGCCCCGACGATCTTCAATCCACCGAGACCTTCAAGAATAGCCAGCAACTCTCGAGTCGACCATCCTCCAACTTCAGGGGTTCCAGTCGCTGACAAATGAGGTCAGTATTTTTCAGGAGATGCACCGGCGCTTGCAGGAGAATATAGGGGGTTTACCTGGCGCAAATGCAGGATCCAAAACATCGATATCGACAGTGATGTAGACCTGCGTGTCCTTCACACGATTGCGAATTTGATCTACAACTCCTTGGACACCGCAAGTGTCAAGATCCCTCGCTGTGATAGTTGCAAATCCACATCGTCTATCGTTCTTCATATCCCCTTCTCGTCTGTTCAGGGACGCTCGGATTCCGACGTGAATGGAGGAATTGCGGATCAGTCCCTGAGCGAGGTTCGTGAGCGCATCGCTGGCTGTATTTTCAGTACTTACCTCTTCATGTGCAACATGTAAGAATGTTCCATGATTCAGCCCTCTGTGAAAAGCGTCAGCTTGGAATTCCTCGCGGCACATGGGCGCATACGCATAGTCGGAAACCCCGCCACCTACTCTTCGAGTCAGCTGATGTAGGAATTCAAAGGCAAGGTCGTGGTGAAGTTCTTACCAAGAACTTTGGGATCCCACGTATCTTGAGAAAGTTTTTAGCATACGCTGAGAACGCTGTATTTGAGCAGCATGCTGCATCGGGGTCAAGCTCACCAATGTGACTATCGAAGTGAACCACTGACACGTGGCCCCAGTTGTCATAGGTGCCTCTTAGGGCTGACAATGTCGTCGTATGGTCCCCTCCTAGCGTTACGATTCTTGGCACATGGGACTTGGAATCGTCAGCGGGTGGCCGAGCCGCAGTCAGTCGATGGGCCTGATCAAGTGTCTTTATAGCTGCACGATTGTCGAGCCAAGTCATCGGTGCATCACCACAGTCCACAACCCTGGCCCAGCCTTTCAACGGATCGCGGCCTGCGTGATGTGTAAGTTTGTGGCATGGAGTGCAAGCATCTCACAGTGAATCTACCTGTGTACGTATCGAAACCCCATGCTTTCCTTAAGCTCCCAGCTCTGATGGCCGAGGGACCATAGCGAGCTCCGGGGCGCCCAGTGACCGTCTTTGGGAGGTTTAAAGTTAACCTGATGTGCCTTTCTCGCAATCGCAGGCAGTCTGGAGCTTACGGTGTCGAGCGGTGCCCCCAGCACAGCAATGTCGTATCGCTTCGTGCTATGGCTATCATTGTCTTTCTGGAAACATTGCGCATGTGCAACGCCCGCGAAGGTATTGAGACCAGAATAGGTTATCTCGGATATTTCTATGGGACCTTCGTCTGCAGGGCACTGCCTGAAGCCCAAGCGTTCTCGTCTGTACTCATCCTGCCCCCTAGAATTGACGACTGCAGCCTCTCCTGGGGAACTGACGCCAAAGACAAGGCCGGAGCGAGCAGTAGTAGCATGTACCTGAGTAGCATTCTCAAGCAAGTTGATGTAAGTGCTTCTTTCTGGCCATTATCGCGGGATTCTTACCCTCACGTCATCATTAGTCTATCATACCGTGCCGGAAGCCACCACCGCTGTGCTACGCATCTTACTAAGCCCCTCCGAGTACATCGTTCGCAACAGTAGCACGGCCGTTTCTAACTCTGTAGGCACTGTTTTACTAGTTGGACGCAGGCATTACGTACTAAAGAATGTATGGTCGTTATCCAGCATAGGAGTATTCCTCAATCCCCAAGTCTACATGTACATAGCTGAGTTGATCAGCCGGCGATGTGTACGCCGTTGGCCCCTCGGGATGCGTTTCTTGGATCGGCTTCGAGGCATTGGCTTGATTAGTCGCCAGGTTCAACCATTTGACTCTGCGCATAAGCATGCTGCCCAGGTATCGATGGACATTGAATGGAGTATGGACCAAGGACCAAGGGATCAAAGTTCACCAAACCGTGGGGTAAGCGGGGTGTGCATGCAGCACGACTCAGCTCCTCAATTGCCATGCGTGTCCGCTGACTCGATCCCCTTAAGCGTTGAAGACTGAGCTGAGACTAAGTGGGGCAGGGTCATCAACTTCCAAGTTCCGCCGTGGCTGGTGCTGTGCGTACGGGTAAACACATCCACGATCTATTGCTTGTCCCCTTTTCTTCACCGAGATTCTGATGTGCAGCACGGAAACAACACCGGTGCCGCCAATTCCAGTTTCTTGATTGTGTTTGGAATTATACCGTCCGAAAACCATTAGAAAGAAGAAGAATGGGTATCGGGATCGTCGTTGATCCAGGAATTAAGACACTCCATGGTGTCGCGGGCTCGTCATGCATCCAGCGGAGAGCAAGGTAGCAGCTGGTCTGCCCCCAAAGATGCAGGGATCACCCGCAATCCCCAGAGCTAGCCTCCCCCATTCCCCACAAAGTTCCCCGAAAGAAGAATCACTGATCACGTTCCCCAATTGCTTGGTTTCCTCCAGAACCCAGCGTCGTCCTGCCTTCTCTTCTTCTTCTCGCAAGGCTTGCCCGCTCAACAATCCAAACAATCGACTATCTTCAGAGCATCATGTGTGCCGACCAGCTCGTGGCATCAGTCAATGGGTCTACGCCCACAGATCCCAAGGCGAAGGCCCAGAACAAGATACGAAAGCGTGCGCCAAAGGCATGTCTCTCTTGCAGAGCACGCAAGGTCCGTTGCGATGTGTCGCAGCGCGGCAGGCCCTGCATGAATTGCTATCTTGATAGCGAGACATGCGTAGTGACGGGTAGGGCATCTAGGTTGTGAGTCAATCACATGCTCGTCTGTGCTTGTTGTTGAACATGGTAGCTTACATGTTCCCGTGTAGCCGTCGAGCTCATCGCGAACCTGGTGACAGTGTGCGAGCTTCGTATCCTCCATATCCTCCTCCAGATGGCTCCGAGCGACAGACTGCGGAGGCTGTCGTCAAATCTAGGCTTGATGGGCTTCCAATGCCCCCGCCCGCCGCGTCTGTACAGCCTTTGTCCACGGTTGAACATGAGGCAACAAACACATGTACGCCCGAAGCTACCACCAAAGTAGACGACAAGCCTCGCGAGGACGTGGGTCCCGATACTAGTGCAGATAGTCTTTACGTTGCACCACCCGCACCCCTTGCGACGGCACGATCCCCCGAGGAGATCCGACCACAAACACACGGTGGGTTGATTCACTGGTCTCGTCCCAACTGTAGCTGACCATGCCCACCTAGCCTCTCAAGCTATGCCTTACTCAACGAGAACTTTCCAGAACGATACTGACTTTTCGCTTGGGCACAATCACTGGAGTTTGGATCATCCGATGGGACTCAGCGCAGAGGTCGTCTATTCATACTACCCGTTCTTGACGATCAGCAACTTGCCGAATATACCTCCCCAGGACGTCAACTTCCTCGAGTTACAAGGATGTCTACGCGTGCCGACACGAGCTTTTCTGGACGAGTTTCTGCAGCAGTACTTCCTCCATGTTCACCCGTTGTTGCCACTGGTGAATGAAGGAGAGTTTTGGAATATATACAGCCCAGGAAAGAGCTCAGACGGCGCCAACGATAGAGTTTCCCTGCTTGTGCTTCAGTCTATACTATTTGCCTCGTGCAATTTCGTATCCAGGGGGACCATCAAGGCTTTGGGCTACCCAAGCATCAGAGCCGCCAGAGGATCCTTGTACAGGCGTGCCAAGTTGCTTCACGACCTGGAATCTGAATCATCGCCACTCGCAATTGCGCAAGCAGCACTACTCTTGTCGTATTGGTCGCCGTCTTCGACTAGGAATCCGAACACTTCGTGGCTGAGTCTCGCCATACAACACGCAAAGGGCGCCGAAGCCCAGCATTATGCAGCAATGCCGCTGTTTCCTGCCGAAACTCATCCACTGCAAAGGAAAAAGCAGAACATCCTGAAGCGGATCTGGTGGTGTTGCATCATCCGTGATCGAACTTTGGGCTTGCTCATGCGGCGACCTATACAGATTACTAGAGCGCATTTCGACTTCGATTCGAATCCAACATTTGGCCTCGCCGACCTGGCGGATGAGTTCAACCGATCCAGAGTTTACAATGGCGAGACCAAAAGATGCCTTGGTGGTATTTTGGCCCAGCTCATTGAGCTATACATTGTTTTGACCGATATATTGATGCTGGTGTTTCCATTGGACGACACACCGGGCTGGGGTCGAGACATGAACCTCGAGGACGTCGACCGTGTGAAAGAGTGCAAGATGGCCCTGAGGCGATGGAACAAGGACTCTACCCTCCGGTTTCCCATGTTCAGCGGTGGGCAGACAACGCAGTCGATGGCCGGGAGGAGGCACCAGTGCAGTCACGATTCAGTGATCCTGTACACCAACCTCATGTACATGTACTATCACTCGACCCGAGTCGTGCTGTGTCACCACGAGATTCTTCACCTGGCTATACTGCAAGCGGCACCCAACAGCGATGACCGTATCACACGGGACTTATCTGTCATCTATGAAAACCGACACGAGCTCCAGGATGCTGCTTCTGGGGTCACCGAATGCCTGAAAGAGCTCGTTCACCTCAAGTTGGCCCGTTGGCTGCCCATCTCGGCAGTTGCATGCACTGCGCTGCCTCTTGTTCTGAACATACTCGATGTCAAGCTATCATCCTCAGCAAGTGAATCCAATCTTGACTCAAACGCCGCTTCTGCGCTGAAGCAGCATCGGCTGAACATTCTCATTGAAGCCATGCGGACTTATCAACCACAGTACGACGGCGTGGACTGGGTCAGCGAGATTATCCGGCATATTGTCAACCTTGCTCAGATTGAGAAACCAGCGTCCCGTGTACCAGGCACGAAGGCGGGCATCAACGATTGGACGGACATTCTGGCATTGCAGCCGAGCTCGTATCTCCGGCTGGCATTGGCGCTGGATCTAAGTCTTAGCAAGGGGAGGCTCCCTGAGGACGGCGACTTCCCCGTGAGCCTCCGCGGCCTCTTCACGGGTGGCTTTAGCCCGCTCAAGTCGCTCGTCGATGCCAACAGATTCGGTGGGCAGGCCAGGGCACCGGACACTGAGTTTTCAGAGTCGCAGCGCTCGAATGTCGGCCAGAGGCATCAGTCGCAGGAAGAGCTTGACTCGCAAGGCTCAAACCAGTCCCCTACTGATTCGTACATGACCAAATCAGATGAGGCGGCACACGAGGTCCTTCGCGACCAAATACGTTCTCGAATCAGACTTGATCGGCCAGCGGGTACCAACATGCCCCCTTCCGAAGGATTGGATGGACTGGGACCGTTGGGCAACGATGTTTTCTCGCTAGATGAGTCGCCCAACTCAACGAGCGACTTTGGTGGCATGTACATTGACGGGCCGATGCCTGACGTCTCTGCCGAGTGGATCGAGAACCTCTGGGGTGAAATGGGGGAAATGGAAGACAAGACAGACAGGGACACTGCAAGGGTCCTTCTAGAAGCCTTGAAAGAAGGCGACATGGGGGAGTGTGTACGCTGAGTTCCGTGGAGAAGAACCCCTTGTCACGTTATTAGAAAACCTGAGATTGGCTTATTTCTATTAATAATTATTAGTGGAAGATTTACAACTAAAATTGTGCTGTAACTAGTGATACAGGTTGTATGTAGCAAACCAAATGCATGTTGTAAGGTTGTAAGTCGGTAGCCAAAAAGCCACATGGTCAACCCAACCGCCCAGATATTGTTACAAGCCATGATAAGGCCTCCTGTGCGCCTTTGTAAAGGACCCCAAACCGTTGACGCCAGCCAAATGCTTCAAAATGCAAATAACTCCGTTGCCCCAAAGATTGGCCCTATCAGCCAATACCAGCCCCGAACCCCTTTTCCCTTTTCCCTGGACGATCCGCATTCCGCAGGCAACCACCATACAGAATCGCCGGTATCTCGCATGACCACCCCAGAAATCATGTCGCCATCTGGCCGACAACGCGAGATAAGAATCTTGGTGGTTGTGGGGGGATCTTATCGACGCCCATCTTCTTGCGAGGCCTGAGTGGGCAGTCACCACCGCAGCTTGGGCAGCGAAGCACCTGGTGCTTCGACCACACCCTAAGACACGAACATATCCATAGATCTCTGCCCGTCCGCGTTGTCAAACTGTCGGAAGCCACATGTAGGCCTGCGCGGACACCGCATTCAATACAGAACCGGCGCAAGGAGACGAGGGTATCTGCCTGGGTTGGCTGTCGGTCCCGTACAGGACGGCCCAGGCGGTCGATGTAGGCCGTTTGGGACTGCAACGCATCAAAGCAGTCTGGCGATCGTACTTTGAAGCAAATGTAGCACTCAAAGTTGCCGGGATGGTATTCTTGTCCCTTCTCGCTCGGCCGATGTTGGGGAAAGTCTTTGGCCGCACGCATGACGAACTGCAACTTGTCTAGCGGATCCGCCATCGCTTGAGGATTTACAGTGTGGTTGAAGAAGCGATTTGTTGCCGATAGGTGAATGAGACTCTCGTAGTCAAGCTGCGATATGATCATGCGCTGAAGCTCCGCCGGAAGCTCAAGTAAGGAAGGGCCCATTTTCTTGGATGTAGGCATTTGATGTTGTGGGTGGATGGTTGGTCGTGGCTACAAACTAATACAGGAATGGTTCCGAGCACTGGCTGGCAGCAAGCTCGCGGCTGGGCCACGATTGATGTTATATAACGTTACGGTACCGCCCTACCGAGCTGTCAAGCTCGATCGACCAGGGTCGACGCGTGCCAGTGCTGAGCACCAGCGTGGAATTCCGGCCGGGGAGCTGATCCGGACGTCTGGGATGGACAGGGTTCGGCAGTCAACAAGGGGGATGAATTGTGCGCACGAGGCACCTGTTCGCCTGTCGAGGTCCCGACTCGATAGGCGTATGCAAGCCAAGGTGGAAAGGAGAGGCAACTGTTAAGCGCGAGTGATTGATTGGAAGTGGTCGTATGGCAGCCAAGGGAGGTAGGTTTGTTGGAATGCTCACTTATTAGTATACGGTATGAGAAGGGCAGCATTGGGGAAACACACGGCTGCACAACCTTCATCAACAGGAATCAGGGCAGCAAGAGACATCTTGCTTGCCTTGCATACACGTCGGTATGCGCATGGGTCTTCTCAGCTCATAGACGTTCTTATGCACGCTGTGATTATAAGGGCTGCAACATCACCACATCGAGGTCTTTTATGCCCGCGTTTCATCGGGAGATGAGACAAAATTAGCACGCCTCGAGAACCATCAAGGCCGTCGATTCTCAAAGCCACTCAGCGCAAGGCAACAGCAGGGCGGCTGCGGTTTTAGACTCGGTACAGATGCTTGCAAGCTTCCCGGTGAGCTCTGCGAGTGGGAATCTTGTGGATGGCGCTTTTGAGTTTGTCATTCCACGTAGCAAGCCCCCTGGACGTCGAAAGTGATGCGCGTGATTGATTCATCAAGAAAATATGGACCAGTTGTGGGGAGCAGACATGGTAAGACATTGTGCGACCCTGCATCGCAAAGCGATTACGGCCCACGGGTTTAGTGTTCAGACAAACGTCGGGTCGGCGGACAACATGCGGCAACGGCGATGAATCCCTCAGGTGAAAAGAAACGAGAAGTCATGGTGACTTGGAGAGCAGACGCCAGTGGGTCATCACTCTAATGAACAAACTGAAGCCAGGGGCTTAGGTGAAGAACTAGCCGCAGGTCGGCCAAAGCTCGCGAGGGAGCTCTTTTCCTCCACAGCAGATTGATTCCGAAATCTGAGGAGGAAGGAGTCTGCCTCAGCGAACTTATGAGGGAGTGCCTGGCCGTTGGCAATCAACCAATTCACTACTGACAGCTCGTCAAGGTCGCCACTGTTGGTGACTGCCATCACCGTGCCAGATGTGAGAGAGAGTCCAGTGTGCGGAAGCAAGATTCCTCGATTGCCTTTGGAATCCTTTCTTCGCTTGTCATTACGTAGTTGCAGGCGTGATGTTGAAGCATCGCCACTCCTGCTTCACAGCTCGTCAGCTCCCCATGGCTGACCCTCGTCAATAGCTTGCTGATCGTCGTGTGTAATTTTCTTTAAAGACCGCCAAGTTGCGGTGGATCGGCAGAAGGGGTCTTTGTTAATGAACAAGTCCGACGGCTTGTTCCAATGTTCCCACGCTTGATTGGTGATGCTAAACGCCGATTTGAAAGATCCTTGCCCTCTCCAACTTGTCAGAACGATGACGAGTCACGCGGCGCGGTACCTGTCCCTACGTCCCACAACCTGCGATTCGTGTTCTGTAACTAAGGTACCTACAGACCACAGTACTCCGTGTGCAATCTGCAAGTACCTTTAATGATGCACAGCCCCAAGCCCAATTAGCGGCTAGTGTACGTAATATGCAGGGGTCGTCCCTCCCTTCGAGTTTTGGAACTCGAAGCCAACGGCGCGGCTATGATAATTAGCCCATTTATTATCCGCAAATGGGGAAATACGTATCGTCAATGTCCAAGCGTGCTCACAGTTGTGGAACTTGTGGTTGGTCAATTTGTTGGTCTCCTGTCGCTGGAGCACCTGCCTGTGTGCTCGCCGTCCTGTAGGGAACGGGCGATGAGACGAGACGATGTCAGTTGGATCGTGAATAATTAATAACCACTGCTTTCAGTTTCAGTCACCGTTGGGGCCGAGACACCAGGATTCATTATTCATCATTCTTGTGACCCGATTTAAACGGCAAGAGCAGACTAATAAATCTCTAAACGACTGATTCGAAGAACAATGTCAAGTTGAAACCTTTCTGCGCTGCGTCATGGCAATGAGAGCAAGCCAAGATCATCTTGGTGGGTGCGTGCGACTTCAACCTGACGTTGTATTGCTCCTGACTGCGATAAGCCTCCAGACGTCGTCGTCTATTGCGGCACTTGGCATGCTATGATACAATCGTGGTCACTCATACTGGAGGCACTTCCCCCAATGAAATACTCAGGAAGTGTATCTGTGTGTGAGTGTGACGCACAAAGCCGTCCTGGCGTCATCAGGTTAGGCAGAAGAAGCTCCCTAAATTTGGCAGTCGCGCGCCAATGGCCCGTTCCAAAAGTCCAGTAGGCACGTCCCGGGCCATTCATTGTTCTTGCCCCTGGCTAACCAAGCCTCAGTGGGCAGCCAGAACCAATGAGATCGCCGCCATCCCTGGCCAAGATTCATTCACTGCCACTCTTTGTCGCCTCAACTTCAACGCCTGGCGTTTCGAAAGTCGCTGCTTCATGCTCACAAAGACCACCCGCATCTCGTTTCCCCAGAACTCATAGTTCAAATTGATCAAGTGCACTCTTCCATATCAATCGTTTCACCGCGTTACTCGAATTACAAGACCGGCGTAGAACGATGGGTGTTTTCGAAGAGGCAAAGTGCGCTGAAGCGCCTGCTACTACTCCGAGCGACGCGGGCGTCGCTGGTACTGGTGTTTGTGGCCTGTATTCATTTCGTGTGCTGCCATGGAAGCTGACCTTGAAACCAGATCCTGTTATCTTTCATGATCACGGCTTTCTTGGCCACCATCCTCTCATTGTCCGTGATCGCCTCCGAATTCCGAGGCAAATCCACCAACATTCGCCGCAAGTTGCTCGATGGCTACAGCGATTCCCAACTTGTGCAGGGTATCGGTATTCAGAGTATGTCCAGGTCGTGGCTCGTTCGAGGTTGTATGACTAACTGCGAACTCTAGGTGTTGGCCTGGCGAAAATGAACACAATGGTGCCTTACCACTTCTTCCTCATATGGATGCTCTCGTTATTGTCCATGGCGACCCACAACGCCACTCTCTTGGCACTCGTACACGACTATCGTCGCGACTGGGTTGTGAGATGGCTGCGGCAGTTCCTCATGTTTGTGAACCTCGCCTTGTCCTGCGTCTGCGGCATCTTCATCCTCCAGGCTGTCGCAAAGGGTCTTGATGATCAGACTTTGCCAATCGCCTGCGTCTGGGAGGTAGGCGGGAATGGGGCTCCGTCCAACGCAGGGCTATCCTACGTTGGCACCATTGTCGTCATAGTGGGCAACTGCGCTGTCTTTGCCCTGGCAACATGGTACCTTCACAGCGCAAGGCAGAGATTTTTCAAGATCATCCAAGGCGTTGGAATTTTCTTAATGGCGGCCATTGCCATTGGGGCTGCCGTTCGCATCATACTTCTATCTCAGGCCTTTGGGAATCCTTCAGTTGAGCTGGATGACCAAGGCGAGAAGGAGTGGAGTTTTGGGCAGCTCTTGTCCATGCTGTTATTAGTTCTTCCATTGGTATCGGTGGTTGAGATCTATCGTGGAGAGATGACACTTACATCGACCGTCAAGGAGCAGCGTGGCCGCGTTCTTGACAACGAGATGCAAACGTTCCTGAAGTGAGGATCGAACCGAGCCAAGCACCTGCCACCCCGAGTTGTTGAATGTGTTATATTGAGGCTCACGGCCTCTGCTGGCGGCCACACTTGTGGGGGGTCCTTCTACTTTGGCCTTTGCTGTGGTTGGCACATATACGAGGGACGCAATCAAGCGGGTAAGCCGGTGGGATAGGTCAGTCCAGATCTATTATGTCGTTGTATGTACTGATCGGATCTAGCCAAAGTGCTTGAGCACGGTTTGCGCAAAGGATTCACCCTGAATCTCAGCAATCTCGAGCTCGCGTGCCGAGGGCTGACGGCTACCATCAGCAGCCGAAAAGGTACCAGCACCCCAGGCACTACCGCCGTGCACCTCGCTCAAATCGGACATCAGGCCAAATGCCTTGGTGTAGCCAAAGGGAACATAGATGATACCGTGGTGGGCAAGGGTGGACATGGCAGCCAGGCATGTGGACTCTTGGCCGCCACCAAGAGTGCCAGTGGAAACGAAGAGACCAGCCATCTTGCCGTAGAAGCCACCGGCCGCCCACTGCTTGCCGGTCTTGTCCCAGAAGGTCTAGGAAAGGTCAGCATTTCAGCACAGCCTCGGTACTGGGCTAATGTGCTCTTACCTTCCACTGAGCAGGGAAGTTGCCGTAACGGGTCGGGATACCGATGAGCATCGCGTCGTACTGCTCAAGAGTTGCCGGATCCTCCAAGACCGTCACGTCAGCCTTGGGAGGTGCATGCATCTTGCCCAGAACATCCTCGGAGAGAGTTTCCGGAACCTGGAAGAGGTCGACGGTCACGCCGGCCTTCTCAGCACCCTTCTTCTCAGCCTCGGCCAACGTCTTAACGTGGCCGTACATGGAGTACTGTTTGATGCGTCAGCGACAACCGATCGAGTCCCTGATTCAGTCTGGGGTTGCGCACGTATACAATAGCAATCTTGGGAGCCATGATGTTGGTTACTTGGGTGGGTTCAGGTTGATAGATGAGGGGGCAGGACGAATTGAATTGTGTGTCTGGAGTTGCGAATTGAGATGAGGTCAACGAAAAGCTCTTGGTGGGAGAGGTAAGAGGCTCTCTTGGGCTTTATATAGAGATTCTAGCGCAGCCCGGGGCCGCATTCCGGAATGTACGCATGCTCCAGCAGCCACCTCACCAAGCCGCAAGAAGAACGGATAGTCAGGAATGCCTAATCATTCATCATCACGGACTCCGCTCGTTACCGCTCTACGACCCCACCCGACCGCGCCGAGTCGTGCGAATTGAGTTTCTGAGGGCTTGGGTCTATTGGGCTAGTAGAAGGTGTCTAGCATCGCATCAAGCCGATGCCTCGCACCAGTCTAGGCGCGTGTCCTGTCTGCACGGTTCCCCACTGACAATGCCGGACAGCCACTTAGGTGGCTTGCCGCCGAAGTCCCGGTGCTTAGTAGAAGCTGAAGAATCAATCTGGAAACGAGACACAGTTGGCATCTTCGTTGATCATTGATTCATTACCTGAGCCTGACAAACGTGCTGTCAACCCCCACCTGCGTCACCACTTAACCGTTACGTCACCAACATTACTGGTCTAACGGTTCACAGTGGCGGGGTAAGTGCTAGGCGGTGGATAAGCCGATAAGGTGCTAACACTGCGGGTGTCTCCCACCGGGCCGCCATATCGAGATCATTGGCGGCAGCAAGGCCCAAAATCTACCAATGCATCGTACCAGTGCAATGATGCGGTGTCGATTCTCGTGCGGTCTCTCAAAGATGACAGGGACCACAGGGTACACTCGCGTCCAGCCATCGCGCTACCGTGCATGCTCTACGTACTGATCTTATACGTTACCGCCAATGCATGGCTTGCAATAGTGAGAACATCTACACGGTTCGCAATGTATTTCTGTTAGAAGGACATAACACTGGATATATGACTATACGTGAACTCTGTTGCCCCTTGCGTCTCCTTTCAATGAAGCTGAAATCACTCCCATACACCATGTCCCTAACACCTCGCTATTGTATCATTGTACGGAGAGAAACATTATACGAGAAGACCCGCGTGCCGGTCATCCAGGAGACTTGATCTGGTCTCTACCTCCCGGGCTGGCGTTCGGAGGTCTCTTGCCTCGAATCGTCCACTTCAGGCTGAGGAATGGCGCTTGACGGCTCGATCCGAATCTCGGGAAGCCGCCCTATCCTCAGACTGGGCAGTTGAGGTGCGCCGCCAACTCCACGACCTGTGCTCATCCTTGATGACTGGCGACCGGCGGTGTCTACGTCGTCTGCAGATGCCTGTCCGCTGCTGTAAGTGCGCTGCGAGTCTGAACGATGGGGTCCTGGGTAGTCTGGAGGTGGCCCATGCGTCGCGTCCCGCGCATGCTCCAGGCTACTGTGATCATCGTCGTTGAGTGAGACATCTTCGTATTCGGGCGGGGGCATGTTCTCATTGGCCACATCAGATTCTTCAATGTCTGGACTAGAGCCTGCTCGCAGTGTAGATAGGCCTGAGCCGGCACGGGGACGGCTCAGTGCTGGTGATGGGAAGTCGCCGTCGAAGCTACCAATTGACGACGCGCTGCGCCCTCGCTGATGAGATAGCGGCGATTCGGCCCCTGGGCGATTCAAGTGACCCATATCTGCTGGATCTGACAACAAACCCATCCGTTCGCTCTCCTGACTGCTGGCCCGGATTCGCGTACCGTCATGACGAGCAACACCGAGATCCGCGTACGACACACTGGAGGTAGATCGTTGTCGGTTCTCCTTGGCATGATCAATGTCTCGGCGGAGCTCATCGACCAAGCTCTGGTGACTGTTGCTGGCGATTCGTGCTCGGCTGCGCAGTTCCGCCAGCGTTGCCGAGTCGTTCCTCTGCTGGGCTTCGCGTCGTAATCGTCGCATCTCGTCTCGGTCTGCATGTTGTTGTCGCCTCGTCTCTCGGAGCTGATAGAGTGCATTCATCTCCTGCTCGCGTAGAGCCTCTTCATCCTGCTCGGTGGGGAAGTCGACAACCACGTCCACGCCATCCCGCTCGCCTTCCCGGCCAATGACTTGCTCCGTGTGTGAAGCGGCTTGGCTGTAGGCGGGGAGGGTGAGAACCGATCTGATTGAAGTGTTTCGGTCGACTGTTGCCCCAGCCGTACCCCCACTCCGGTTCGCCCGACCCTGTGATCCTCGTTCGTTGTTGCGGTTCGCCCGGGTCGATGTCGGATTCAGCTCGGCGCTTTCGCCACCGTGCGCGGTTTGATAGCGACTGCCTTTTGATTTGAAGGGGTTCAGCCTCGTCCAACGATTCGTGGATTGATGTGTTTGTCCCGTGGCACGGTGCTGCTTCTTCCTGCGTTTGGTCCACAGGGCCACCGCCGCGATGACCACGAGGACGAAGATAATCACGGCAATTACCTGGTCAGAAGACAACGTTAGGACCTCATGACAAATGGTTCAGATGCGGCGTGAACGTACAATGAAAGTAACACTCCTGTCTGGACCTTTCTCAGCTCGAGAAACTAGGTGCATCGCAGCAGGCGACCCAGCGAGCGCTCCCCAATCGCCAGGTAACCGCCCATGAAGATGCATGGTGCCTGCGCTGGCCCGATGCAAACATGCAATGTGAGATTTTTCTCCTGGGTTTCCGACAAAGCGAACTCGTCGTGGTCAACAAGTCAACGACGCTCGGTAGCGCCAGGGCCGTGTCAGGATTTTGGGTCACTGGGTGTAGTCAGTGGACGTTTTGGGCGGCGGCTATGGTCAAGGCTTTGCGACGCAAGGACAGCAGACGTGTCTGTGAGCCTGTCCTGAAAGTCAGGAACGGATCGCCGTGAATAATAACAAGTGACCGTCTGTATCGCGATCCAAATTGAGAGGGCAGAGGCTGAGCGCAAGCCGCCGCACGGCTTGCATGGGCGCTGATGCTCTTACTGTACGGAGTATCCGGGGCAGAGTTGAGGCTGGGGCCAGGCTCGGGCACTAACAATGCCCACTTCACCACCGCACTGACGTGGACAATGACGGTCTGGACCAGGGATTAATGGCCAGGGACTGGACTCCATGTCGCTCGGGGAGCAGCGCAGCAGGTGGAGCACAGGTGTAGCGATACGAGCTCGAATGCACGGAAAGACCGGGTCAGGGCAAGCCATTGATGGCAGAACTGAATAGAAGCACCCGACGGTGCACTATGCGGTAACGTACCTAAGTACATAGGGTACACTGGGAAAGGCAACAGACAGATTGCTATCCCATTTGGGAGTTGCCTTGAATTTTGGCAATTGTCGACAATGTAATGTCTGAAGTCGCCATCCTTGTAACGATGAGAGAAGGCAGGCCTTTGTTGGTTCGCGAGATTGAAGACTATCTATCGTCCACTGTACGACCGGCGCAATTATTAGTGCACTGCAGCTGGATTCTCGTCTTAGCCAATCAATTAATATTAATTAATCGTTCACTTGCGTATCATTCGCAAACAAAGGTTATGCGCTGTGAGCCACGGTCCACGGATTCACGGCCGTCGTTGGTGTCTCAGACCCTGCACGACGGTCGCCCCACGATATCCCGAGCTCAATATGTAGAACATGCTGCTGCCCCAATATCCTAATCTGGCAGCCATCCATTGCCCAGGGAATGACCTCGTGCTTCAACCACGAGCTCGGCGCTGATGTCAGCCAAAATCGATGCGATGAAGCTCCTGAATTGAAATGGAAGAAATTGTATCGTTCAGAGCAGAGATAATAACAAGACTCAAGAGCGCACAGCACCCCTGAGCTTAAAGTCCCTGAGAGGCTGAGACCAGACCCCTGGGCCCTATGCGGAGCATGCTCTCCACTTAGCACAAGACGGAGCAAGGTACCCTTACTGGCCGATAATAAATGTGATGCCGCGGTTTACTTGTATTAGGTTTGTGAGAATCAACACAGCACAAGGATTGACGCTCAGGAAAGCCAGAGAAAAGACTTCTGGCGGGAATTGACGACCAAAAAAACATCGCTCAAATCCCGAAGCTTGGCTTGGCTAACTACTTCATGCTGTCAAAGTTGGACTGTCAGTCTCAAACGCCGGCTTCCATCTGGCTGGCATGCCAAGCCAGAACGAACGACAACCTCCCCACGTTGTCCAGGTGCCCACTCTGAGTTCACGAGTATGATCTCCGTTGCGACTCTCCACTCCGCATTCATCTGTTCCAAAGTACGGATATCACGCTATGTAGCTCGTTGGTGAAGCAAGCAGCTCAAAACCCAGTGACCCGGATCACCAAGCATCCTCTAACCAAACTTCTTCTCAAATTTCTTGAACATCCCAGATACCCCCTTCTCCAATCTCGCAGTGTTCTCCTCCAATTTGCTGCGCGGCTCCGGCTTTTGGAACCCATATTGTGCTGTTTGAGCGGCAATCGTCGCCTCAGACTCTGTCGGCCGATAGGCTTGTTGATGTATCGAGTAGGCAGGGTCGGCGGGACGCTGTTGCCCGGCCTGGTTGTAAGAGAAGTTCGAATAACCTCCTGGCGGAGGCCCAGGGAGCCCGGGGTTCGCAGCGGGGGGTGTTGGCTGCTGCGGCGGCTGCTGTATGTGTTGTTGCAGAGGGGGCTGCGATTGGGGAGGCGGAGGAGGCATGCCGGCACCGGGCGCACCAGGAAAACCGGCGCCATAGGGGCTCGACAAGCCAGGCGAAGGCATTCCAGCGTTCACCGGCATCGTGGCAGCACGTTGGATCCCAGGATGATGAGAAGCCCCGAATTGCGGGGGCGGAGCTCCCGGGCTGCCCAAGGCAGGAGGTAAACCGGGGCTTGCGATGCCTGGAGGGAATTGGGCCTGAGGAGGATATCCCGGAGTGAAAGGCTGCTTATGGTAATCATACGCTACAGCCACAGCGAGTGGGTTGAGAGGATCCTCATCTGGTGGCGGTGTCTTTTCTCGATGGCGGATAGCCTCGGGAGCAGCTGGGGCCGCCGGATTGTAAGCCATTGGGACGAAGCTCGCCGGCTGAGCGGGAGCCGCGGTTTCGGGTGGTGGAGGCGGTGGTGGGATGGCCCCGGCTTGCGAGCCTGGCTGCGACGACAGGTGTGATGCGCTGTACTGCGGGTCAGAGATCGCCGCATCCTCCAGTTTCTGGACCACATGGCTCATGGCGGGAGCTTGTTGTGGTGGAGGGCCCGGTTCGTCCAGTATCTCGACCTGACCAGGGGGGAGTACTCTCCTGACTCCATTGACGAATTGCAGAGCATCTTGTTGAGTCCAGAAGTAGACATCAAGGGAGTGGAGTTTGTAGTGATACTTGTTTTCGTTGCGAGGGTCGTACGTCGGAAGATGCCATTCGTTCTGGTCAACGGCGTCCGCAACTGTCAATGACACCATGCAATGCTGCTTATAGGAGTATCGCACACGCGCCTGGTCGAGGACTGATTATCAACGTTAGCCTCAAGCCGCTACGGACGAGTGAAGAGACTGACATCCATCGAACGCATCTTGGTCTTCTGTCCCAGGATTATTCGCAACCTCAATGCGACATCTGCGATCGTTCGCATTCTCAAATAAATACACGTACGAGCCTTTGTCGAAGCGATGATGACGTGGTTTTACTTCGGCTGGCGAGTAGTAGTAATGGATGTCGCCGAACCTGCGGTCATCAGACTTGGTCCTTCTATCAGTCCAGCGACAACGTACAGTGTAGCAACATTCTCCTCGCCTGGTCTAGCCGCCATCGTAGCGAGCACCAGTCCTATGGTACGAAGCTAACTGCGGCTTGGAGCAAGGATTGCAATTTGGCGCAAGTCAAGACGTCGTGCCGGATCTCAGCCTCGTGTTGCACAGGGAGAAGCAGGAAACCCAGCAGAATAGGAGGACAACTCGACCTCAGCTTGAGTTTTGTAACCGCTCGCAGCAAGAAGCCACCACGCGGCAGTAGAGCCGATCAGCGCATCCTTGTGCGCCATGCTTCTCGTCACCACATGCATTTCAGGCGTAGCAGTGGTCGTCGTCGGCGCTTAGCAGCTGCGGGGAGCCTGGCGAAGAGCCAATGAAGTCGCCCGGGATACTGCACAGCTTGAGGGGTCTGTATTCGGATGGCTTGGCGTGAGAGGGTCCAAACCGCGCACGTGATTTCGCGTGTCGGACGCAAGGCACAGAACGCGCCGCGCGGTATTTGTGAGGAGACTACGTATCGGCTTCACGCAGCAATTTCGACAGTGAACTGTGAAGAGCAGTGTGCGACCATCAGAACGGGCGTCATGAGGCTCATACATGAGAAGAGCTGGACGAATCGCCTGGAACGCCGTTGCGCATCGCGATGTCGACCGACAATCCACCAGATTCCCCAAACGCATCCGATGACTCACCACAAGATAATGAATCCAGAACGCTGAAATATTCCTTGCTCGGCCCTTCGCTTACCAAAGCTGGGCAAGACAAGGTCGATCAGAGCAAAGTCTCAGAGATTATTTACAACGCCTCCAAGGGCTCCAAGTTCTTCAATCGCGAGGAGGTCAAAGACAAAGTCCTCACCCGCAAAATTCAGCAGATCCTCGCACGGAAGCGCCAGCTTGACAAGCGGGATCTCAGTCGAAATCTACACAATGGTGATCGCCTCATTACGGAACTGGAAGTTGCCCGCGATCTGACGCAACATGTCGTTCACGTCGACTGCGACGCCTTCTATGCTGCGGTGGAGCAACTCGAGAGACCAGAGCTCAAGGAACTGCCGTTTGCTGTGGGAGGGGGCGTTTTGACGACATGCAACTACATTGCGCGTCAGTTTGGTTGTCGGTCGGGCATGGCTGGCTTTGTCGCCAAGAAGCTCTGTCCGGAACTTGTGTTCATCAAACCCAATTTCCAAAAGTACACTGCCAAGGCACATGAAGTATGCGAGGTTCTTGCCGACTATGACCCACGATTCGAGAGTGCCAGCATCGACGAGGCCTACCTCAACATCACGGAATATTGCCACGAGAAAGGCATGGATCCTGCCGATGCCGTTGATCAGATGCGCCGAGAGATCCATCAGAAGACCAACATCACGGTGTCAGCTGGCATCGCGGCGAATGCCAAACTGGCCAAAATATGTTCGAATATGAACAAGCCCAACGGACAATATGTTCTACCGAGCGATCGCAACGCAATCATGTCATTCATGCGCACTCTACCAACGCGGAAAGTCAACGGCATCGGCCGGGTTCTCGAACGAGAACTGCAGGCGATAGGCGTCAAGACCTGCGGTGACATCTATGAATACAGACAGTATCTCGCTCAGTTGTTTGGTGAGAAGACTTACGAGTTTCTAATTAATTGTTACCTGGGCCTGGGTCGAACCAGGATTCAACCAGCAGAAGATTACGAACGGAAGAGTGTTGGCACCGAGAGCACGTTCAGTGAGATGTCGGATCCTGAGAAGTTGAAGGAAAAACTACGCTGGACCGCAGATGAATTGGAGAAGGACATGAAGAGGGCCGAGGTCAAGGGGCGAACGCTGTGCCTCAAGGTCAAGCTCCATACGTTTGAGGTCTACACACGACAGGTGGTCACACCCAGGGCGATCTGCGTGGCGGATGACCTCTACAATTTCGGATTGCCCATGCTCACAAAGCTCCAGCAAGAGATGCCACAGATGCGACTGCGCTTGATGGGTCTCCGCTGCACACACCTCGTCAGCACAAAGAAGCCCGACACAATGGCTTTCTTCGGTTTCAGGCAGAGAAGTGAAGGGTCCCCAGGCACAGGTGACATCGGCGGTCAGAAGCGGAAAGCAAGCGAGGTTCTGGAACAAGATGCGTGGGAAGAGTGGCCTGAAGATGAGCTGCGAGCTCACCAGGAACAGAGCATGTTAGACGACATGTTTCCAGATGAGGGGTGTGCACCCGAGGCAGGTGAAGCATCCTTCGGACGACACGGCAAGGAGATTGCACCAAATCCCACGAAAGACCAGCCTGCGTCTGATGTGGAGGAATGGTGGGACTGTCCCATTTGCGCCCGTCCACAGGCTGCCGAAGAGAAGGCTTTCAACGAGCACATTGACCTCTGCCTGTCGCGCCAGACCATACGAGATGCGGTCCAGGAGGATGAACCGGCGCGGCAACGATCCAGTTCCCACGAGAACAAGAAGCTCAAAACGGCAGAGAGGAAGCGAGGTCGATCGACGGGGCCGGACCCTAAGCAGCGCAAGCTGTTCTTCGGGTAGCCTACTGCATAAGAAATGAGAAATGACTAAATTCTATTGTACAGAGCACCTCTGTGATCATGCTATCTAACTGGAAGCCTGTATGTCCCCAACACCTTGCGCTTATTAGGTAAACTATCGGTTGCAATTTCTCCTCCCAAAATGACTTGTAACTCGTTCGACAACTCCACCACAGATATGTGCATGGAACACGACATGTCTCTATTCCTCTTGACCCATCATGCGGTGCATAGTCTTGGTACGCCGGATTTTGGTGTCTTCTTCCTCCTCCTTGCGAAGCTGGTCGCCCGGTAGCCGGACGGCGCGATCGATCGCAACGGGGAGGCCTCTGTGTCTACCCCTGAGCATGACGAGCACCAGCACAATCTTGCTGCCCTTGTGCAACCCCCCAGAGAAGCTGAAAGCGTCATTGGGTAGGCCAATCGACAGGCCAACACACGCATAGGCCGAAGTGGCCTCGAACAGGATGTTGAAGACGCTGAAGGTGGTGGGGTCTCTCAGGAAGTGATCCGTTTCGATGATGACGATGATGAGGATGGCAAGCACCAGCCACCACAGGTCGTGCGCCAATTGGCCCCGAATCTGCTGTCCGATAAACGAGATGCGACTCGTGTCGTCCTCGCTCTTGACCGGGCGTGCAACGCCGACGCCTTGAAATGTGGCTGCCCTCCTCAGCTGCTGGCCAAGCACGGCGGCCGTGTTGCGTCTGCGAAGAGAGTGCTTCGGGTCCGGCTCCGGACCGGAGGACAGCGGGTTGGTATTTGTCAAGTTTTCCTGCTCCTTGATAGCCTCGTCCTCGTTGTCGTAGATGCCCAAGGACCGCTCTTCGTACACATTAGAGTTGCGCATCGTTATGACGACGGGATAGACCGAGATGTACATCATGATCAAGTACAGTACTTGCACGCCAACATACAATGCCGAGATGGATATGACGGCGAATCCGGCGGCTCGGACGGCTTGTCAAACGAAAGTTGTTAGCAGGCGATCGATCATGCATTGCGTGAAAATGAGCTTACATATCGCTTGGAACAGACCAGCCATGATTTTGTCTCCCACTGGTATCTTTTCCAGTTCCTGATTCCCTATATTCAGGATCTCAAAAGCAACCCAATCGATCAAATTGGTCACGAAGAGAACTCCCACAAGCCACCACGTAGCCCGCGCTGGAAACAGCGTCGTGTACACTCGACGCGGATATTTCAAGATAAACTCAAAGGTCTCTTTCCACGGGCCATGAACGTGTGGCGGGGACGTTAGCTGCAGGAACCTCAGCGTGCTCCAGAGACCCAGGCGTAGGAAAATTGGGTAGGCCGTGTTGCCTGCCAAGATGAGCAGCCCAATGACGAAGAGAACGAAGTATTGTGATTGGAATGGGACCACACTGTCATCGAGCAATGTGAAGCCACCGTTGTTGAAAGCCGACACCGAATAGAAAATTCCGGTCCACCACGGGTTCTGGCCGTTCGCTTGCGGGATCTCAGGGCTGCGTACGCCAATCCAACAAGCCAATGCAACAGCTCCCAAGAATTGAAACAGTATGGAGTATAAGGGCACAAAGACGGACAGTATCTTGAGGGCCCGGTACTCGCAACCGCCCAAGTGTTCGCGCTCCTCCTCGGATAGATCATAGAATTGAGCACTGCGGCTGACGTTGTGGTTCCCCAGGATCTTCTTCCAATGCATCAAAAAGTCTTCTGACTCGGCCGAGACCTCTGTGGTCGCGTTCGAGCCGCGCCTGATCAAGTTGTTCGGGGCGCCGGGTGTGGCATGGCTGCCATGCGAGTAGGCCAATGTGAGACCATGGCCGTTGTCATTAGGGGGTGACATCGGCTCAGCGTAGGAAATATGGTCACGCGGTCCATCGTGCGAAGCCTCGAGATCAGGCAGAGGACCAACGTCAACCTTTTCCAGGGATTGTTGGTCATGAGGTGGAATCGAATCGAGAGGGCCAGATATTGTCCTTTGAGACGAACTCTGGTTGAGGTCTGCAAACTCTTGTCCAAGATGGCGAGGCCCAAGAGCATGTGCCGGCGTGTGAGAACCAAGTTCCGACAGCTCTGGCTGTGTTCCGGCAGGGCCTCCGCTGGACTTGGATAGAGAAAGCATGTTGAGCAGATTGGGAGCTCTCCTGATGCCACGCGAGTTGATCTTCTTCAGTTCTCGGTGGCGTCTTCTCCGCTCCCTTTCTGTTTCGACAATGTCCTCAAACCTCCTTTCGAACGCTCGTTTGCGGACGAGAACGGTCCAGAAAGACACCCAGATGGGGCTGCCGATCATCAGGAGAAACCATAGTTGCACCTGCTGCCAAGTGGTCATCTCACTGAGGTTCCTTGTCGCCAGGCCGGTGTTGGTCAGTGCCGAGGTGACGAGGAACAAGCTGTCGACATAGTCGACACTGCCAAAGGGCCTAGAGGAGCCCCAGTAGATGAGTGAGGAGGCTGCCGTGACTGAGTTGAAGTATGCGTAATGGATCGTGATGTAATTGACGGGGGGCAACCAGGATCTGACAAATGCCAGCACTTGCCCTACCCTGGGGTTGTCCTCGAGCCACTCGAGCCAGCGAGTTCTCCATGAGTCAAACATGGCTTTTTTGCGGCCAATGATCGATTGGATTGAGGACGCAGAAGTTGATCACATGCCGGCTCTACTCATTGGGCGCAATAAGCTTAAATTGAAGGTTGAAAGTTGCGGTGAGTTGCGGGAAGCTGAGCTGGTAGGATCCGTTAACGAGAGGCAGTCGCTGAAGCTTGGATGCTGAGCGTGTTCGAATCTGCAGTGAAAAGAGAGCAGTTAAATCAGTAGTCATGAACAAAAGAGATGAACTCGAAAGAACAGAAGTGCAGCATCGCTAGAAGCACAGAGTCTGATGATAGATTGATGGTAAGGTATAAGATTCATCGAAAGTGGACAGGAGGCAGCCCATGTCCTCGCTGCAGGGCCCAGGCATGCCGCATAAAGTCAGGCACGCGTGCAAATGGTCAGTGCGGCCGATAAGGGATCCTGATTATAATTATGCAGTGCACAATACCCTGCTTGATGTGAAACCTGTGTCCTGACGGAACCAAGGCATCTCATGCCATCTGGCATTGAGGACGGCGACACAGGAACTTCGCAGGCTCACCCGTCTCTCCGTTAATATTGATTGATTGATTGATCTAGCAGAGACGTCAAAATCCAACTGAGTACATCACCTATCGCGCTCGCTGTCCAGACACAGGCCCAATGCGACAGTGTGACTTATACCGATTGGCAGCTTGTGTATCAGAATCTTTTGGAGGATTTGTGAACCCAAGTGCTACGTCAGATCGCTCCCTAGGTCTGAATTAGTCGAGTTGCTGCTTCCAGTCCATTGCTGACGCTGACATACCATCACGAGTGACAACACTACACCTTGTTATCATCTTCCAAACAGACACAGCTAAAAGCCGAACATATTGTCGTCCTCAACATATCCCCACGCTAGAATCGCGAGTCAGTGCACTGTCCATCAAAGGGCGTCGTCTTGCTCGACAACTCACATCTCAGTGCTGGAAGGGCAGCCTTCTGGATTAGCCCAGAGGGTCCACACAGAAAGGCAACATTGCTCTTGTCAGGGGCAAACAGACAGCGCTGCAGTATCTCCTCGTTGACATGGCCTTTCTCGCCCTGCCAAGTATCGCTCGGATGGCTCAGCACGTGTGTGATCTTGAGTTGCCCTTGCGAGTCTCGTTCGAATTGTGCAAGCTCGTCGCGCAATAGTATATCGCTCTCTGTTTTGTTGGCATCTACTACTCGGAGCTGCGTTTTGTCCTCCTGTGTCAACAGGATGCGTGCAATGAGCGAGTATCCGGGAGTGATACCGGAGCCCCCTAGTACGAGCGAGACTCGAGCAAAGTGCCTCCGTTGGCCCTCAATGGTGAATTCACCATTGCCATGATACTCAATCTCTCCAGTAGGACCCTTGATTTCCACTTCCTCGCCTATCGGGATACAGTCCAGTATGTTGGACATGGCGCCCCCTGGCTGATTCTGGTCGGGGAAGTAGGTCTTGATTGTCAGGTCGAACATCCCCTCCCCATCAGCCAAAGATTGCTCAGTGTCGTCTCCAGGGCTTCCGCTGGCACGCCACGTCTTGTCGCTCTCGTCAGCCCTTTGCAGAGGAAGCAGGGGCTTTGTGGGCGTGTAACTGCGGATCAGCATGCGATCCTCAAGGTGGAAACCAATCTCAACGTGCTGACATGTCCCTAATCCAAGCACCTTGTTGTTGTCGGGCAGCTGAAACCTGTACGTACGAGTATCCTTGGACACATCTCGCCTGGCAATCATCTTGACCGGATGCCAGCGATGTTTCTCCAGGACGACCTTCGACTGCGCGTCTTCGGAGTCTGCAGCTCTCTTGGCCGCTTGTTCAGCATTTTGCTTGATGAAATTTGCAGCCTTGTCCGTCACAGTGCCTAGAGCACATTCTTTCAGCTTCTGGTAGGCGTAGTCGTCGTGTATGCCTGCAAATTCGTCACTCGTTTCCTGATGGACTTGCCCGGCGTGGCCAAGAATGGCGGCTGCTCCTCCAGGATGCCACTCGAGAACGCTGGTGGCGTCGTAGACTTTTCCATCAACCACAATCCAGCAGTCATCTTTACTGTCGTGCTTCTCAATTTCTTCGCGCGTAAATTGCTTCTGCGGTGTGCCGGCTTGCTGCTTGGCTTCGGCGATCTGGTTCTCGACACTAGGCTTCATCCACCCCCCTTCGCCACTCCCGACTTCTGTGGGATGCCAGAACACGAGAGTTGCTTCTTTCGAATCCTTGTCATCAACAATTTCTGGCTTGACCACGTACCAGCAATTGTTCATCATGCCCATGACGTTCCAACTGGGCTCCCGTGGCTGGGTATTCTTGAAAACATTGAAGCACCGGACAGTGATACTGTGAGCGCGCAAGAGATGTGATATCTCTACGTCCACATGCCAGTGAAGCCAAGTCCAATACTTGTTGCCATGTCGAATCGGCGAGTCGGGGAATCTGCGAAGGCAGTACAGCCACGTCTTGCCGTCGTCGAGTGACACTTCGACCCGTTGTACTTCATGGCCGCCACCGTCATACGCGTATCCCTGAATGCGGTAGTTCTCCCCTTTCCGGGCCGATGACAGCAATATCCTCTCACCATGAGCTGGCTTGACGACCACCGAGTTAAGGTTCTGCTCATTGCAGGCTGTGTCAGGATGTCTGAACAGGGACTCCGCGAATGGCCCATCCTTCTCCGTTACAAAGGACGGGACTACCCGATTGTCCCATGTGTGGTAGTAAGAATCATTCTCCTTGTCGCTGATCCAAATTCGTCGTAGCCACTTTACACAGCGGCCACCAACGTACCCCGGTATCATCAACCGCAATGGGTATCCGTGATCCGGAGGCAGCGGCACGTCGTTCATCTCATAGGCCAGTATGACATCGTTGGAAGAGTTCATGGCATACTGAAAGGGGATGCACGTCGAATACTTCCCCTCGCTCGGTTCGTCGGCACCTTCAAAATTCACCCAGTATCGCCTCTTTTGGCCTTGATCAGGCAACGTCTCCGGGATCCCGGTAGCTAACAAGACGTCTCGAAGTAAGGCGCCTTTCCAGTAAGCACAACTGACGCCGCCAGGACCCCAGCCAAAACCTTTGCTTTTCTTGATCATATTAAGCTCTTTGCGCCGATTCCCATCACAAGCCAGTGCAATGGGGATATTGATCGAATCAAACTCCTGAAGCTGTGGCATGCTGAACGATGTCGTTTCGCCGTTGAACTCGACATCGAGCTGATGAAATTCCCACAGAATTCGAGGGACAGCCCCGTGGTTGCGAACGTAATGAAGTTCATTCGGCGTGATGAGCCCAGCATCATATAGATGGCTGAGATGTGCTTCTGCGTTTAGTGGATGTTTTCCTGTCAGGCGTATCAGGTCAGGGCTACGCGGTAGCCAATTGTCAGGTGTAAACTGATCTTGTTCATCGATTGATAGATCTCGCCGGTTCCGCGTCTGAGGGGATCTGCCTTGACCATCGTTTTCGCTCAGATGTTGCACATACTCGCGTTCATGCTCCAATGCTCGTAACAGGGCTCGTTCCTGTGGCGTGTACTTATCCTTTATGGGATTGTCCTCAGCGACGTCGCCCGTGGTGTACGCATCATTATGCTTGTCATGGTCACCATTGCCGGACTTCTTCCACTCGTGCTCCTGTTGCTCGCCACCGGCGACATCATCCACCTGCGTTGCCTTCGTTTGCTTCCCACGCCGCTGACTTTTCTGATTCGCTGGCCATTCCTGTTCATTCTTAACCCAGTCTTCTGTGGTGTTCAGAACATAACGCCAACCAAGAGACCTGTTCTCAGGGCACCTCAAGTGGAAGTCCTTTACTCGTTAGCCTTGCATTCTGAGAACTTGGTACTTGCCTTACCTTTTGATGCTGAATCAATTCTCTAAAATTGAGCAGCTTGCCTTCCTTGGCCTCGTTCTGCAGCTGAGCCTGCTCCTTTTTCTCTTCAACAACATCTTCACGGTGTCGATCCTCCTTGTGTGTAATACCAGGCAGCCGGTTGCTCCGATTTTTGAAACCAATACGATGCTCATGCCCAAAACCCCACTCGGGTTCATTTGCAATATCCTGCGTCGAGGAACCAGGGTGCGGCTGGACCGTAACAGTCCACGGTACGTTGTGAGGCATCTCCTGCGAAGCGGCCAAGATAGCGGATCACTTCACGGCTATGCGCTCAAGATCGTGAAATGCTGCAGGAGGAAGGTATATGATGGAGCTCTGCGATTGATGATCTCGCTGCTCAAGTGACGGCACTGTTGCCGGTTGTAGGCCAGTGCCGCGGAGATGTCGAATCATGACGTCTTTGGATGCGCTGAGCACCAAAGTTTCTGACGAGAAATGCAAGTAGTTGCCCGCGAAACTTGGAAACCATTATGCGATCGCGTATTTGATGATCACAGAGAACGCCATTCAGGCGTCATATCAACACAATCGAGCTCCGTGTACTTACACCTAAGGTACCGAAGGAACGTAAACGCCAGGCCACTTCTCGAGTCTGTCACCTGTTTGTGAGCTCGTAAAATACGGCTCGACACTGTGATCGTGGCATGGATACCACATATATCACACTGGCGAATTGCCAGTCTTTGTGTCACAGCGCATCGGAGCTAGACCAAAGTATCATCACGACTCAACGCGCACTACAATTCCGTTGCAAGGGGTCGTTATGTCATTCGTATTTCTAGACACATGTTGGCCGAGAATAGTTATTTCACTACAACTCCTCGTGGCCCTCGATATCGTCTGTGTCGGCAACCATGGTTTTGGCCGCGTCTGCGGCCTCGGCTGCGGCACTGGCGACCTTCTCTGCGATGCCCTCCGCTTCTGTCTTAACCTCTTCAACGAGGACCTCGGGTTCGATAGTCTCGGGTGGCTCGACGCCATCGATGCCCACCAGCTCTGTCTCAAAGACTATCATGTATTAGAATGAGATATCGCTGTAGGTGGGGGATAAACAAACTGAGCGTCGATCCGGCAGGAATAGGTCCCATAGCGCGCTGTCCGTATCCGAGCTCAGGAGGGATGGTCAAGGTCCTGAGTAATAGTCAGTTTTGGGTGGATAATTAAACGCCAGTCCGCAAACCTTTTGTCGCCGATGCACATGTCGAGCAGACCCTGGTCCCAACTGCTGAACTTTAGTCCCAGATCATCAATTCCAGATCAAATGCTTCACAGACCCTTTGATGACACGTCCGGATCCCAGGACAAAGGTCAATGGCCGCCCGCGGTCGTAGCCTAGAAGAGCGGTCAGCATCGCTCTCGACATCGTATTTGCGGTCGCTTCCTGGGGGCCCGGAACGTACTGGCATCGAACTTCTTGCCCGAATCCGCAAGGCTGCCGTGGTAGTGCATGTGAATGTTGTCTCCGTTCTGCGTACGGCGCTCACACTCGACGCTGTGTGTCTTGTCGATCTTGAGTTCGTCGGCGCTCACGAGGCCAGCCGCCGTCGCGGCGAGGGTAAAGAGGATTGTTGACTTCATTGTGCGTCAATTGGGTCAGTCGACTTCTGAGGAAGTACGTAGTTGCTGATGTAAGTAGGTATCAGTATCAGATTGGGGATGTGGACGAACTGTCCGAAGAGGCCAGCTGCGATACTGTAACAGGGTCCACCCACCCCGCACCATCAGTCACTGGCACTGGCACTGGCACTGATGGACCACTGGCGGCACGGACATGGAGCGAGCAGGTACGTGAGGCACCTCTGTGTAACCATGCGCCAGTACCTTCCATTTTCATCGAATAACCGGTCACCATCTATCTCAATGCCGCGATCGGGGTGGTGGTACGACATTGAAACATGGACATGCCTTTAAACTCACGTATCCGTGATCGTGAGCTTCTTCAATACACTGGTGTACAGAGCATCAACTAACTTACAGACCTCAACGATTCTACTTTCTATTGCAAGTAGCTGCATGGAATGTGGCGGCCTGCACAAAGACGCACCCATTCGTGGTCATGCGTCGGCCGTGTCGTGGCCCCCAGGTGCGTCCAACCCTGTTGGGTTCTTGACACCTCCTTGGGCTCGAAACAGTTCCAGATGCGGAAAATCCAGAGTGTTTCGAGGCAACATACCCAAGAGCCGGGTATCACAAGCCTCGTCCACTCATTGGCCTATCGCAGACTCCCGTTTAGGATGCGAGGCCAGAACGACAGCCGCCTGTCAGGTTTCTCACTCACCCATCGGTTGAGGAGTGGCACGCGCTGCTCGGCTGAGCATCTGTCACGGCTGACAGTGCGCACGGGGGCTTCTTCGTCCAGACCACTGTAACATGCGTTGCGTTGAGATGATATGCTGTCGGGTTCAAAAACTGACTGATGGGGCCCTTTGCTGTTCGTTTCGACGCATGCAGCTTCGTCTCAGACTCGAACATCAACAACCACCAGGTTTGCCGTTATGCAGGAACATGGTGTCATTGGATTCGTTCGCTATTTGTGATGGTTGCAGCGTGCAGCGTGGGACGCCGAACGCCTGAGTGCCCGTCTCACTTTTCACAGCCGATGGTTATTGACAACACGGGAGCAAATATTGCCATGAGCTTTGCTCTCTACACCGGATTGACGACATTGATGACGAGCATGCCATTCACGGTGGCTTGCACGTTCCAACAGACCAACAGATGTACACCTTGCGTTGAGCCTTGAGGACGAGGTGGGTGACGTGGACGCGGGTCAATCAGGCTACAAGGCCACGGGCCAGTCCTAACGTCCATACCTGTCACTCGACACAACCTGCGAGGCCGTGTCTGCGGCCCTGCACAGCCTGGCCTCGTTCACTCTGCGAAGTTTTGCTCAGCTGGTCGACGGGCCATCTCTCGGTGGCGCATGCCTCTCCTCCCCGCCGCCCGACCCTGGAGTGCTAGGCGTGAGTGCAGGGCCCAGGCGATGGTCCAAGAAATCCAGCTTCCCAAAGGTCATCAGACCGTACGCCGACGAGAAGCCAGACTTTTGGTCTTATTTGAACCGGCCCCCTCGTGCTACCACATTTGCAGGACTGCTGGGCCTCAAAACATTTCGCTGCTCAGTGACGCCTAGCCAGGAATCTGCGCTAACGCCCTAGTTGAAACACCGTGATCGGGTCGAATTATCTCTACCTTTACCACCGACTACTTCACGAATCCATTCACGCTGTCTAGCAGTGTATGCGAAGCATGATGCTGCCTGGGGAGCAGGTCTTATTCACGTCCTACCGTCTGAGTCCTTTGCAAGGTGATAAACCATGATCTGTACTACCCTCGACTCTGTTAAGTCACGTCACCCTACAGCGCAGCACAGCACAGCCATTTCACGATGCTTCGTGCTACCCAAGGACAGTGAGGCTGTTCGAGATACCAAAGGTTGAACTCCAACTGGAACACGTCGGTCTCCAGGCCTCGCTCTTGTTGTTCCTGTACCACGTCGGGTCGAGTCTCGGTTTCTCAGCGTATAAAATTGGCCTGAAGTCCGCCAGTTTATGTATCATGTTCCTCCAGTATCATCAGGTTTATCTCACAGAGTCAACTACCGCAATTGCATCGGCAACTTCGCATTGGCACTATCTTCCACAGTCGGTGAATCTTTCTGACAACTGTCTTGCTACGCACACCCGGAAAGCTGGGTTGCTTGTTCAGCAAGCCACTTGTTCCAGAACAAGTCGGCACCATGAGCTCTCGCAGCGGCCGGAGCAGTAATAGGTCTGGGGCCGGTTCCGGCTCGTCGTCAAGCTATCACGGTTCATCTCGTCCACGTGGTTCTCCGGGTGAGTGGTCCATCCAAAGGGATCAATTTTACACAAGAGCTGACTCAATCACAGGGGGCTACGCTTCCCGTAATCCCCAATCCAATACCAAACCTATTGTCCATAACGACCAAGTCACGGTCTGGAGTGAAGAGGCACCTTCACCGAAACATCGCGGCAAGTCTTATAGCTGAGCATCGCCCCATCGGCGCTGATATTCGGGGTTACATGGAGCGGAAAATATGGGACTGATTGGCATGGGTTTTGGCTTCGCATTATGTACCCATGAGATAGGGTTGTCTGCATGTGACTTCAGGATGTTCGAAATAGTATCAAAATAGTATCGCTAAGTTAGATGGTAGACTGAATTCACTCACTCTTTTCTGAATTCGAGATAGTAAGCTTTCAGTAGCGGAGTGACAGGCAGATGTTCAACAGCTTCGACATGTAGTAACTAGTACCTTGCCATAGGGGGAGAGGGCAAGTTATAAACATCCTTCCTGCCCCTAATCCTCCTTCAATAGATCCGGAAGATATTGCCTTGGAGCCTAAAATATAATAAAGCCTTTTCCTTTTCCCTATAACAGCTCATCTAGTGCAAGACTTCCTATTCGCCTGAAATATCAATTGCACGAACGCTGTCACGCACGGTATCTCTGCTTAAACTCCCGCGTATGTAACAGGCATAGATTCTTGCGTGTGTTTGTGACACCATGGAGAAGTTATCACTTGCGCTTGGCCTTTGCAATTCCAGGAACAGTTTCCAAAGTACTTTATTGCAAAGCAGCTCATCCGGCATCTTTCGGTGATGCTCAGCAATACAATTATAACTTTCGCGGGTCTCTGTGGGCCACAATGTGTGCGCTTGAATGATAAATTTGGATGAGCATGGGCTCGAACGAAATCTGTCGAGGCACTTCAGCCATATCATGCTTGATCAAAGCGGTCAAAAAGCTCGACGTTGGATAATGCTAGTAACAATTATTATATCTGACCCAGAAGACGACTAAACCGATGCACAATGACGCAACGCGATGCCAGAAGCATGGAGATTGCGGGCTCCCCCAAACTCGCGTGGAAATTGGAGCTTCAGTGGGTAATGGCAATGTTGAGCACCGAAGTAGACGCTAGGCTGGCTTCACACGAAGCTCACAATGGCTGTGGTCATTGGGTGCGGCTGCGAATGGTCTTCGCGACGCATTAGAAGGTGAAGAAAATTGCAGACGCCACGCATTCGCGTACGATTCGTGTACTGGTTGGGGCGGTGCAGCTGTCCCAGTTGACAGTGACGCAGCCCGAATCGCTCACCGGGAAAACATCGGGGTCACCAGTACGTACCCCGTCAGGCACCACATCACTCACCCAGGCTTCCGCAAGTCAACATTCGCTATCACCGTCTTCCTGCGATCAGCGCCATTTTCTGTTCTTCGGTGCGCTTGATTCCCTTGTCAGCTGTCGTCATTCGCTTGTCAAGTTCGAAGCGACTTTCACACCCGGTAGCTACTTGCTCGGGACAGGTATACTAGTTGTCGCATTCTCCCTTCTCGCCCACCATGGTAAGGCGCCAAATACCCCTCCATGCGACATCTCGGTCTTGGGTCGATATCTAATAATTTCGCAATGCACAGGGTATCTCACGACGTCCGAAGAACAAGGCGGTTGGCGGTGGCCCAGCCGGGGAGGCAGGAGCCTCTGGGAGCGCAAAGCCCAAGAAGGCCACATTCGAGGCGACCAAGAAAAAGGAGGTCGGCGTGTCTGACTTGACACTCCTCAGCAAGGTCTCCAACGAAGCGATCAACGACAACCTGAAGAAGCGATTCGAAGCCCGGGAGATTTATACATACATTGGCCATGTGCTCGTGTCAGTCAACCCGTTCCGGGATTTGGGCATCTACACCGACCAAGTATTGGAGAGCTACAAGGGCAAGAACCGGTTGGAGATGCCGCCACACGTTTTCGCGATTGCAGAATCGGCGTACTACAACATGAAAGCGTATCAAGACAACCAGTGTGTTATCATTTCTGGCGAGTCTGGCGCGGGAAAGACAGAGGCTGCCAAGCGCATCATGCAATACATTGCGAATGTCTCTGGCGGAGAATCAGGGGACATCAAAGAAATCAAGGACATGGTGCTGGCCACTAATCCCTTGCTTGAATCCTTTGGAAACGCCAAGACTCTGAGGAACAACAACTCGTCGCGATTTGGCAAGTACTTGCAGATTCACTTCAACGGACAGGGCCAGCCTGTCGGAGCCGACATCACCAACTATCTTCTCGAAAAGTCCCGAGTCGTCGGGCAAATCAGCAACGAGCGAAACTTCCACATCTTCTACCAGTTCACTAAGGGTGCATCTTCGCAATATCAACAGTTGTTCGGCGTGCAAAAACCCGAGACATACGTGTACACCAGCCGGTCAAAGTGTTTCAATGTCGACGGTATCGACGATCTAGCCGAATTCCAAGACACCTTGAACGCCATGAAGATCATTGGGTTGGCGCAGCCAGAACAAGACAACATCTTCCGCATGTTAGCTTCGATTTTGTGGATTGGAAACATCCAGTTCCGCGAAGACAAGGATGGGTATGCCGAGGTTGTGGATAGATCCGTGGTGGACTTTGCCGCCTATCTTCTTGAGTGCACAGCAGACCAGTTGATTCACGCCATCACCATCCGCATCTTGACACCCCGCAATGGCGAGGTCATTGAATCGCCCGCAAACCCAGCCCAAGCGGGCGCTACGAGAGATGCGCTCGCCATGGCAATCTACAGCAACCTGTTCGACTGGATCGTGGGCCGAATCAACAAGTCACTCAAGGCGAGGCAGGCGACTTCCAACAGCATTGGTATCCTGGATATCTACGGCTTCGAGATTTTCGAAAAGAACAGCTTCGAGCAGCTGTGTATCAATTACGTCAACGAGAAGTTGCAGCAAATCTTCATTCAGCTCACCCTCAAGACGGAGCAGGAAGAATATGCTCGGGAACAGATTCAGTGGACTCCGATCAAGTACTTCGACAACAAGGTCGTGTGTGACCTGATTGAGCAAATCCGACCGCCGGGCATTTTCTCGGCAATGAAGGACGCGACCAAGACCGCCCACGCTGATCCCGCTGCTTGTGACCGCACATTCATGCAGAGCATCAATGGCATGTCGAACCCCCATCTCACGCCTCGCCAGGGCAGTTTCATTGTCAAGCATTATGCGGGCGACGTGGCTTACACTGTTGACGGAATCACCGACAAGAACAAGGACCAGCTACTCAAGGGTCTCCTGAACCTGTTCCAGAACAGTGGCAATGACTTTGTTCACGAATTGTTTCCTCACCAGGTAGACCAAGACAATCGCAAGCAGCCGCCTTCGGCAGGTGACCGTATTCGTACGTCCGCCAATGCTCTGGTGGAGACCTTGATGAAGTGCCAGCCATCGTACATCCGCACAATCAAGCCCAACGAAAACAAGTCGCCAACCGAGTACAACAGTCCCAACGTCCTTCATCAGATCAAGTATCTCGGTCTCCAGGAAAACGTACGTATCCGCCGTGCAGGCTTTGCATACCGCCAGAACTTTGACAAGTTTGTCGATCGGTTTTTCCTCTTGTCCCCTGCGACGTCGTACGCGGGAGAGTATACTTGGGACGGCACAACCGAGGCTGCGGTGAAACAGATCCTCAAGGACACGAGCATACCTAAAGAGGAGTGGCAGATGGGCGTCACAAAGGCATTCATCAAGGCCCCAGAGACACTGTTCGCCCTCGAACACATGCGTGACCGTTACTGGCACAACATGGCCACCAGGATCCAAAGGATGTGGAGGGCGTACCTCGCTTATCGCGCGGAATCTGCTACCAGGATTCAGCGCTTCTGGCGCAAGAAACGCACAGGCGCCGAGTTCCTCCAGCTGAGGGACCAGGGCCATCGTGTTCTGCAAGGGCGCAAGGAACGGCGTCGCATGAGTTTGCTCGGGTCAAGGAGGTTCCTTGGTGACTATCTTGGCGTCAACGCCTCCAGCGGGTTTGGTGCGCAGATTCGCAATGCTGCGGGCATTGGACATAACGAGCGGGTTGTCTTTTCTTGCCGTGCAGAGCTTCTCGAGGCCAAATTCGGTCGGTCCAGCAAGCCTAGCCCTCGCATCATTGTTGTCACCAACAGCAAGTTCTACATTGTCGTACAGGCTCTGGTGAATGGCCAGCCATCTATCTCAATTGAGAAGAGTGTGCCTCTCGGCGCCATTAAATATGTCGGGGCCTCGACCGCGCAGGACGACTGGTTCTCGCTAGGGATTGGATCGCAGCAAGAAGCCGATCCCCTCATGAACTGTGTGTTCAAGACGGAACTCTTCACGCAGATGCAGCGCGTCATGCCTGGGGGGTTCAGCCTCAAGATATCCGACATGATCGAATATGCGAAGAAGCCTGGAAAGATGCAGCAAGTCAAGGTGCTCAAGGACTCGCAGCAGCGGGCTGATTACTACAAGAGTGGTGCCGTCCACACACGAGCGGGCGAGTCACCTCAGGCCGTTTCAAAGCCGACACCCAAGGCCAAGCCTGTGCCACCGAAACCTATCACCCGCGGCAAGCTCATCAGGCCTGGAGGTCCGAACGGAAGGCCGTCCAGACTCACGGGCAACAGAGCTGCCAAGCCCAGGCCTGGTGCCGGTGCTGGTGCGAGGACCGTGCCACAGCCACCCGCCGCTGTTAGTCAAGCCTCTAGCACGCCAGCATCGGCTCCCGTCCCAACTCCGGCGCCGCGCCCCGTCCCTACGCCGGCTGCAAACCATGCCAACAATACTGCTTCACTCCCCAGTCACACACGCAACCAAGGCAGCAGCGCCAGTGCGGCCACAAGGGCGCCGCCTCCTCCACCGCCAGCGGCTCCGGCCGCCCCACCCAAGATCATGGCCAAGGTCCTGTACGATTTCGCGGGCCAGAGGGAGAATGAGCTGTCCATCAGCAAGGGCGACACCATTGAGATCGTTCAGAAGGAAAGCAACGGTACGTGTGAGCCCGTATGCAAGACGAATGTCCACTAACTGTATACTCCAGGATGGTGGCTTGGCAAGACAGCAGCTGGACAAGCCTGGGTCCCCGCTGCCTACGTCGAAGAGCTTGCTCCAGCAGCGCCAGCCAAGTCGAAACCGGCTCCTCCAGCTCCCCCGGCCAAGCGTCCGGCTGCGGCCCGAAAGCCCGCCGATCTTCAGCAACGCGACTCGGGCATGAGTCTGAATGGAGCCAGCAATGCGAGCTCCGACAACAGCCGAAGCTCTACGCCTCAGCCAAGCCTGGGAGGTAGTCTGGCTGATGCGCTGCTTGCCAGAAAGAACGCGATGCAGAGGCAGCAGAACAACGACGATGATGACTGGTAGATGTTGTGTATATTCAAATAAAGCCTCAGCGTGTTCCAACGTTTTTCTATTCTTTTGCAAATGCTCAACCTCCTATTATTGAGGTGCCGTGTGCAGTTACTTGGTCAAGCTGTGTCCGCGATCGACTCACGTTCCGACGAGTCATAGACATTAAGGGCGTGGGTGGGATGATGGAAATTCTTGAATGCAATATCGTTATTATCATTATCAATGCTCGTCGGTCTGGCGATGTGCTTTACGCCGCTTGAGCAACTCTCCGAGGGGCACATCGTCATCCAGCCCTTCCTCGGCGTCCTCGTCTACACCGTAATCTCGTAAGCGCTCGCCGTCCGAGTTTGTCCAACCGGGAGCTCTATCGTCAGCATAGGGCACATCGTCTAGGTCGCCGCCGCTGTCATCGTCTACCTCGTCCTCTTCCAACTCTGCAACGATCGCCTGCTTCCGCCGCCTGTCGGCCTCCTGTCGTTCCCGGAAAGCCTCCTTTCTGGCTTCCGCACTCTCGTCGACCTCCCTCAGCTCGGCGGCAAAGTCTCGCCTGCCAGCTGGCCACTGGCGAGTAGCTCGTCTGATTTTCTCAGGATCCGGGGGTGGCCACATGCCTGTCTGGCGGTTGAAACCATTCTCCTCCCACTCCCAGCCTACCCCTCGCTCATTCTTTCCCACCGCAGGGTTGCCGGCAAAGGGGAAGAACCACCAGAGCACATTGCTGGTACCCATGGCCTGGCTCATATTGTTGAAGAAGCCAATGTCATAGGGAAACTCGATCTTTTCGAAACGGAACTTCTCGCCACCCGGGCCTGTAACGTCCCACCAATCCCGGCCTCCTCGCTCAGCAATGGTCTCGTGGCGATCCTGCTCCCAGCCCTCGATCATGGTCTGATTGAAGACCCAGCTCTTCAACGTTGTGAACAGCATGATGCCCAACGCAACCGTCACAACAAAGTGGACGAGCGAAATGATCGCCAGGGCTACTAAGGCGGAGAGACTGGGGCCCAAGTACGCCGGCATATGACGATTTTCCCACAACGAGTAGTATCTATGCCACAACAGGCGTCCCAGCACCCACAGCGCCAGGTTGGTGTAGACAAGAAAGCGCAGGAAGTGCGGAAACGTCGTCAATGACACGCAGTTCCTTGTCCAGGGGCAGTGATGGTCCATCTTGGGCACGCATCTCTCACAGTGCCGGCAGTGGTGTGCCCTCGGTGGTTTGGGGGCTTCGCACTTCTTGCACCAGCGCTTCTTTTCGTCGACTTCGATGACCGCGTCTTGGAAGACATATCGCCCGGGATCGACCGTCACAGCTTGGTAATATGTGTAATAGAGGGTCGCGAGGAGAATGTTGAAAGTGACTGTTTCCTGCGTCGTGGGAGGGCCGGGTTCGAGCGTCGTGGAGTATCGGAATACGATTTGAGAAAAATATCCCAAAAAGGCGATCAACAAACAGACACCTGGGACAGCGATGCTCTGTATGAGAGGGGCATCGTTGAAGCCCACCATGGTGAGTTGGTGTTGTGATGCAAGACTGGACTCGCCAATTTGGAGCTCCGGGGAAAGAAATCATCATCCGTAGGGTTACAGGGTATGTGCCTTACATTTAGGGGTCCTTTAGGGGCCCAAACGCCGCCCCATTGGCTGACGTAATGCTCCATATCGATCAATCAAATTTCCCCTGGCCTGGACCTGGCATCTTACGCCTCGCGTCTTGCGATGTTAAGGAGTATTTTTAACGTTACCTTAGCTCATATTCATATGTCCCAAGTCGCGCCATTGGCTTTTTCTAGCTCAATCGAAGGGGCTGCTTACTTGCTTAGAACGACACGATGGACTAAAGCTGGCTGGCTTTTTGGGTTCTTGGAAGAAACCTAGATTGGCACTCTTGGCTTCTAGCTCAGTACCATCAATGGCTCATCCGGAGGTCGCCCATGTTGCAGCAGTGGGGTATGTGTTCCCCTTGGACTGCAATACGTACTTGGCGACTTGAACGCTGATGATAGCATATAGCACACTGCTGTCTTTCTGCTTCGTTTCACATTCATTAGAACGTCATTCATTATCAGGTCCGTACATCTTGCCTGCTTGTGCCCGGTCAATGCTGACGATCGCCTGCAGGCCATCCGCGACTGTCCTCTGTCTTGATCTTGCTGCTTTCAGGGGTCATATGTTGGACTGCGAGCTCTTTCGCCCACAGGCTACCTGGGGGGTCTGGACGCTTCACAGTCGCGAAGCACTTCGCTGATGATGGCGGTTTGCTCCAGCATTCGCCAGACAAGGTCTCGCCTACTTTGACACCCAGTAGACCTCGCCGCTACTCGCTTCCCCTTCTTGTGGCATGCATTGTCTTTCGCTTGGAGCTCTTGCATCGGGTCACCTATGCTCAGCAATGTGCGACCCCGGGCGTCGAGGTATCATGGCCCAAATCCCCTTGTGCCAAGGAGCCAGACTAATCGATATTCAGACCTTTCTCTGCTTGCTCTTATTTTCCTATGAAGTATTCGTTATGCGCCGCCACTACGCTATTCCGGCACCCGCTGACCCTGATGACCCATGGCGAAGCACCTTGGATGACATGTCCGATTGGTTTACTGGGCCTCGGATGATCATGGTGTATTCTGGGGCAAGTGTCCTGATGATTGCTCTTGGGGCGTTCTACTCAGCTGGTCAAGTCACCCGATCAACCTATGTCTGCTTCGAGCCGTTGGACAGCCACTCGTGGACTCTGGCGCTACAGCTGGTCTCCCTGGTTCTCGATGCCATGATCATCGTCCTTCTTTGGAGGGTCATGGCGTGGACGAGGACCATCAAACTACGCCTGTCAACTCTCGGCGTAGTTTTGATTGCGTCTGCCATATCAACAGGGCTCGTCTGGGCCGGTAGCGCTGCCTTCGAAGGCACCTCCCGCTTCAAGCTGGCCATCGGCTCCCTCTACAGTTTCGACATATTGGTTGACAGTGTTGCTTTCGCTCTTCTTGCCATTTGCGCTGCAGCATGGATCTGCGAGGCTTCACCGCTGCTGCCATCCAGCACCGTTACTGTGCTGGTCGGCACATTGAACTTTTGGACAAGTGCAGCGACATTTGGTGACTGGGTGCACACACAGCGCTACGCAATTCTTATTTCAGGATGGTGCACTATATTGAGCTTCGTATTCTTTTTGCGCTTCCAGGAGGTGAAGAGCATAGTCTGGATGCATCGCGGTCCGCTTGCTTTTCTGCTGATAGTGCTGGGCGTTGTTACCACAATGCGCCAGGGCATGAAGGGTACGCCTTCATACCCAAGGCATCCAATAAGCGATCTGATCTACAAGGCCAACATTGAGCACGGCAGATGGGTCACCAGAGCTACCTCTAGCGACACCGTGAAGGTGGCTGCTAGCTATTATGAGGAGCTCCATGGAGGCAGGGTGCCGCCTCCCAACTTCGACAAGTGGTTCGAATACGCCCAAGGAACGATTGTCATCGATTCTTTCGATCAAATTGACTCAGACCTTCAACCCTTCTGGAACTACCCACCTTCCGTTCTCAGGGATCGAGCCGAAGCCATGATTCAGGGGCCCGGCATTGGAGCGATCCGCCTCAAGGATGGTCTGGCCAGCCACAGCGACACAGGCATAGAAGCCAGCGACGCCGATTTGCAGCAACTCACGGACATGATAGGCAAATTTGCAAAGTACTTGCCCGACATGGTTCTTCCCATCAACCTTGGCAGTACCCCTCGAGTACTCCCGCCGTGGGAGGAGACCACAGGTCACTACGACGCGACCTTTGGTGGTATGGCAGACCTAATGACAAAGAGGTCAACCGTTGCGGCCAATGACACGGAAAACTCGGTCGATTTGCGATCACCAGCACAAGCATTGCCTGCTAGTATTGAAACACCGGGAATTACGACGAATGAATACCGGGAGATGCTTCTGGGTGCCTGTCCGCCCAGTTCTCGCAGCAGGACAGAACCTCAATGGGACACCTCGCGTTTCTGCGTGCACTGCATTCGTCGGCACTCGAAGCATGCTTTCCTCACCAAATGGGATAGGTCACTTGAAACATGTGCTCAGCCCGATCTCCGGAATCTGCACAATCTCTACATGACGAGCCCGATCTCGGAACCCATCCGGAAGCTCGCGCCACTGTTTAGCTTGTCCAAGGTGGACGTCTACAGTGACATTCTGATCCCGCTTCCGCGAGCAACGCTTGGCGGCGACCCGGATATGCCATGGACCTTCAAGCGAAGATACGATTCACTGTATTGGAAAGGAATGGTAGGACAGCGGGACACCAATCCACAAGCCATGCGAGGTGGTCAGAAGTATAGGCTCCTTCATCTCTTCCTCAACCCCAACAGTCGGGACAAGGTTACACTGCTGCTACCCACGAGCAAAGACCAGACAAGTTTTGGCTATGAGCCAACATCGGCTGCACAGGCAGGCAGTGTGGCGCCCTTTGACATTGGTATCGGAGGCTTCTCCGACTGCAACAGCACGCACTGCGATGTTGTCAAGACAGCATTTGGCGCAAGAGAGGAGACACAGGAGCCGCTCGAATATCGCTACGTGCTCCTGCTGGACGAGGATGGAGCACCGCCAAGTCAGCTCATGCGAACGATTCGCTCGGGCAGTGTCCCCTTTGTCTCGACCATCTTCCGTTCGTGGTACACCGAGCGACTGCAGCCTTACCTGCATTTCGTGCCGATCGATCTGCGTTTTCACGCGCTACATTCCACCTACCTATACTTCACGGGGACGGAGAAGCGAGCTGGGATCAATGGCAGAGATACCAGGATGAAGGCACGCGACGATGATAGCGAATACATCGCCAAACAGGGACGCAAGTGGGTGGATCAGGCGTTGACCGAAAAGGACATGGAAGTGTATCTATTTCGACTCCTCCTCGAATGGGGACGCCTCATCGACGACGAGAGAGAGACCATCGGGTATCGAACGGACGAGCAAGGCGTGTACAAGAACGTCGGGTGGACAACGCAGGGCAGCGTATCTTGAGTTCCAGGAAGGGAATATCGCACAGATCTTTGTACAACATGCTGGGGTTATTTATCGGGTTCCACCGCTGTAGATTGGGTTTATGGCGCGATATCTACAAGAGAGGGGAAAATACGGCGTTAGAGGCGTGAAATCATAGCAATGATGCCAGTTGTCAGAGTCTCGACATGGCCAGACTGTAATGAGAAACCTAGCCGCGTACCGTCTAGTCTGTGGTCTCGACTCCGTTTCAGTTACTACGTAGCACTTGTTCTGCGCAAAGAAGTCGCACATCGAGCCACCTAGGCCTACGTAGAGAAGCTGCAAATGTCCGTCTTGGCGCAGTACCAGGATGTGGCTGCAGTCTGCAGGAGCCTTTTTGTGACGAGGTCTCGACTCTCGACGATGTGTGCACAGTGTTCATCGATATTCTGATGCTGATGCCGTCGCTGCGCGCTGACGAACCGTTGCAGTGATTCATCAGTGCGATGCATAGTCGGGGGCTACGCTTGGTACTGTAGAGATCGCAACATGGCAAGGCCCGCAACAACATCGTTGACACGTGCCACTCGGCGCTGGCGCCATGCGCAATGAGGTCGACATCTGTCAGCGATGGATGGGGAGACCTTGTCGACTGGAAAGCTTGACAGCCAAGAGTGCGCTAAAGAGGAGATAAATGCAGGTGATTGATTCAGTTGAGGGAGATATTCGACATGCGTGTCACTCACCGAATAGTGCACTGTCCGTGTCAAGGTGATCAGCAGACGGAAGGACCCGCACAGCTGCGCGCTCAAGCCTCAAGGTGACAAGGTCAAGGCTGGTCGGTAGGTCGACAGAACAGCCGAGACGACTGGAAGCGCGTGTCGCGCCTCGGGACTCCTCTTGGCATCGACTGGAACCATCGATGGACATTGCAGTCAGCTGGTCAGGACAGCGCTAACAAGTTGATTGGGACGCCTCATGAAAGACTGGAATCCGCCCATGCCTGACTCGTGCTGGCTCGGATGTTGTTGGCTCTACGGTCTACCATTGACGTGTGTACGCTCGCCAGAAGAATCCATCTCGTGATCCATCATCCTCCGCATTACGCACCTCCGTCTGCCATGTTGTAGTACTGTAGGTGAGGCAGTGGGTACCGGTAAGTTTTAATCAATCATGTGCTTGCCAATTTAGCAGACAACTTCCCTCCATGGACTCCCGTCGGCCCGTCGTTCGTTCTTACCGTCGCGCATTTTCTTGGTCAAAGCTTGCCAGGACGTTCTCTGTTCGGACCTTCCTCATGCGCCTCGATTAGAAGGCACCCGAATGGGCTCACTTGTACACCAGGACCTCGCACCGCAGGGGTCCAGCCGCTTCCCATTACCTACTACACACCCTCCCAATATGCGACGCAGGGAGCAAAAAAGAAAAGGCTGTGGGCTTGTGCTGTGTCGCCATCAGGTGGCTTGACCTTAAGACAGCCACCTCGTAGACGGCAGTCAGTATTGTGATGTTATGTGTGTGATATTACCTAGGGTAAGCATCAGGGACGATGGATGCGTGAATTTCAGACGGACAAAGTTGACAAACCCCGCGTTCCACTCGCGCTTTCCCCACTTCCCCTCCTGCAGTGCAGAAAATCGAATCCCTCGCTGCGGCTTCGACAAAGGTCTCCTCCATCCATGGCTCAGCGCGGATACGGTCGGGCAAGCCAGCGCAGAACGCTCGGTGAAGACCATGTTGCACCGCACTTCAGCCTCAAGACAGACTTGCAACAGACGACCGCGCCAATCTTCCGCAGCTACTTACTTACCTGGTAGTTTTACGAACTGAACTACTACAGTGCGTGCTCAGCGGCTCAGCCCTATCCGACCAGGGGGAGCTGGGATGCGTCACCAGCCACAACAGGATCTCTCACCTCGGTGGCCGAGTCTGTGTGGGCTAGTGAGATCTACTAATAATTATACGACGTGACCTGCATGGCAACTTCGGCCTCACCGTCATATGAAGCTCTCGTCCGCAATAGGTGCATACAGGCCCTCGCTAATGCCTGACACTGACGCGAGCCAAGCTCACTTTAGCCATATCGACGACACAGGTCCGGCTACTTGTAGCCATGTCACCAGGCACCGATCCTTGATCCCTGTGCCCGATCACAGCCACAGCTGCCGCACGAGTCTTCAGTGCACGTAGCGGGCCTTCATTTTACTCATGCACTGTCGACATTCGGAGGGAATAATCAGAAGCGTCTCGCCTCGAGGAGAGCATGTGATGCAGTCAACCAACGAGCACACGGGAGAGCTTCGCCTCGAGAACTCATGCGACGGCGACCAACTCGTGGAAGCTCAGCCAGCCATCGAGTGAGACTGGCATGCGCAGGTCTCATCACATAATGCAGGCTTCGAGACACTGTCGTCTCTTTATCCCACTACGCGCATGGGAAGCGCGTCGCCAACGTCTCGAACATCGCACACGTATCATTGCTTGCTCGGTCACTCGGTCGCTTTGCGCTCACACGCAAACACCCACCACCTGCGCTGCATGCGTAACTTAGCCGCTGGTTGATCTGTGGAAGAGCTCCCTCATTGAAATAATCATTACTCCCTTACGGTAGCTTTTGCAAGCCTTTCCTTGTTCTTTTGGGCACCCCCCACTAGACATGAACTCGGAGTTGGCCGACTAAGATAGCGTCAAGAGTGAGAGGATCACCCGCAACCGTGTCCGTCCCGTGGTCGGCTCAAGCAGCTCAACCGGCAAGGTCGTCGGCACAACAAAACTGTCGCCGTCAAATTGTCAACCGAGATGCCCCACCCCGCGGATGCTGTGACCAGCGGCATCATCATCGTCCTGCTGTGGTCGTCTGGGACGCACTTGCATTTGTGTCTCACGACATTGCTCTGTAGATCTGGCCGAGCGCTTCTCGTTATATGCACGAGACTCCTCGTGATGTCGCCAGGCGTCATCACTTTTCCCAAGTGCCTACTCAGTGAGCATCGTGAACCATCCCCCCAATTGCCCTGGGATTGGAAGCGACATATTATGCCCGCATGTCACGGTCACCCCTCAGTGGGGCCACGAGGTACATGTAGCTAGCTTGCGAGACTGTCCAGTGCAGTCCAGTCTCTCTCACACTGCCGGGACTAAATTACCTGCCTACGTATCGACAAACCACCGCCGAGCTCGTTTCTCACGATCCTGGCGAAGTGCACTTGGCCATTGGGACCCAATTTGCGCAGACAAGGGACGGGATTGCCCGCAGAGAAACACCAGACTCATGTGAAGCCACTCGAGCGTACATATCAAAGGAAGAGAAAGTAGGAAGAGGAATTCATCCCCCCGAGAAAAACTGCGCTGCTATTGGAAGCGTGCGGGTTTGCAGAACCAGAGCGTAAGGCACCTTATATTATCCCGAAATCGCGCTGTCAACCGAGCCTACCACGCGAGCTCCGTCACCGGCTGCTCTCGCATCGGTCGACGGTCGACCACACAGACACCCACGCGGGCGAGCAATGTGCAGGGTCCCCATCCACGCGACCCTAGTCTCGTCAAGCACAGCTACCTGACTTGACTTGAAGGTTGTTGCACCCCCGGCGACTAGACTGCTACCTACTTACTATTACTCGCCTGCTTGGCTGACTTTACATCATCCCAGGCGAGCAGCCTCCCCATCGTTCCTCCCCTCCAGCCTCCAGTCCTTGCGCTGCTCAACCTCACACCTGGCCTTGTCTCACCTCACCCTGGGTCCATATTCTTCTCTCTATATTCTATACGTCAGTCAGCTTATACGCCATATCTCGACAGCACGGGGCTCAGACATACCACTGGGAACGCACGTCAAGTTCCCTACACCTGACAACCGCGTGCTTGTCTCGAACACGATCGACCTCGGCTTGGCCCGTTGCATAGTGCCTCTCCATCAGCTCGTGTGCTGGTGTCCCGCTCCTGAGTCTGTATGCGCCACGCCAATAATGAGATAGAGCTCGGTGGACGGCTTTGAGGTGCAGAGTTTACCAACATCTCGACGAACAGCGTCGCGCCCAGCCATATCGACGCCAGGCAGCGCACCGCGGAAGCTCGAGGTGACCCGAGTGCTCTGGCAAGGTCAGGATCCTCCAGTACGGCCATGAGCGCCGCTCCTAGCTTGGAAGATACTCCGCCAGTATCTACGTCCCCGTCACTGGTCGCCACGACTTCGCCTGCGCGGACGCCAGCTGCTGGGCCGCCTTCGGCCTCGTCGCCGGATCCAGCCACGGCACTACCAGCGGCTTCGACCCTACCTCCTGTGACTGCTCCGTTCTCCCCGCCTCCTTCCGTTGTCGCAACATCGGCGCAGTCGCTAGCAGCCCTCGCCACGCATCATCACCAGCAGCATCACGAGAAGCAACATCATCAGCAGCAGCCACACCAACGCCATGCTGAGCCGCCCACGATTCTCCCGCGCCCCGGCGAGCTGTCACCTACTAGGCATGTGACGCCCGCGCCGACCACAGTCCACGCAGGGCCCGCCAGCGTCCACACACCACCAGCACCTTACTACGTGCAGGCTACGTCGCCGCCGCCCCCGAGGCAGACCACGAGCTCCTCCGCATCTACTCAGGCCACCAGCGCCACAATTGGTTCCGCAGAGACCAACAACACATCGTACAGTGCCGACACCTCTCCTACCTTGCACCAATCTATCTTCTCCCTCAAGGATGGCTCCGACGTCTCTAACAACCGGCGAACCAGCAGGAGACGTACCGGACCACTTTCCCAACAGAGCCGCGAAAAGGCCGCCCTGATTCGAAAGCTTGGCGCTTGCAAAGACTGTCGACGACGACGCGTTGCCGTGAGTAATCAGTATCTTGCCATCACTGCCTGTCTAGTAACGTGCTTATTTGCTTCCCCGAAAGTGTCAACCGGCCCACTACAATTTGACGTGGGACGATCTCTACCGAAGATTCAACCGGTCCAGCAGCCCTAATGTCCAGGACATTGCGCCATCGACCTCTGGCGAGAGGCCACAGAGCCCTTTGCAGGCCCATGAGGGTGCGGTCCCAGCCATGTTCGCACACGAACCCCAGGAGATGGACATTGATACGCCCCCTCACGCCAGCACCAGCATGGGTCGTTCTCCTCTCAGCGACGCCCGCAACAGGACGCCCCTACCCTCAGGGCCACGCCTGGAAAAGTCACTGTCACTGCCACGGATCGAGAACCTCAAGAACGAGCTCCAGTCGCACGCGGCCCGGATGTTGTCCACAGCGAGCCGGAGCCGGTATACTTCAGTCCACGCGCTGCTGTTGCATTGGCAGGATGATGACAACGCAGCCGCTGTTGGAGGCGCTGTGAGGAATTTGGCGCATGTCCTCGAATACAGCTATCGTTACTCTGTGAAAGTGAAGCCGATTCCCTCGTCGAGTGATGGCTCAAGAAACGCGTGGAGATGGCTCTCGAGAGAACTGAACGAGTTCTGTGAGCAAAATGACCAGCGGGATGTGCTGAAGATTGTCTACTATGCAGGCCATACCTATCTCGAGGGAGAAACGGTCTTGTCAAGGTGAGCAGCGACTGTTTTTGCTAGAGATGCGCCGCTGCAAGGATACTGGATGCTGACTGGCGCATAGCTCGAAGAAGGACCTTGCAAACGCTACGACAGTGCGATGGAACGGATTGCAGCAAATACTCGAAGTGGCGTCAGCGGATACTTTGGTGGTGATGGACGCTGCGTACTTCCCCTCGTCCAAATTAGATCGCAGGACGGGTGTGCTGGAGCTCATCGCGGCCGCCATGTCAGAGGACCACCACGAGGCCCTGGACACGACCGCGTTCACCGTCGCCCTGACAGAGTTGCTGCGAGTGAGGGCGGGCAAGGAGAGCCCACTGACAGCAGCAGAGGCGCACTCGATCCTCTTCTCCAGCTACAGCCGGATGGTGCGGGATCGTGTGCCAGAGCAGGAGGTTGTGACCCGATTTCCCGCCCCGCTGCATATCATGGCGTCCGGAAACCCACGCCTGCCCTCGATCTATCTCGTACCGACAGAACAGAGCAGCTTGTCACGAAGCACTGTGCACGACGACTGTCCGCTGCTGCACATGTCGGTCCGCCTCGCCGATGACAATGTGGACCTGGATGCCTGGAACGAGTGGTTGCGGCTGATGCCAGACAGCGTTCGGGACGTCAAGGTGGAAGGGCCTTACAGATCTCACAGATGACCCCATACATTGGCGGTACCTCTCTTTATGGGCGGCTCTTTTATAGCAAGCGAATTGGATATTGCATATGTCAGGCGAGACGTTAGCTTCTCAGCTACTCACTCTGGACCAACGCATTGGGGGGTCTTTGATAGCAGCTGGAGATAGGACTCAGATGCCATTGGGTATAAATGAATTACCCACGAAGGAGAGTTTATCATGTTGCTGTGAATTAGAAGCCAGAAGTTTGGTCTCGTCAAGGGTTCAGCAACCATTGAATTCATTAGACTGGCAGCAAAGTGAGGCGGTGAGACCTCTGATGAAGACGTCGGTGGTCACGGTCGATCTACCAAATGTGGGGGGCGCCACGTCGTTGCCCAGCAACCGCCAAAACACGCTTCCTTCATCACAAACCCGCCCGGACCCTGAACCACGTTCATTCATTCCTCCACACACTAACACGTCAAACAAGACATACGAACCGCGTCGCAATCGTCATGTTCAACCTGTCTCTGGTTCATTCTGGCGTTTTTGTGATTTGTTAAGTGAATTTCGCCTTTTCATCGCGTCAACCTTCTCGCAGCATCGCACCGTAACGCCACAGCACCATGGATTCACCACCCAGACGAATGACGCGTGCACGAGCTGCCAAAACTACAGGTCCTCGGACCACCAAGATCGTGACGGCTGCGGCCAAAGCCAAAACCAACGCGGCACCCACCGCCTCCACTAGCACGAAGACCACGGCTGCTAAGCGCAAAACAAGAGCCGACGACTCAGAGGACGAGGAGGACCCTGTTCACGACCAGATCCCAGCCCCGCGAAAAGCGACGCGTGGACGGCCCAAGAAGAAGGTCGACACTCAGCCAGCCAGCACGGCGCCCGTTGCGAAGCCTACTCGAGGACGGCCAGCGAAGAAACAAGCGACAGACGCGGCCAAAGCTGAGGCGGCCGAGCCTGTGAAACCCACTCGAGGCCGCCCCAAGAAGTCTACACAACCCGCAAACGCCGAGGCAGCTGCAATCGAGCCGCCGAAGAAGGTGACGCGTGCCCGCGGGACGGCGGCCCCTACAGCAACGACCAAGACAGGCATTAAAAAGACAGTCAAGTTCGAGGAGCCTGATAAGGAGAACGTCGAACCCGTCAAACGGAAGGAGCCTGCAGCACCTGGCCTCCGAGGCAAACCTGCGCGACGTGGAGGCGCGACAGCTGCACGCGGGGCGCGTAAAGAAGCCACCCCAGCAACCACCGGCTCGGAGATCCGGAAGAAGCCACTGAGCCCTAGAAAGGTGACACAGATGCCTGTCTCGCGAGACGAAGAGTCCGAGGACGAGCTCGCAGGGTTCGAGCGTACGCCAATACCGCCTATGAGAACGAGCCCCGTCAAGCCACCGATCAGTGTCATGGCGCAGGCAAAGGAGCCTTCATCCGAGGGCCTCGACGAGGACGCCACGATCAGAGTCAACGCAGCCATTCTGAACCCACCGGACTTGGTCACAACCACCCTCACCTCTCCAGCCAGGCGAATCCCTCCCTCGGCCCAAAAGGAAACAATGAAGTCTCCAGCCCGCAAAATCGGCGCTGTACCTTTCCCTGGATCCGCGATAAAGTCCGCCCAACAGAGTCACGGCACAGTTGGACCTACCTCCCCCACCAAGGGTTCATTGCTCCTGTCGGCCGCAAAGAGACCGCCATCACCAGTCAAGAACATCAACTTCTCGTCGCCGACCAAGTCCAGCACCACTCCTTCTGCGGCATACAAATCCTCGATGCTGCAGACACCCGCCAAGCGGGGCATTTCGGGACTCAAGCCAGTGATGGAAAGTGGTTCCCGGAAGGATGACCTGCTGCAGCGCGGAACGCCTGCGATGAAGCCTCTCGCTTCGACACCCGGACCAGTCGGTTCGCGCCGCCCGTCGGAGAAACTTCTTCTCGAGGAATACGAGCCATCGGATGAGAGTGACCAGGATGGGGGGAGGGATGAGGAGATTTTTACCGCCCCTATCGAGAAGGTGAACTTCCCCGGGCGCCTCTCAGCGGTCATGCCACGAGAGGCTGACCCCGATCCCTCGCTGGCAGAGGAAAAGGATGGGGATCAGCAGGTCCAGACTGATAACCTGATTGAGGATACATCGCTGCTTCAAGAAGAACCCGACTTTGCCGAGGATGAAGAGGCTTGCGATACCCATCCAGATCCTGCGACAGGGCCTGTAGACGAGGAGCAGGACGCCGATGCTTCAGTGGAAGAACAGACCGAGTCGGAGGCTGCGGCAGAAGTGTCACAGCATGATGATTCTGTGAAGCCTGAGGTGGCCCCGCAAACTGGAGATGCTGGAGATGCTGGAGATGCCGGAGATGCCATGTTCCAACTTGACTCCCGCGCTCTGCCATCAAATGAGGACTTCGACGCAGAGTCTGACAGTGAGCTGATGTCGCCTCCGAGAGCAACTGGCGATACACCGACTGCCAATCTGGCACAGGCTGGCCACTCTCGGCGCTCGACGATAGGCTTGACGAGTCTTGCCGAGCAGTTTGGGCAGTGGTCGGCGGCGGCGGCGAGTCCCAGCAAGACGACTGCCAATCGGCGGAGCACCCAAGCGCCGGATGAGCAGGCCATCAATTCCCCCACAGCAGAACCTACCCCAGCATCAGCTCACTTCTTTGAGGATGAGATGACTGTCCGTCCAGACTTTGAGGCAGACGTACCCCAGCAGCCTCAGTCTGAGTCCGGACCTGAGCCCGAGCTGATGGATCTTGACGAGCCATTCAACGACGTTGCCACCGAGCCGGAAGACCTGGAGCTTGCGCAGGAGGCAGAGAGCATGGCGGGTGCCAGCTCACCGAGAACGAAGCAGAGCGATGAGATGGAAGTCGGGGGACACGACGACACGCTGTCTGACGCGAGCCAGGAGTATGGGGACGAGAACGAAGTCCCTGTGGACCCTGCCATGGCAGCAGCGGCGTGGGCGGCACCCGTCACGCCCGTACGCCCCGAGAAGCACACCTTCTTCCACACGACGACCAAAGTGCCTCTCAAGGCGTCGGATGAGTCCACGCCTAGCATTCTCCAGAAGCGCAGCTTCAGTGCCCCTCGCGTGACCGCACAAAGGTCGAGCAGGCCAGAAGCGGATGCCGGTTCCGACCTGACGCCAAGCAAGAAGCGGACGAGCCTCGGGCCCGCGACTCCCGTCAAGGGGATCACGGCTCCCGAGTTCTTCACACCCACAGTGGCCCGTGCAGGCACTGATACCCATCTGCTCAAAGGTGCGGTAGTGTTCGTGGATGTGCGCACTAGTGAGGGCGCCGATGCTAGTGGCATCTTCGTGGAGCTTCTCACGCAAATGGGCGCACGTTGCCGCAAGCACTGGGACTGGAATCCGGATGGTTCGTCGAACAACGAATACACATCACACAAGATTGGGATCACGCACGTTGTCTTCAAGGACGGTGGGAAGCGGACGCTGGAGAAGGTGCGCAGGACCAAGGGTCTCGTGCAATGCGTCGGCGTGAGCTGGGTTCTTGAGTAAGTTTGCCTGGTCTGTGTCCTGGAACGTAGTGTCTGTTGCTAACTTGTCACGTGTAGCTGCGAGAGAGACAACACCTGGCTCGACGAGCGCAGCTATCTCGTCGACACGGGCCTCGTCCCACGAGGCGGCGCGCGTCGGAGGAGGAGCATGGAACCCAAGGCCTTGGCGAACATGAATGGCACACTCGTGGACAATGGTTCGACATCAAAGGGCACGGGTCCTCGCACGCCGTCACCCTCGAAGCGGCGAGAGAGCACGCAGTGGATGCACACGCCCTCTGACCAGGGGTTGGAAGGAGAGCAGGACGACATTGAATGGTCGAAGTTCATCTTGACGCCTGTGCCGAAGACACCTGCGCCTGATGCTGTGGCGAGGGCCGCCGCTGCGCTGGCGGCAGACGACTCGATGACGGAGAGCGACGACGACGCGTCGTATGGATCGCCAATGGACCACGAAGCATTGTTGATGAGGACTTGCCCTCCCAAGACGAGACCGTTGCGGGATCTCACGGGCAGCAGCCCTGCGATGCAGCGGCTCATGGCGGCGAGGCGCAGGAGCATGCAGTACGCTCCCAAGATAGGGAGCCCGTTGGCCAAGACTTGGAAGTAGAGGAATAGCGTTTGGAGTTTTGTGTCGGGTTAGGGAGGTATTATAAAGCATACCACATCTGTTATTGAGCATACCCGGTGGGTCAAGTGTGGCCGCGATATTAAGTTATAGGTAGCCGAAGAACGCTCTAGCCGAATAACGCTCTGATACTCGTAGGTTAGCGATAGACTCAGAAGGGCAAGTCACGGGGCCGTTGGTTACCAAGTACTACCGTAAGTTCTTGACAAAGTCGCTAGCGCTGGTGTATGAAATCTAGCCTTTGAAAGTTTAGTGTCATATAACCTTGGTTGTGCGAAGGTGCAGACCTGACATAGCCCTGTGCAATACTCAGGCTGTACAGCCCGACAATATCTGCTCAATTGGCACCGTTTCTAGCAAGGACCGTGGTCAGCCAAGACAGGCCAGCGCTAGCGACTTTGTCGAGAACTTACGGTAGTACCTACTAGGTAGAGCGAAGCTACGAGGTAGTGGATTTACGGCTACATGTAAACAGGGGCTGCAGCAGCTCACGCCATACTTAGCTCCCGCTGGGTATGCTCAATAACAGATGTGGTATGCTTGATAATACCTTCATTTTATTATGCTCGGCGAGCCTTCTGGGAATACATCCAGGGCAATTGAATACTATACCCTCCAGCGGGCTAGGTTCGTATTGAATCTACGCTGCGACATAAGCCCTCATGGCCTTGACGGCATCCCCGTCGTGCGCCTTGAGCAGCTCTGTGGCCTTGGGCTTGGCGAGGAGGAGCTGGTCGACGAGCAACGAAACGTCGGCGGCGTCGACCTTGACACTCTTCTTCGGGGCGGCAGCCGCGGTCTTGCGGGAGGCGCCGCCGGCACCACCACCGCCGCCGCCGCCGCCCATGGCCTTGTTGACGGCGGCCTGGTCGACGTTCTGCGCGGCCTTGCCTGTGTCGTTGGGGGCGGCGGCGTCGAGCGAGGCGAGAGCGGAGGCGGCCTTGCGGTCTTCGGCGGAGGAGGGCTTCTGGGACTGCTCGTCTTCAAAGTCGCCTGTTGTGGCGCCCTCGACGACGTTGGGGGGCTGAGCTTCGGTCATTTTGGGTGGATGTTGGGTGGATGTTGGGTGGATGTTGGGTGGATGTTGGGTGGATGTTGGGTGGATGTTGGGTGGTTGTGTTGGAGGTGGATTGGTGGTTGGAGGTTGAAGTGTGGTTGGGGGGGGGGGGCATCTGTAGGTGGTTTCAAATACCAAGTATGGTAAACTTAACAAGCCTAACACCTACGAACGGTATTGAAATTGCTGAAGTAGTTTTGATTGGCAGTTTGCATTTGGATAGATCAAGATTAGTTTCCCCTCAATTCTTGACAAGATTGAATAACTCCAAGAGTACATATAGACAGACACCAATGCCAAAGTGCCTGCGTCGTACTGGCACTGGCCCTAGGGTAGGCCAGTTGTCTTGGATAAGTGCGTCATTACCTGAAACGGCTTGCTTCGGTTCAGACCTCATAAAATTTATTCACAATTAAGAGCCGCAACGCAACGATCCCTTCCGCGATCAGATTTGGATGCGGATCTTCATAATATTGCCGCCTCTTACAACAGCGATAATTATCGACGAGAAAGACTGTCCACTGGCTTGCGGTGTCGGACCAGAACAAAGAGTAACACAGACCCACGGACCATCTTACCACCTCCCCAGGTTGAGTCACGACCATACCTTGGGGTTGGCCTGCTTCTCATTGACCTCTGGATTTGTCTGCCATTGAGACGTTTGCATCCAGAGCTCGCCCCGGATTCTTCACATTTCAAACAAGATCAACACCCACCACCAAATGTCTTCCTCCACCTGGGAGCCCTCAACATGGCGCTCCAAGCCCATCAAGCAGGCGCCGTCCTACCCTGACCCCAACAAGGTCACGGCCGCCTGCGACGAGCTCACCCGCTTGCCGCCCATTGTCCACCCGGCCGAGATCCAGCGTCTCAAGGCGTCCCTGCGCGACGTGGCCGCCGGCAACGCCTTCCTGCTCCAGGGCGGCGACTGCGCCGAGCTCTTCTCCTACTGCGAGCAGTCGGCCATTGAGTCCAAGATCAAGCTCCTCCTGCAGATGAGCCTCGTCCTCATCTGGGGCACGGGCAAGCGCATCGTCCGCATCGGTCGTATGGCCGGCCAGTACGCCAAGCCGCGCTCCAGTCCCATGGAGACGGTCAATGGCAGGGAGATCCCCAGCTTCCGCGGCGACATTCTCAACGGCTTCCACGAGGACGAGCGCGAGCTCGACCCGCGGCGGCTCGTGCAGGCCTACCACCACTCGGCCGCGACGCTCAACTTCATCCGCTCCAGCCTGTCGTCGGGCATTGCCGACCTGCACCGCCCTCTGGACTGGGGCCTGGGCCACGTGCAGGATCCCGCGCTCAAGGAGAAGTACAGCGCCATCGCGACAAGCATACAGCAGACGCTGCGCTTCCTGCAGGTCATCAACTCGCGCCAGACGGGCCTCGAGACCGTTGAGCTCTTCACCAGCCACGAGGGTCTCCTGCTAGAGTACGAGCAGGCCCTCACCCGGCTGCTGGAGAAGCCTGCCACGCTCACGTCGCCCGAGACGGGGGGCGCCGCCTCGCCGACGGCTGAGGCCCCCGCTGCCGCTCCGCAGCCCAGGAAAGAGTACTACGACACGTCGGCGCACTTTATCTGGATCGGCGACCGCACCAGGCAGATTGACCACGCCCACGTCGAGTTCTTCCGCGGCATCGCCAACCCAATCGGCGTCAAGGTCGGCCCCTCCACGCCGCTCGAGGACATTCTCGACCTCCTGCGCACGCTGAACCCAGACCGGGAGCCGGGCAAGGTCACGCTCATCACGCGCTACGGCGCCGCCAAGGTCCGCGACCTGCTGCCCCGGCACATCCGCGCCGTCGAGGACTCGGAGTACAAGGGCTGCGTCGTCTGGCAGTGCGACCCCATGCACGGCAACACGGTCAGCACGCCCGCCGGCATCAAGACGAGAAAGTTCAACGACATTTACCGCGAGCTGCAGGAGACCCTGAAAATTCACAAGGAGCAGGGCAGCTACCTGGGCGGCGTGCACCTGGAGCTCACCGGCGACGCCGTGACCGAGTGTCTGGGCGGGAGCGAGGGTCTGGGCGAGGACGACCTCTCGACCAACTACACGTCGTTCTGTGACCCGAGGCTGAACGAGAAGCAGGCCCTGGAGTTAGCCTTTTTGATTGCGGACCACCTATCGCAGGAGGGGAAAGGGATTGCCGTTGTGTGAACGGTGTTTGGATAACAAAAAAAAAGTCAAAGCAAGATAGGGGTGTACGGTTGCGATGCAAATTTCTGTGCAGCTACCCAAGATCTACCTGTGACTGCCTTTGCCTCTTCATTACATGCGTGCATGATCCCGTCCTTCCCTTTCTACACCAGGTAGATGGTCTGGGCGGCCTCAAAGGCATCGCCCTTCTCCAACGTCTGCCACTTGCTCACGCTCCCGGGCTCGACGCACAGCATTTTCTTCCAGCCGTCCTTGGGTTCAAAGTCGCCCATGCTCCTCGCCTTGTCCACCCAGGGGTTGAAGACGACGGCGTCCTCGAGGTTGTCGCGCACGATCCGGAAGCGGGGCTTGCCGTCCTCCTCGATCACCAGCGGGTGGCCCGGTCCCTGGGCCGGGGTGTACACGCTGTCCGTCTCGCCGGCGAAAGTGACGGCGCCCGCCTGGGTCTTGGTCTTGAACTGGTCGGCCTTGTCGACGTAGGGCGCGTCCTCGAAGCCCTTGACCGTGACCTTTTCAATGTCGTCGACGCGAAAGTAGTTGTGCAGGAGGGTCTGGAACTCAAAGGGGACGTCGCCGTCGTTGGTGACGACGAGGGTCGTGTTGAGGCTGCCGCGGTCGAGGGTGACGCTGTACAGCAGGCCAAAGGTGTACGGCCACTGGGCGCGGACGTCGTCGCTCAGGTTCTGCGACGAGAGACCAAAGTCGAGCTTGACGCCCTCCTTGGCGGCCTCGCTCGTGCTCTTGCCGAGAAACTCCCACCGCGAGTTGCGCGCGAACCCGTGCTGCGGCAGCTTCTCGGCGCCGTGGCCGTCGCTCGTGCCGAAGACGGGGAAGACGATGGGGATGCCGCCCCGCGCGGCGCCTGACCCATCGAGCTTGGCGGCGTCGCTGAGCCAAAAGTTCTCGCGGCCCGCGGCGTCCTTCCAGGAGAGGATGGTGGCGCCGTGCAGGAGGATGTCGATGGACTCGCCCGTGGGGAGGGTGGCCGTCAGGCGCGCGTTGGAGTCGGTGAGAGTCACCTGGGGCTGCGGCGGGAGGCCTGGAGTCGTGGCGAGGGCTGTTGGTTTCCTGGCGCGCTCCATGGTCAAGATTCTTGTGATGTTGGTGGGGGATCTGAACGTGCTTGCGTGATGCGGGGTATTTGTATGTTATGTCCGTGTGTGGTCGTGAATGAATCGAGGCTGTTCGTACAGGGCAGTCGCTGATGATGCAAATGGTAGTACAGAAGACGTTGGCAAGTCGACGTTTGATGCTTGAGTTGGATGAGTGATGGAGAGTCAAGGTCGGTTAATAGAGCTCAGCTGCTGCTGAGATGTGGGGGGGAAGGTAGGCCGGGATGGGGATGGCGGGGCATTTGCTCTTGACAATGAGGGGCTCCCTCAAGTCGCGAGAGGGAAGGCGCTGACCGTCGCTCTGACCCCTGGCTGGAACAACTGGCGTGGCGAGGCAAGAGCAAGTGGCCGTGCAATTACTGCCTTGATGGCTGTATTCCAGGCAACACCAGCTTCACCTGAAACAGGCGAGGGGCGGTTCGCTTCGCTTCGACACGACAGATGCATCATGTAGGGAATTCCGCACGAACACTGGGTCGACCATCACGATGACTGAAACTACAACACAGCGAAAGAAACGGAAGCAGGTTTGAACAACGTATTCATTCATTCTAATAACGAATCATCGCAAGGGTATCTATCTCGACGTCTTTATACACAACAGTGTATATAGCTTCTACTCTCTTTTCGATGCACGCGCATGCGGCGTGCCTATCAGACGGGCGTGCCTCGCTCAGCGCAAGACGCCCGCGTCGTCGGAGCTGCCGTTGCCATGAGTGCCGGGAGCCTTCTCAACCTCCTCGACGTCCATGAGCAGCTCGCCGTCCTTGCCGTAGCGCCTGGGCTCCTCCCGGGCGACCTTGACGACGTCAAAGGCGCCCTTGAAGCCGGAGACCTTTTGGAAGATGCCGTCCATCTCCTCGAGGGAGCGGTAGGCGGTCTCGGGGAAGAAGAAGTAGACGGAGGGCACCATGGCGGCGTTGATGGCGGCGAAGATGATGTAGGTCTGGTACTTGATGGTGTCAAAGGCGACGGGGGTGATCATGACGACCATAAAGTTGAAGATCCAGTTGGACGAGGTGGAAAGGGCGTTGGCCGGGGCGCGGGTGCGCAGGGGCGTGATCTCGGCCGGGTACAGCCAGGTCATGCCCAGCCAGCCGATGGCGAAGAAGGTGTTGAAGACAAAGAGGAAGACGATGCCGGCAATCTGGAAGCCCAGCTTGTCGGTGACCGAGTTGACGCCGGCTAGGATGGCCATGGTCCCGGCCTGGCCCGCGGCACCGAACAGCATGAGCTTGCGGCGACCGACGCGCTCGACGAGGAAGACGGCGGGCCAGGAGGCGAGGAAGTACTCGGTGCCGTTGAGGGCGGCGAGGAGGCGGGAGAGGGTTGGGCCCATGCCGATGCGGCGGTAGATCTCGGCGGCGTAGTAAGTGATGAGGTTGATCCCGCTGATTTGTTGGAACATTTGGTTAACAAACGCGATAATAGTGCGGTGGCAGGTCCTGTTCTTATCGCGGGCAAAGAGATCGGCGAACTTGCCCTTGCTCATCTCCATGACGGTGTCCTTGATGGTCTTGAACTCGTTCTCGACGTACTTGTCGTGGGGCTCCTTGTCGGCGATGATGGCGATGACCTCGCGGGCCTCCTCCTCGCGACCCTTGAGGATGAGCCAGCGGGGCGACTCGGGCAGGGAGAGGACGGTGAAAAGGATGGGGATGCAGAAGGCGATCTGGAAGGCGAGGGGGAAGCGCCAGGCGACAGAGCCAGGAGCGAAGGAGAGGCCAAAGTCGATCCAGTAGGAGATCATGATGCCGCCGGTGATGAGGGCGCCCTCGATCATGACGAGCTTGCCTCGCTTGTGGGCGGAGCAGGTCTCGGACTGCCACATGGGCACGGTGGACGTGTTGCCTCCGTTGCCGAGACCGGTGATGATGCGTCCGACGATAAAGTGCGGCAGGGTGTAGGCGCTGGCCTGCAGGGCGGCGCCGACGACCATGATGGCGGTGCCGAGGAAGATCATCTTGCGACGACCGAGGGGGTTACCGATGAAGATGGTGATGATGGCACCGATGAAGCAGCCGAGGTTGTACGAGGCGACGGCGATGCCCTGGTACGTGGACCGGGCGGCCGAGGAGGACGAAGGATCATTGGAGGTAGGGTCGATGGTGGGAAACTGGGCGAGGAAGATGGGCAGCGTGAGGATACCGCCCATGACACCTTGGTCGTAACCAAAGAGAACTGTGTTTGTGTAAGTTTTTGTGTTGACTGTTGACTGACAAGGCCAATGGGTCGGTCACTCACGGAAATCTGTGCCGGCAATGGTCGAGATGGCCCAGTTGAGGGCATTGCCTCGGAGGCCAAAGAATTTCTTGCCCATGATGATTGTTGTCTGCTCGCTTGCGATACCGCTTGAAGCAAAGACACCACGGGGAGATGGGGAGGGAAAGTGGAGGACTGGATGGGCAGGAGATGTGGGAGAATGGCGGTTCAGGACGATCGAGTGTCTTATATAGACCGACGATCCCTCATCGACTAGACTGACTAGTCTGGTAGGTACATGTACCTACTGACTTTGAGGCATTCATCCTCGCGTGGTCCAAGGGTGGTGCGCGCCAAGGTGCCCATGGCGGGCATGGGCTGCTGGGATCGGGAATGTGCGCATTAGACTTTTGGAGCCGCGACGCATGATGCGCAACCGCAGGCATATGGAGACAAGACCCATCGAGTTGTTGGAGTGAGGACTAATTACTTACAGAGGGTGCCCTAGCGAGCGTGTGGTTGGTACGCACGCACCGCTCGTTGGTTCGATGGTTCGGCCAGGGGCCGGCGACGACCGGTTGGACAGCGGCATGGCTGAATGCGTTCAGTGGCTGATTGATGAATTCGGCATTCCTTCTTTTGACAATGGGTTCGCCTTCGAGAATATCAGCGTGTCTGGCCCGGACTGGACGTCTGTCTGGCCACTATTAGTCACTACTGTAGTCTGTCTACATGTACTCTCTGCCACTGGTGCAGCCCAAGTAGCCATCGACACGGTGCCCGGGTGGATATATAGCGCGTGGCTCGCACTATTTGATGCGATTCATTGTCGGATGTACCTTTCGTCCTCGTGTATCGGCATGCGCCGCGTTGGAGACGAAGCATCGACGAGAACGAAGCAGGAGGACGTCATTCGTGGGGACTGGAGGGGGGGCCACTGAATTTGCAGCGTGCGTGCGAATTAGCGACTGGAGGCTGGAGCACTGCTGGAGTCTGCCCTGGCCATCAGGTGTGTTATGATCACTTCCCCAACTTCTCTCCAGCTGGGGCGGCGGGACGGACATATGGAATGAAGGTTTGGATAATTATTCACTGGTAAATTGGCAGGGAACTGGACTGGAGTTGGCTGGAGACTGGAGGCTACCGGCGACTTGCCCAAAGCGGTATGCCGTTGCCCTTGGTCAGCGCATCGCTTGTGTGTGTGTGCCCCAGGGACTGGGACTGTTGTTCCTGTTGTGGCTGCCTGGCCGGCCGGCTCTGGCTCTCTGTCGCTGTCGCGCATTTCTGATCCATGGTTCATGATCCGTTTTGTCGATTTTACATAAAGTCGAGCCATCGGGTGGTGGGTCGTGCCAGACAGGCAGGGCCGCAGGCAGCGGTGGATCGCCAAGCCAGCAACCCGCAGATCAAAAAGGGCCAAGCCTGGGACAAGACCGATGTAGCCGGGTAAGGGCTTGGCGATTTCGACTTCATGCGTCCCTCTGCGTGCAAGTGAGCTACAAAAAGCTCGCGTGCGCGCACAAAAAGGTGAAAAAACGAGGGCCAGGACGATGCGCAAAGAAACGCGACAGGGTAGGAGAAACTGGACGCGACAGACAAGAGTCAGAATGCCCCGATCGGGCTTGTGGCTGGGCGAGTTGATTGGTCGCGTCGTTGCGGCCGGCCCATCTCCCGTCAAAGTGCCGTTGCCGTATTTCCGGCCAGCCTCGTCAGTCGTCCATGATACGGCAAGGCACACAAGGCAAGGTTCTTTGCACGGCCAAGCAAAAGCCTCACCCGCTCGAGGGGGGGAGGAGCTGCAGTACGTACGTGCGGTTTACTACATCTCGGGCTGTCCATGAGTGAGCTACGTACTTGTACATATCGCAACATCAAGATTCAAGTCAGCCCTCACGACGCTCCCATCTGAGAATCAAACAAAGGCCATCCATCTCCCATCTCTAGGAGGCCTCAATCGACGGACGGGCATCGCTCTTCGCCCAAAGCCCCACCACCATCATCATGCCCGGCCTCATGTCGCGCACCTCGCTGCACACTACGTCGTGTCATAGTGGATAACAGCGCCTTTTTTCCCCCTTTTGATTTTTTTTTCCCCAACCGCAATGTCTACCCAGTCGCCTTTTCTCAAGACGTTTGCGACTGCGCGCCCGCCCGCCCGTCGTGCACGTTGACGTCACGTCGTAACCCCCGGTCCGATTAAGCTTACTTGCGATAGTGCTCGCGAGTCGTGCGTGGGCGAGGCGTGCGATGGAGACTGACACTGACTATCGGTGAGGGAGGGACATGGCGGCAAGGGAATTCATTTCTTCATTCAATGGTGAATGCCTTGTGGATGGCTGCTGCGTGGAGTGACAATGAGTCGCGAGAACACACCCAATGCTCACAGGCAGCAGCAGAGCAGTTGACACTTTGAACTCGCTAACGATATGTGGCATCCCGCTCTTCACGAAATAATAGTAATTACGGTCTGCATGCTTCTTGTTCCCCCAGCCCTGTACGTACTTCTCTTCTCCCTCCAACAAGGCCACCAACCAAAACCCCGTCTCGCCTTGGGGCTAAATGACTGAAACCAGCATGTCTCTCCCGACTCCCGGATCTCTGTCCCCTGCCCGCCCGATGAAAGTTGGAACACATAAATTCCTCCGGCGCCCGGCTTGCCCCTTTGAGTATCCCGCTCCTCAACTCAACTTCGCTTGTGTTCAAAAGTTTGCAACCACCACCTTCGATCGTGGTGATCGGCACGCAGGCGTCCCGAGCTCGGCCCCGGTATCCCCGGATTATGTGCGCCCCCCCCCCTAAACCTCCAAGTCTCCAACGTCAACTCCAGGTCATGACAACCACGTTCTTTGGTTTCCTATTGCCACATGCCGCCAGTGTCCAGACGCGCGCTACCCCGTAGTCTCGTTACACTCTGCAAGTCAACCTCGGGTGGCTCCAGTCCTTAGTACGCACTCTGTATGTACGGAGTACTCGACCTTCGCTGTTCGGGCCCGACACGCAGTGCCCCTTGCACACGTGCTCGTCTAGGTTCTGCAAGCGAGGTACTTGGACGCGAGCTCACCTGCCCAAGCCACGCAAGATCAGTTCTCATCATGTTCAATTTGATATAATGACTTTCAACGTAGACTCCTACACTGGCGTCCGTTGACGACCCATACGGGTTGGTATACATGCTCGTCCTCCGTATAAACACCCTCATGTAATGTAATGTACTGTAATGCAAAGACACACAAACACACCAAACACCAGACCAGGCCAAACATAAGTAGGCTCATGTACACAAAACACACAAAATAAACGCCAGTCGATGCGTAGCTCGCGAACCACTCGCTCAACGCCGGCCACGGCGCTCTGCCTCAAACAGCTCCCTCTTCATCTCCATCAACATATCCTCAATCTGGTTAAAGTCGTCCCGGGATAGGCTGGCATTCTGCAGCCCTGCCATGCCAGCACGGAGCATGCCCATGATGGACTCGGCACTCCTCGCTTCGACCTGCTCCTCCTTCTTTTCTTGTTCAACCTCTGCCTGGACAGCCTTGTCCAGGGAGAACGAGGATGTCGCCATGGAGTCCTCGATGACAACGAGCGATGCCTCTGGCGGCACGCTTCCGGCCTGCGATGCCGCATTCGACTCGGAGACGAGCTGCGACATGATCTCCTCGTCCGTGTCTCGGCTGCTTGATGCGTCGTCGTCGTCAAAGACGATGTCGCCCCCCTTGTTCGTGTCCACGACTTCCACAGGGCCAGCCTCGACAGAGACATCCTCCAACTCGCGCGTCTCTTCCTCCACCTGCATCCGACGTGCGCTTCTCCTCGCATTGGATTTGGCTGCCACCTTGGCACGGCGCTTAGCCTTGTTCCTGGTGGGTCTTTGCTCCGGCTCCGGCTCCGGCGCGTCCACGGCATCTTGCTCACCCACATCCCGTACTGACTGTTCACCGAGATCCTTATCCTCACGCGCTTCGTCGGCACCATCGACTTCGGGTTCCTCAGACCGTCTCCTCTTCCGACGCGTGTCACGACTCCTTGCGCTTGACTTTCTCTTGCCCCTTTTCCTCTGGCTACGAGGCTCCTCCTCAGCCTCCTCCTCGGCCTTGACCACAGCCGTCACCACCTCAACAGGCTCGGCCGGCGTAGACTTGACAATATCGGCTGACACGTCCCCGGCTTGTACACTGGACAGCGAAGAGGACGACTCGCGGGTCAGAGCAGGGGCATGGCGAACCGGCGCTCCAGACTCCATCTCCGCGGCAAATCTCATAAATTGTGAATCGTCCGTCTCGCTAAAGGCAAAGGATGTGTCATTCGACTCCTGCGTCATGTCCGGCAACTCTGGAGGTGGTGAGATAGAGGGGCTTGCCCTTGCGTCTACGTATACATCATCTGCGCCCGACTTGGGAGACGACTGGGCAGCTTGCGGTGGTGTCGCCGCTCGCTGCGGAGCAGAGGCTGGTGGCTGCGGCGGTTCTTGTGCCTTGTTCACCCGCGAGCCCCTCGTGCGTTTGGCGCGAGTGACGCGGGCGAGGCTTGGGCTTCCCATGTCCGGCACACTGGATGGAATGACCTCTTCTTCTTGAGACACATCAGGCTTCCGGGTCGAGCGTGTTTGTCTGCCCTGTGGCTGCGGCTCTGTCGACGGCTGCGTGCTGTCGTTGGTCAAGTCCACGTGCGGTACCTCAATCGCCGCGGGCACGTGCTGTCGATCGGGGACAGGCGATGCCACAGGCGAGGACCACTGCTCCTCTAGTGCACTCTTCGCACTCGAGCGCGAATGTATCTCCGACAACAGAGGATAGGGCCTGACCTCGGGGGGCGAGGATGGTGGGTCATTGTCCAGGTCCATCGGGATCAGCTGCCCGCGACGAGGTGTCGGCGTGGAGCTTATGTGCTCTTCGTACGTCGTCTTCTGCGGCGTCGACTTGAGCGCGCTGTTGGCCTTGGCCTTTGGTGTCGACAAGGCATCTTCTAGAGCGGTCGCCGCCTCGAGGTCGTTGTCTGGGGTCTCGAGCTGCGCATCAGAGCCGAGGAACACGTTCTCTTTTTGGCGCTCCCGGACTTCCTTCTGCCTTTCTGTGAGGTGCTGTGACTCTCCTTGTTCGGGAGACGACGAGGCAAAGG